GGAAAGGAAAGGAAAGGAAAGGAAAGGAAAGGAAAGGAAAGGAAAGGAAAGGAAAGGAAAGGAAAGGAAAGGAAAGGAAAGGAAAGCAAAGGGATATGCAGTAATATGACGTTGAAAAATCTCTCTGACCATGCCTCTCTTTTCTTCTTTCTTTTCCTGCGTCCCCGAATGCGAATTGAAGATCCTGAACCTCGAATCTTGGGAGGGGGAGAAACGCTTGGAGGGAAAATGCTTCGAGGATGGAAGAACGTGCCTCGTCTCGAAGGAGGAAACCCCTTTTTTCTCTTTGTCTTTCTTCTACTACAACTCTAAATCTAATCAACGCCAGCTACAACGCGGACGGGGGTTGGTTCTCTACTGTGCGAAAAGAGGGCAGAAGCGAACCATCTACCTCTCGCTTGAATTCCCCCAAAAATAAAGAAATACAGAGAGAGAGAAACAGAGGGAGAGAGAGAGAGAGAGAGAGCGATCCTGTCGTCCTCACGAGGAATGCACCCCCCACCTCCCCACCATCTCCATCGCCCCCTTGCCCCCCTGCGCGAGGACGCCGCCTCGCTCCTCCCCCAGGACCCCGGCGACGCAGCGCCATCCGTCGCGCGCGCCGCCCCAGCGGAGGACCTCGTCGCGGAAGAGCCTGCCCGCGGCGGGGTCGACCGCGCCGCCTCCGGGAGGAGACGACGAGGAAGGAGAGTTGGGGGCGCCCCGCTGGAAGACGTCCGCCCAGATCTTGCCCGCGATCGCGCGGTCGAACAGGTAGCTGTAGTACGTCGCGCCGTAGCCGAACAGGTGGCCGAAGAAGCCCTGCCAGCGCGTGCCCGCCGGCTCCGGGAGGAGGGCGTAGCGGCGCGAGACGGCGTGGTAGAGGGCCGTGCTGGGCGATTCCGGCTGGGTCGACGACGGAGAGGGACGGGCGGCCGGGAGGCCCCAGTCCAGCGGGGCCGCGGAGTGGTAGACCTGGTCGAGCATGCCCAGGAGGATCTGGCTCTCGGTCTCGGCGCCCATCATGCGCCGGTCGAGGTCCACGCGCTGCCGGACGCGGGCGGGGTCGAGCGGGGCGTCGGTCTCCCAGTGGCGGGCATAGAGCGCGAGGACGGCCGGGTCGGAGGCGAAGTTCTCGGACAGCACCGAGGGCAGCTCGGCGAAGTCGGTGGCGCAGCGCGTCCCCGCGACGTTCTGGAGCGCCGTGCGCCCGCAGATGCTGTGCAGCGCGTGGCCCATCTCGTGGAAGAGCGTGGTGAGTTCGCGGAAGGTGAGCAGGCTGGGTGGGGTGGTGGAGGAGGCGGAGGGGGTGGAGCGCGCGAAGTCGCAGATCAAGGCGATGGTGGGGAGTTGGTAGAGGGGTTTGTTGGGTTCGGCGGTGCGGCGGGCGGTGGCGAGGCCGTCGTTGACGGCTTCTTCGGGAGTGGTGAAGGGTGAGTTCGACTGGGAGTGGATGGTGGAGGAGGCTTCCTGGAGCTCCTCCTCGCTTATGCGTCGAGAACAGCGCAGTGTGAAATGTGCGGGGTTGGGGCTCTTTCCTGGTCTCTCGAATAGATCGCAGTAGATGACTGCGATGTGACCTTCATCGTCGTCTATCACGTCGAGACGTCGAACGTCGTCGTTCCAAGTCTCTCCCGGAAGAGGCTCGGTTGGCACCAGACGGATTCCATACAGTCGATGGAACAACCTTGATAGACCTTGGAAGACGATCCCCAGAGAGAAATATGCGCTGAGAAAATCGGGGGTCCGAGTCTTGGTTCGCTGAGCCGCCATCAATCGAGAGCTGTAATAATCGCGATCCCATGCATTCAACGCAGAAGGGTTGTTACCCGCTCGAGCGTCGCTTTTCTTGAAATCGAGCAGCTCTTGCAGTTCTGCGCGGACTCGAGGTGCGTTCTCCTCCGCCAGAGCATCTAAGAACGTGGTGACTGCTTCGGGCGTCTTGACCATCTTCTCCGCCAAAGTCATGTGTCCGTAACTTTCAAATTGCGCCAATTTGGCGAGCTCAGCCCTCCGCTGGAGAAGTTGCTCCAGGCGATCGATATTGGACTGCGCAGATGTTCGATGTGCCATGTATATCTCCCGTCTCGTATCGGCATCTTCTACACTGCGCAATGCCTGCATCGCCGGCATTCCCTCTGTAGGCAGAGTGACGGTACCCCAGGATGTCAGCTGTCGGACGAGCATCGGATCCATGCCTTTTAATTTGCTGCTGGGAAACACAAGCGATGGCTGTTCCGCGGCCATGTTATCCACGAATTCGGTCCCGAGCACTGCGATCTCGTCGGAGAGGTCGACCACGTCTGCCCGATCTTGATCTGTTAAATCGATCGCCGACTTGGAAAAGTCTCGCATCAGTATCGCCGCGACCGTCTTCTCTTCCTCATTCCATGAAGCCTGCACCTCTGGTATCGACGATGCTTTCTGTAGTTGGTCGTTGAGACCTTGCGTGGTGTTCAGTACATTCATATACTGAAACATGGCAGTGTACGCCTGTGTCGCTGCCGCTTGAATCCTCCGGTCAGGGTGGACATTTCGCACAAAGTCGCTGAGGTCGATGACACGACAGAGGAGATCACTCAGGCGATCAAGGTCTCTGACCATCCGCTTGTACCCTTCGATGGTGTTGCAAGCCAACACGCTCGCCACGATGCTTTGACATTTCTCCAGCGTGACATTTGCGAATTCGGCGAATCCCTCTGGTCTTGTGAGATGACGATTCCGAAACAACCCTGCAGATTTCGCTCCATAGCCATGCTTTGATCGAGAAGAGAACTCTTTCCAGAATTTTGGCGAGTCAAATATCTGTCGTAATGTTCGATCGTCATGACCTATGCTGGTCGCCGTCTTGGAGACCGGGTGAACGTCCTCCGCGGCGATGGCTGCTGCAGCGGCTCCTCGAGCATTGCTGGTGGTGACTAGGGATCGTCTGATGTATTGAGGTTGATTGTGAATACATTGTGGACACGTCCAAGCTGGGCGCTTGACTCGCTTGAACATTGTCCAAATGAAGGATGCGTTGTATAATAACACTTGTATCGACGAGCGATCACAAATATCGTCACATCGACAGTCATGTCTATATTTCGCCCGAAGCGGACATCTCAAAGTATCCCGTAGCGTCATCGGCTGTGAAGTCGGCTCTGCACCGGAGCGGCTGATCCCGAGGCGGAAATCGGGAATTGGTAGCTTGGACAGATTGTTGAGCTTGCTCTGAGATGGAAACAATCTTTGGGAGACGCCATTGATCATTTCGCATCTACTCAATGGCCTTCGCCGCGCTTCTGCGGAAGGTAAGTGCTGCTGCAAACAACCTTGTGGGATTGACTCATTCTAACAACTCTCAGCAAGCACTCCCGCTTGCGGGTCTGACTACCGCATTCGTTGTTGTTCCTACGCGAAGCGCATTTGCAGAGGAGCCCACCGAGGCTGAGAAGACAGTGGTGGGTGTTGGGAGCTGAATATGAGGCTTCGATGCAGTCACTTATGATATGAATAGCGCGTCCGAAAGCCCATCTACGACACCGCAGGCGAGCCTTCGTCTCGCGATGTTGCGGCAACCACACCTCTGCCTGCCTCGGGGTTCACTGAGAAGCCTGAGTCAGAGAATGCACGCCGATCCACAGCACCTACAGCACGACTAGCAGAGCAAATCAAAACCTCACGACTTTTCGCACACAAATATGCCGTCAAGGCCGAGGATTCAGTAAACAATGCGCTCAACCGATTCATGGATGCCGAGCACTCATTCACATCGACCGTCGCTTCGTTGGCACCGCCAAAGGAGAGCAATGAGAAATTGCTACCGGGTGGCATATATGTGTTGGTAGCAACCATGGCTGGTAGCATCATCAGCCGTAACCGCAACATCCTGTTTCGCGCCGTCACACCCATCATCACGGGTACCGTGGCTGCGAACTACATCATCCCTCGAACCACCCACAATGTTGGTCAATTGATCTGGCGCTTCGAAGAGAAGTACCCGGTGATTCGCGACAACCACATCCGGATAGACAACGGCGTCCGACACTTCATCGAGACCGGCAAGGCACACAGTCAGATGGGATTGGCCATGGCCGAGGAGAAGATTACAGATGCGCGAAAGTCGGTGCAGGACTGGGTGAAGAAGGGACAATGATCGGCTTCAATGTCTTGACGAGTACAACTGTTCTTCCTTCTTCCTACGGATGGGTCATGTCGATATAGATCCGATGCCGATGAAAGGCACGTGTAACAAAAACAATCCCTTTGTCCTCAAGTAGACCTGTTGGATGACTTCTGCAGAGCAATTTGTTCGTATCGTCAGGATGTGCTGCTGCTGCTCACTACTTCAAATGCTGAGTTTCTCCGATCTTCATTGGTAATTTGGTCAGGTTGTCGGAAACTTGACATCTGTTTGCATACATAGCGCATGATGCCTCTGCTTCAGTTTGTCAAGATCAGCATACATGTGCTGCTAGTTCGATTGCAGCTCAATCAGATGACCTCCACGGTGCGTTGGAGATGTACATGTCATTCCTGTCCAGTTGTGCGGTGATCCCTCACGACTGCGCACCCTAACTGTCGCGAATCTCCCCATATGAACCGCGAAACAAGGACGCCAAGGCCTTTCCGTCAGCGAGAAAACGTTGGCACTATTGTGATGGTGCACAGTGGACTTTAATGTAATTCCATCTGTGCACTCTCTGTGAGACAATGACGAAGGCTGTGGCTCGTACGGTTGAAGGGGGCCATTAACAGCCAATAGTATGCGATGCAGTAGTGCGACGAGGACATTGCAGTCCTGACCCTATTTCCCCCTCCTCTCCAGATCACCGGGCAAGTCTCGTCATGCAGTAGTTTTTTAGTCAGCCCCACAAGCATCATCTCACCACGACCTCGTGGCTTTCCCGCCATAAAGTGCATACCAAACCCGGAGACCCTTTGCCGGACCTCACTTGGACATACTCTCACGGCGCAGTATACCGCTTTCGCTTTCGGCACCGTCAAAAACGATCCGTGCTCGTCATCTGAATCGAAGCGTTGCGCATGAGAGATTTTTCCGAGCCTCTTGAGAGCGAGATCAACGCGGGCGACGATCTGATCTGAAGACCCCCTCATCACGTGGGTACATACGAATATGTGGAAAGCCTGCTCCTCTTCGGTATAATCATCGCACAATCACCTGCCAACGCGGAACCTTGCATACCAGATCGGAACGAACACAAGGTCAGGGTTGGCTCATCATCGAATTGCGTTGAGGTTGTGTCGATTGTTAGACGGTGGTGACGTCTGCGAGCATAATCGTCCTGGCGCCCTCATAGGCTGCCACTTGAGATTTTGTCTGCGATCATCAAATCAACCAGCTCTGCCAAAAGTGCCGGGGATATTTTGAAGTTTGGTGTGGCGATTGATCGGACCCACACTGTTTGCACTGCAATTGCTCAGAGGCTGACCGAGTGATCTCGTTATCCACGAGTGGGAAGGGACGGCAAAACCAGCTTGACACCACATGCCACTGCAAGCTCAAGGCTTATTGTGAATCGACCGCCACTGTGAATTAGCAACACCTCATCGAGGTTATATTCAAAATGGACTCCTGGATGTTTGCGCCACCTCAGGAGACTGCCCAGACCTCTCCTTTGAGCGTAGGGAAAAGTCCTTCTGAATCTGACATGGCAGCCTCTCCTGAATCTCGATCGCGACCTAGTGTTCCCCCACGATCACTATCAGGTGTACGGGAAGTCCGTCGGCGCAATCGACCGATCAATTCTTGCTTCGAATGCCGGCAACGAAAAATCAAATGCGACAGATTGGCAACTTGTTCGAGCTGTGCGGCTCTACGGGTCGAATGTTTATATCTCACTCCGGCTGATAACAAAGTGCGAAGAAGGAAATTGGCCGAGATGAAAGACCGAATGAATGCGCTGGAGCGGAACCTCGAGCGTGAAGTTGTCAGTGAACGACTCGGGTCGATCAAACGAGAAGCTTCATCCACCGCAGGAGATCCAGCGGGTGACGAAGATGGCGAGTTTTCCAACGATGAAGAGAATGCCTTGGAGCCCACCCCACTCGCTGCCTTGGACAATGTGTACGAGAATGTATACGAGACGAATGTCAATGTCAACGACGAGCTCATGGATCTCGGTGTGCAAATGGGCAAAATGCGCATCTCTGAGCGAATAGGAGGCTACATCCGTCCGAAGCTGGTGGATGAGTTATATGACTCACTCGCCGACGTGAAGTCCAACAAATCGAAGGAAGCCATGACACCATGCGGTGACGAGCAGCAAAGTTGGCAAGCAGCCGCGCAAAGCCTGAGAGCGGCGCCGATCAGCTATATTGGCCCTGGGCCTGATTATATCGCTCCCTCATCGACGTTTTTCTTCTTGGGTCCTGGCTCAGCTGGCTCCTTGATGGATCACCTGCCATCGAAGAATGCATCTGATATCCTAATTGCACAATACTGGAACGCAGTACATTACATGTGCAAGATCGTACACCGGCCATCGTTCGAGGCCCAGTATAGGGTCTTTTGGGCAACGATACATACTGGGACCGAGCCTGTGGCGCCACTCCAAGCCATCATGTTTGCAGCCATGTTCTCCGCAGCGGTCAGCATGACGGAAGAACAAACCCTGCATTTCTTTGCAGAGTCGAGGGCAGTATTGATCGATCGTCTACGCTCCGGAGCGGAGATGGCGCTCGCCAAGGCCAACTTCTTACGGACGACCAAGATTGACACCATCCAGGCATTCACCATGTACCTGATACCTTTTGTTCGAGCGGAAATCTCTCGAGCTCACTCTGTTCTGGTGGGCTCTGCGATTCGACTGGCAGAGTGCATGGGATTGCACCGTGACGGTACATTGTACCAGATGGGTGTCATTGAAGTGCAGGTTCGACGAATGATCTGGCACCAACTTTGCTTTCTAGATATTCGCACTTGCGAGGCGACTGGACCACGCCCGCAGATCCGCAGAGAAGATTACGATACGAAGATGCCATGGAATGTCAATGATGATGACCTGCTTGGACCAAACCCTGTGGTCAAGGATAAAGAGGAATGGACGGACATGACCTTTATGCGACTCCGCGCCGAGTGCATGGAGATGCGTCGTCAGGTCTTCTTCGACATCATCGCCGTCGACAAGAAGACCAAATCTCTGACTTCACTTTTGGTCAAGATTCAAAAGTTCCGAACGTCCCTCGAGGAAAAGTACTTGCCGTGGTTAGACGCTTCGGTACCTTTGCACAGCCTGGCTCGTCTAGTCTTTGAACTCGGGACTCGATCCCTCCACTTGCAGACTTTGCACCGATATCTTTTCAACATGAAGCAACAAATGCCGGACCGCCTCCGCCAGGTCTTGATCGAAGCTGGCCTAGCCCAGATGGAGTCTGCGATTGCGCTCGAGACCACGCCTTCCCTTCAGCCCTGGGTCTGGTACAAAGGTGCCTTTAACCAATACCACTCGGCACTGCTGCTTCTCGTCGAAGTTTGCAACTATCCGATGCGCAAAGACGCCGTCCGGATCTGGGCCTGTCTGGACTACATTTTCGAGATCCCACCTCATCTCGCGCCGAAAGAGAAGGCCGAACTTGTGGTCTCCGACCTCGCCGCACGCATGACCGTCTACCAAAATATGCGGAAGTTGAAGGCGCCGACGTTGATGGAGGAACGTCTGGGCACAGGGAGCAAGTCCTCCCTGAGAATCAACACCGCGTCCACTGCGTTGTCCAATCTGGATGGTGTCATCGATGCAAATGGACAAATGTTCCAGAAGCAGGCGACTATGCCAATGGGCTTCTCGCCGCCACCGAACGAAGCGACCGAAGGAGAATCTTCAGGCAGTCAGAACGGAGATAACCCCATGCTTCGGGCTGGGTTCGAAGCTGTGATGCAAGACATAGATTGGGTAAGAGGCATACCATTCTGCTCGTAAATTGATGTATCAAGCAGAAGACAGGAACGCTGACAATTTTTGAAACATAGAACGAACTGAACAAATTCTACACCGAGACTGGAGAATTGAATATTCCCAATTACGACATGTCCGAATTCACCGGCACCGGGGCGAATTTCGCCGGCATGCTACAGACGGACCCGAACCAATATCCTTTGGCGGGAATGGCGGTGCCGTCAAACAACCAGAACTTGAACGGCTCTCCATCGAGTGTGCTGCCGTAAGTGCTGTCTCACTTCGATACCTGGACTTTGAGAACGAGTTCACCAAATACAATACAATTTACTAATGAGAATCATGACACGCAGTACGCAGGATCTAGCCGACGTGGGCTTTTCAAACCCGCTCCTTTTTACGCCTCGGGCGACGGACAGTAAACCGTCATTCCTCTATCATAATTCGTGAGGAGGAAAAACACTTCTGGTAATGGGGATGCGCCCTTGATGACGCGGGTTGAAGGACACGATGTCCGATTTGGCAGACGTACAAGTCACCACTCCCGTTTACCACCATCCGAATCCTTCACTCTACTGAAAGTCACCATCAACCGAGACGACACCATCGCGAAATTCAGATTAATGCGAGTATAAGCTCATCCGATCCTCCGGGACGACACAAGCCTGGCCTCACCCCTGAGAGGAGGGGGCGTGTCCATTCTCCGTGAAAGAAAACCCTCCGTCACTCTCCAACCCTTCGACCGGGGGATCCGTCGCAGAAGCACGTGAAACTGGCATGGAAAACCCGGTAAGATCACCCGACGACTCAAAGGCGGGTCGAGATCGTCGAAAATGTCGGCACGGAGGGCTGCACACGGACAGGGCGGTCATCATCATCATCATCACCATGCCGAAATCTTTCGCGAAAATAGGGTTTGGCAGCGAGGTCCGAGACCGGCACCTGGCGGCGACAAGGGGCGAGTGAGATTCGCGGCAGAGGAGGAGGGGGAGGAGGCACAAGATCCGTCTGTCCGGACACGCGTGGGTCGTATATAAAGGTTTCGCCACATCGAGGAAAAAAGCGACGCAGGGGAAAGATTCCTCCTTGAGAGAGAGAGAGAGAGGGGGGGGGGGGGGGTGGCCACTCTCCTCACATCATCCCGCTGTTTTCTTTTTCTTTATTCAGGCCTTTTGTCATCATTTCGAAAGAAAAATTACGAAACTCGGAAGGAAAGAACAACCGGAAGGAAAGAAAGAACCGTTGAGATCTTCTATTCGGAGAGGGGAGAAGAAGGAGAAAAAACCGGGATTCTTTCGCCTCTCTCTCTCTGTGTGTGTGGGTGTGTGGTGACGATTTCGTTCCGTTCCGTTCCGTTTCGGTTTTCGTTTCGTTTCATGGATGTTACTTCCCTTCCCTGTTTCCCCCTCCGACGGGAGAAACTTCCCTTTTGCCCTTTGCCCTATTGCCCAATACCCCTTGCCCCTGCCCCTGCCCATTGCGATGCCATGCCATGCCATGATGAAAAAACAACAGAACGCCAGTAGCCGAACGCCAGTAGCCGCGAAACGGAACCCAGTCGATCGATCCCCCCTCCCTCCTCCTCCCCCTCCCGAACCGCCGCCGCCGCTGTCGACGCTGTAGCAGGATGCGTGAAGAAACGGGCGAAAAGCACGAAAGAGCGCGGAGGCGACGGGGCGCGGGAAAAGAAAGGGGGCGGGTATTTTCTTTTCTCTTTCTTCCCTTGGAGGTGGAAAGTGGAATGGATTGGCATGGTGATGGATGGACTGGGTGTTCGTCCTACGCGTGTTTGTGTGTGTGGGGGGGGGGGTGTGGGTTTGTCGTATGACCATTTCCAGGCGCCATTTCCATGACTATGCCATTTCCATGACCATGCGCCCAAAAAGGACCGATTCTATCTAAACCGCTCGCTCGCCCCTTTTGATGAGAGAGATCTTTTTCTTTTTTGGTTTCTCATGGTGTGTGTGTGTGCGTGTTTCTTGCCCTCTTCTCACCGGGCGATGAGCAGGCCGAAGCTCTCCATCCAGCCGCCGGAGTGGCCGTAGACGCCCGCGATGGTGTATCCGCGAGGGGGGATGAGGGTGTGTCTGAGGAGAAACGGTCAGTCCCACGTCTCTGCAAAAACAAAAAGGAGGAGAATCAAGGAAAAGAGATCGGGAGAGGAAAGAAAGGAAGTAAAAAAAAAGGAGCAAAACTCACCCGCTGCCCCCGTTCTTGTTCCCGAAGAATTCGCTCCGCCGTCCGGACGTCGTGAGGACCTGCAGGCCGTCGATCCACGCGCCGGCGCGCACGTGGAAGCCCAGGAGCATCTCGCCGCGGCGCACGTCCAGCGGGAAATCCGTCGGGCTGCCGCCGCGCTGGCCGAAGAGCGAGGCGGAGCCGTCCTCGAAGAGGAACTCCAGCCCGTCGATGTAGCCGCCGTGGTGGATCCGGACGCTCATCAGGCGGCTGGAGCGCATGCGGGTGGGGCTGCCGCCGGTGCCGGCGGCCGAGGGGAGGAGGATGTCGACGGTCTGGCCCGGGCTGGGCGCGCCGCCGACGCGGGCGCCGCGGAAGGCGTAGCGGTTGTCGGGCAGGCGCAGGCGGCTGTCCTCGGAGGCGAGGGCGGCGAAGTCCGGGATCTCGAGGCTGGCGCCGCCGCCGGAGAAGACCTGCACGGCGAGGCGGCGCTTCTTGTTGGATCTGTCGCCCGCCGGCAGGCGTTCGCGGAGTTGGGCTTCGGTGAGGGTGATCTGGCGGGGGGCGGCGGAGGCGGAGGCGCTCGGGTCGATGAACTCGATCCAGTGGTGGCAGACGTCGTCGCCTTCCGGGGTGATCTCGATCCAGGCGACGCCGGTGGCGGCGGTCACGAGGACGTTGGAGTTGTCGACGGCCCAGACTTGGATGCTGGCGTCGGAGTTGACGGGTTGGTCGCTGGGGAGCCCGAAGCAGGGGTGGAAACGGAAGCGAAGGATGTCGAGGCGATGCCATGCGCACTCGTCCTCGGGGAGACACAGTTGCCGGCCTTGCTGCTTCGTCCGCGTCGAGTAGGCCTCGCGGCAGGTGAAGGTCCGGTTGAGGGTGACGTAGTCCCGGAGCATGACACCGGATTCTTGATGTGGGCAGCCGAAGAGATGTCCGGTCTCGTGTAGGTGGGCTCCGATGCCGATGTTGGCGGCCTCCCAGCTGCTACCCGACTCACCACAGTCGTTCGCGACGTAATCGGTATCGGTCCGTGTGCAATCCGTGAACGCCGGGACGACCTCCTCGATGTGTGCTGGGTATGACTGTAAAAGGTGGGAGCCGAAGATGGCAAGCTTGAGATCTTCGCCTCCACCGCCGAGCGCAGCATGTCCGCGCACGATCCCGACCTGCTTGTCCCACTGCGTATCCAAGAACATACACGAAACGTAGTGGGTCTGTCCGGGAGCGATCTTGAAGTGCTCTCTCACCGCATCGCCCGCGATGTCGAAGAGGCCCCCTTTCCTCGACGCCGGCTCATACTGCTGAGCGATTTCCAAATCTCGCACCTCTTGCGCAGACTGTCGTAAACGGATGATGTGGACCTTGGCCTCGTTGCGCATCTGCCCGGTCTCCATATCTTTCACCGTCAATGTCCCTGGCTGCCACTCCTCCTCGTATCGATAACAGCGTCGGCCGAAGCCGTTGCGATTCATTTGCTCCGCCGTGAAAGCCTGCCAGAGGTATGCCGACATCCGGAATTTCCGGATGGCGGTCGCCAGATTGTTGCCCTCGGTTTGTACCCGTTGAGGCATAGCATCGTACGTCTCGGGCGAGTCACGGGCGACGAGGATGCACAACTGCAGAGGCGGCGCTGAGTTGAGTGGGAGGTAGTTGATATTGATCCAAGATGAATGGGCGGGCGAGGATGGGTTGTTGGTTGGGACATCCCGCGAGGTGAAATCCAGACGGATCCGATTCGGTCCAGGCTGCAGGTAGACCAACGCCTTGAAATGAGAAGCGCACACTGGCCAATTGACGGATGGGAAGCTGTCTTGGTGGTGTGAGACGGTAAGCTGACCGTCTACGGGTTGGGCGACATCAGCACATTGGCCGAAGACGAGCAAGACTTTTTGGTGGACCTGAATATATGGTCAGTCCACGCGTGAGAGTCGATGACACAAAATGCCCTCACCCAGGAGCCATCGCTCACGGAGAGCACGCGAGGCGCATAGGGCGACGTTGACGGCGTTGTTCGCTCGCCGCTCTGAGTCGGTAGTCCCTATGAGAGCTTTAGCCAAGGATCGAGCGATTTGCAGCCATTCGAGCAACTCACGAGCATGCTGATTCGATTGCTCTGAGCGCTCGCCAATCGTGGTCGTTGCGGGACAGGTGGTGGGGTCTTGTTTCCTTGACCGTGGCTGCTGGTTCCTGACAATGTCGTCGTCGATCGTCCGTTTGGCGGAGAAGTCGACGAGGGCGGAGAGGGGTTTCGGCGCTGTTCGAAGTAGGAACTTAATGTGGAGGATGATTTATTCCGTTGCCGGTGGTCTTCGGGATTGCTTATTGAAGAGGAATTTTCGGAACTGGTATTGTTGGTATCGTTATTATTACTATTATTATTATTACTGCGCAGCGACAGGCGAGAGGTCCGCCTTAGGTTCAGGAAATTCGGCATCGTGGTGGTGGTGGAGGGCGACTTTGGCCTAGGGACTGAGCTGTTACGCGTCACCTAGCGGCGCGGACGAGTGAAGGAGCTGAGGCGGCAAAAGCGCGGCGGCGGCACAGTTCAACTCTCGTTTCAGAGCGATGGTTTATTTGTGGATACCAGTCATCGAAGCACCTAGGTAGGCGAGTGGTGTCGTACTGTCGCAGGTATAGTCGTGAGAGTGAAGAGAACACAATTCCAAGACGAGACCGTGACGAGCTCGTCCAATGACCAGGACTTAGGTAATAAGGAGAGAGAGAGAGGAAGAAGAGACAAGCTTGGAAGGAGGGATCGACAAGCACCCGCGGATACGAGCTTTGGTGGATTACAGTATCATTAGTCTCCAGCTGACATGGAGAAAAGTTGTTGTGCAGGTGGGTTGTACTGGTATGAAGGAATGGATGGATGGACGGAGAGGGATGCTGTAGCACCTGCCTGCCTGAGAGGTGGATCCAGTAGTGATGATGATTGATGATGATGATGATGATGATAACAACGATGATGATGATGATGATGACAGGAAAGTCCCGCTGCTGCAAGCCACCAGAAATGCGCCCGGTAGGAGAATTGATCGTGGGCTATACTATCCTATGCAATACACAACAACAACCACAACGAGAGCTTGCAGTGTGGACAACCGCACGATGGGTGAACGCGAGTGTGCAGGTGTGATTCCATTGATTCCATTGATTGATTACATTGATGGCGGATGGGCGAGTGAGCGGGTGAGTGAGTGAGTGACGGGTGCGAGTGGGTGACGGGCGTGGGAGAGTGTGAAACAATCCATTCGGGGACAATAACGATAATCAAGGAAGGTTTCATGGTGGTATCGGTCTCCTTGCCCAGGTGTGTGTGGGTAGCCGCAGTAGTTCTCGTATTGATGAGGAGGATGATGATGATTGTGGGTAAGCTGCAGCAGGAATGAGAGGGAAAAGAAGGAATAGATCAAGTTTCGGACATAATAAAAAAGACAGGTGAGGACGGATCGGATGTCTCGATCATCGGTGCTGTCTCATCCTCATCTTCCTCCACCACCACCACCTCCTACTACTCCTGCTACTCCTGCTACGAGGCTCAACCGAAGCTCGGCACGTTCAACAGCAGCCCATCAATTGCAGGTGGACTGCATGTATATATGTATGTATGTGTGTATGTGGGAAGCAGAGAGGCGGCGGTTGATCATGTTTCATCCTCACCCGGGCACTGGGCAGCACACTCGACTCAGCTTTCGGGGCCCAGTCATCCATTCATCCATCCATTCATTCTATTGGAAGAGAGATGATCCATCATCCATCATCATACACGTGTGTTTGGCTCTCAAAGTCATGTCCTCCTCTCCCTCTCCCCGACTACGTGGATCAACCCGAGAGATAGAGAGAGCGAGAAGGAATCCCCGCTCAACGATTTTTATTTTATTTTAAGATTGGGTGGATCACTGATGACGAAAGCTGCAATCGATGAGGAAACCTTGGAATCATGGTTGAAATGCCGCCAACAATGAAGGCTCTCTCTCTCTCTCTTCTGGGAATGGTGGGACGGACGGATCCCAGCGGGGCGGGCAGATGGCGGGCAGATATGGCGGCGGCGGCGGCAACGGGCGGAACCTCTGCGTGAACGGAAGCTTAAAAATTGCCCTAAATGTCTGAAACACGATGCTCTATCGCCGATGGGCGCGGGGGATGTGTGTGCCTAGAAAAGCCAAACTGCCCAGGTGGCTATAATGATACATACTTAGGTACCCAAGAAAACTGCTGGTGAGAAGAAGGCCAGGTCGAAGAATCAGTTGGAACACCCATGAATGGAAGTGACCATGGAAAATGTCAACCGAGAGCGAGCGAGCGAGCGAGCGACATCAACAGTAATCGCCCTCGTGTTTGGAGAAGATATCCCGCTTCGAAATCGTTGGGATTGATTGCGAAAGGGGGCAACATCTCCCCGATTATTTTTCGATGTTACCGCTGAGCCTCACGTTGACCGCGCAGGTATATATGTCTGATGATAAGGGAGACGGAGCTTTATCGCGCGACGACCATTCGCGTCGCAGAAGTACGTACTGCACTGCACTGCACTGCATGCGAGGTGCCATTGCATAAATTTCGATCGGGTACGGGCACATCGCTCTTGCGGCTAACTACATCGTCGTCGACCAGTCCTCATCGATGACCCCTCATTGTCCCAGCGGGACGCCAACGACCATCTCTAAATAAATCCCATATTACCACATGCGGAATATCTAAATACTGGCAAGCGATGTCCTGTCGGTCTTTCAGGATCGAAGAATGTGATCGCCTCGGGTCTACGTCATGGAGCATGTATGTGATGAGCAACCTCTTGATGGTGCCCGTGGTGGTTCATCCGTTGCCGCTTTCCCAAGGCAACTCCCGCAACACGAACGTCCGCCCGCCCGTCCATCCACCGCTCGCACGACGGAGAACCCGCCCGTTTCGTCCATTGCGAAACAGCTTCCGTCACGACATCGCGCTTGTGCTTAACACACCTGCTACTACCTGCCATCTTTGTAAGGAAGTACAAGGGCTTTGAAGATTCTGGACTGCGGCTGAAATCTCAATGGACTACTGTATGAGGTAGCTGAAATATACCAGAACATCCCCTCCGAAGGTTTGCCAGGAATCTGACGGCCTGAGAGGGAGGGAGGCCCCATCCGCCTTGTGCAAACTCTGTCGGTAGGACCTGTAGGCAGCAGCTGTATTACTTTTGAGTATCAAATGTGACGGGGTGACTGAAGCAGGCAGCGTCCAGCCATCTGCTGTGCCGCTCCATAGGCATCCGCTGCTGGAACAGGCCGACTTCTCAATGCCGAGGCGAGGGAATATACAAGGTGAGCTGCTCGGCATGATTCGACTGGAAACGGAACATTCCCTCGAAGAGTCATCATCACCACCTCTCCCGATCAATTGCATGTAATGTCCAACGGACGAAGCCAGCAAGTCATGGCATCGACATCAACATCATCATCATCATCATCCGACATCCCGTCTCCCCCGAACCGCCCAATCTACATCGCCAAACTCAAAGGCCAGCCCAACCGGCGCGGCCACATGATGATCTACATCCCCAACCTGACCTCCCTCTCGCATGACCCCTCCCCCAGCAGCAGCGAAAACCGAGAAGGTCGGCCCCCATCCCCCGGGACCGTGCTCCAAGTCATCGGCGCGCCCATGCTAGGCTTCAACCACGAGATCATCCGCAACCACAACATCAACGACGAGTCCAACGGCGTCTTGTCCACGCTCGCGCTCGTCGGTCTGGTCGAAGGGAGGCACGTCCGTGATCCTCCTTCGGCGGGTCTCGAGAAGACCGACCGGACTTATGACGCGGATTCCCTCGAGGGATGGGCGTTGCGGACCGCCGCTCCGAGGAAGACGGAGAATTTCTTGGATCCGGCGCAGGCGGTATGTACATCACTTCGTTGTCCGAAAGAGGGCCGGGTGGGACCCGGTCTGGAACCGATTCGACATGAGGGTTTCTTGTTTCCTGACTGACACATCTCCTTTCTTCGTTGATCACAGAGCAAAATCCGCGACTGTCAGAATTGGGTCGAGGATTTCGTCGGGCTGCTCGTCCAGCGTGGCGTCTTGCCCGAGTCGGCGACGCAGGTCGTCCGGGAGAATATGGATCCGCAGACGGGGTTGGCGTTGAGGTCGGTGAACAGTCTGATAACGGGACCGCCTGGGGGGTCGAAACGATGAAGATCTTCGAAGTCGGAGGTTACCCCCATGTTTATGATGTTTTACTTGATGACAGACATGCGTGTATGTTGTGGATGGAATGCACATGGGTCGGAAATCTCCAAATCATAAATAGGAGACACTCTGGGTCATCGTCTCTGTCAACAACACGACGTCGCATGAAGCTTTCTCCCCACGTCGGAAATTCCAAAGGGACTGGGTGTTTCCCTTCGATCCTTACATTCATGTGATGATGCGCAACAAGCTGTTGAAACATCAACCAGTTCGACCCCGTCGGATAGAGGCCCATCCACACCATGCTGCTGGAGCCATCCGACCCGGCCCTCGCGCAGGAGGACGCATCTGCAATCGACTTTCACGACACGGCATAATTCCAGCCCCGTTCCGGATCCGAAACCCTACCTCAGCTGCCCACTCCCGAGGGGGTCCTCGCGCGGTCGAAACATCCCTACAAACGCGCCGTCTTTGAGGACCTGCGCCTGTACGTGAAGTTCGGTAATGCAGACAAGGTGAGGCGCGAGGAAAGCCCAAACCATGCAAGCCTTGCACCGGACCTTCCACCCCCAGCGACATCCGCGAACCGGAGGTCTACGGATCAAAGGGGAGGGAGGGTCGGTTTTCCCATCTATATGGAATTGATCCCGGGCGTATGTTGGAGCGAAGCATCGCCGACCCTCACCGCTTCCGAGCGAGAGACGGTCATCGCACAGCCGGCGAGGGGTGTAGAAGCTCTGCGCGCGCTGGAGTAGGAGGTGATTTCCCCGGAAACACCGCCGTTCATTGGTGAGATTGATGTCCCGTTTCACTTTCCCACGTTCTCTGAACGGCAGTACTGATCTAGTTCTTCTCAGGCTCTATCTCGTGAGGTCCTACTGCAAAAACAAAACATACAGCACGAGGGATTCCCACGTGGTCACCCACCGTAGTACTAATCTCGCGGTCAGCTGCTTAAATATGGGAGAGCGGACGGGATCCCTTGTTCTCAGCTGCCTGTGGCCGTATGTGCTTGACTAAGAGATTTGGTACTTAATATACTACCGGATACTGCGTGTATCGTAGATTGCTCCGGCTGAGCTCGTGAGTTCACGCGTCAGCGACTTCTCTTTCCAGCCCGTGGGTGCCACCGAGGCCAGTCCCTTCCACAGTCTCAAAGCCTTCAGCGACTGTGTACAGTTCTTGGCCTTGCGGCGTGTGCTGGATTTCGAGTATCCCTGGGGTCGACTCCTGCCCGATGGGGATTGCGCCGTCTACTTCATCCACGCCGACCTCCACTCCGGGAACGTCATGATCTCGGGGGAGGTGGGTTCTCGCCGGGTCGTGGCGGGTTTGGACTGGGAGCAGGCCGGTTGGTACCCGGAATGGTGGGAGTACGGCAAGATGCGACTGCTTCTGGACGGCCCGGAGGATGACCTCGCGGATCGCGGGATGCACAGGAAGTATGAGTGCGAGTGGGAGGGGTTCGTCGAACATTGGTCCGCACGCGCGCCGTAGAGGAGGCCTATCTTTCGATACTCTCGCTCTTTCTTCGAGGGAAAGAACTCGTGACTGCTGGCTGGAACCGGGCACTGGAGCCCGTCTCTACGACAGATTGATCGGTTCAGATCACGGCAAGGATGTCAACCCCTGATGATCATCGTGAGATCATGATTCTCTTGCGGAGAACGAGGCTGCGGATTTTCCTACATACCACGACTCTAGTAGGCGAGGGTGAGATCTCTACGACTGATGAACCCGGCTGATGAACCCGGCCGTGGTTCTCCGTCAGCGGAAATCGTCCGCCGGGAAAGTTGTCCCCGTCTCATGATGACGCACGGGACAAGCTGTGCTGGTGCAGCACAACGATGAACTGTCGAGTGAGTCAGCGGCGGTTCTCAAAAAAGACAGACAGGAACTCTCGTTCGAGGCACAGTACTGTATGCATCTCACATCTTCCACGGGCCGAAAGTGGCGACACTACTCGGCGGGCAATGGAGTCTTCGCCGCGATACCGGCATCGGTCCAATCGGACGCCCGCGGGCCACTCCGATGCCTCACCAGATACTGCCGCCCTCTGATAAATAAGATGCTACCCGCGCGCGTTTACGACCCTCAGTCCGAAAGGGCAGAGTCGGACAATGGGTTTTGTTAAGCTGTTGGGGTGTCCGGTCCGACGCCTGTATCAAACGATCAACTCACAAAGCCCAAGCGGGCCCACAGGCGGGAAAGAGCACCGTGCGGGCGCACACGACCGTATCACAAATAGACACACCGAGCGGCGCCGGCATACATGTGCATGTCGACGACGTATGTAATATGTATGCGGCGATGGCACGCATCATCGGTCCCGTTCCAATGCGCGCCCGTTGACACTTGGAAAATGTGATAAATTCATCACCGTCACCACCCATCGTTTGGAATCAACGGTCGCGTCCGGCGGGCGGGCCGCGGGAGTAAGGTTTTACACTTGCCCAGGTGGGCACAGCGGCTTTCGCTGCTGCCTCGCTTTTGGGAATGAAAAAGTTTAATAATGCCTGTGGGCATGGGTGTCGTGTGTCTGTGTGTAGGTGTGTTGAAGTAACATGGGATGTACTTCTCGGCTTTTGATTGGGATCGGGAGAGATGCTGGACTGTACATCCAGTAATCGGTCCACTGGCGGAGGAAGGAGGAGGAGGAAGAGCAGGTGGTGGTGGTATTTTCCATTTGAACTTTCCTTCCAACGACAGGTCCACGATCAATGCCATGTCCATGTACGATGCAGGAGACGAAGACACCGCGGCTGTTTGCCACTTTCGCAAGAAGGGGGACCTCGTGGTGGAAAGAACGGATGTTCGGACTCCACCATTGGGAAACGAGATGAAGACAGGAAGAGAGAGAGAGAGAGAGGGAGGGAAATATACCTACATAGATGGAAATGTGCCATGTCGCAGACCTGATTGGCTGCGGCTCTTCTCACCTCATGTTTCCTGTCCTGCGGGCTGGCGAGAGAGCGAGAGAGCGAGAGGGAAAAAAAAGGCCCTCTCCTCGGCAAAACCGGCGTAAGCTTTCGGGCGAAACAGAACCACTTTGCCTGGAACGTCTGCCTCTCCCTCTCTCTCGAGGTTCTTAGGGCGATGAATCGTGATGTAACCAATGCCCCACCGTCAGCTGCGAGACGCACGTTCGCCGCATCGAGATGGGACGGCACATGTGCCAGGCGCTGGTCGGTCGCCGTCGCTGCTCCGCCTGGACGTCACCACCTGGGCAGTTCATCAGTCGGTCTCCACCGGCGTCGAGCCCGGCCATCGGCGGCGGCATCTTCACGGAACGCAGCGCGAGCTATATTTCTCCCCCAATCGTCATCGTCTCGAGATACGACCGTCGTCTCCGACTTCATCCAAAGGGGATGTATCTCCCGCGACAAGCATCAAACTGGCACGGCGGGTTTGTTTTCCGTTGGAAACAATCCTCTCCGCTGCATAATTTTTTTTTGGCTCGCGTGCCTCGTGCTCTTCACAGGAACAAGGACCTCCCCCGGGGAAAAGTCCCGTCAGCACGGAAATGCCACACGAGAGAAAAAAACAAAGTGTAATCTCGCTATTCTTGTAGCAGCATGTCCCAACCCTGGCCTGCCCGCTGGGCCCGAGCCTCGGGAAATCCGGGGCGGATTGATTGCACCTTTGCCTTTGCGGCTTTATTGACCCTCGTCGTTGTTGCCCTGGCCTGGCGGGAGATAATAAATGGCTGAGCTGCGCCGCAGACACACGCAATCCTGGTGGTGCTGTGCTGTGCTGTGCTGTGATTTGATTTGATGGATGGCGATGGTGGAGGTGGTGAGATGGGTGATGGTGTGATCGGCGTCGTTTCCTCCCTCTCTCATCTGCTCTACTGTCCTGCGCGCAGGGCTGTGGCTTTATCTACAGGACCGCAAGATCTGATCTGGGTCGCTCTCCTCTCTCACCTCCCTCGGCTTTCGTCGTGGACAAAGTGTACTGCATTTGGAGAACTGGCGAGATGGGGAGATCCTAGACTCGAGAGTGTCGAATATAGAAGTCTGTCCGCTTATCTCTGCGGTTTCATCGGCAAGGTCTGGATATACCCAAGATTTAATTATTACAGTTTCTCGAATTTGGAAGACGGGAAGTGTGGCCTCTCTCTCTCTCTCTTTGTCTCGCTTCCTGACCACCGTTCTCTCTCCTTCTCTCGAACACGTGTGAACGACCGTACAAATCCCGCACAGATAGATAAGGACCGGCCGAGTCCAGTTTTCCCATCCCAGCTGCCTACTTTTTGGGGCCGTCTATTCATGCCTTTCTCCGTCTCGCTCTGTGGATATGCTCGTATGGGGATGTGGATGTCCGCGTGGGCGCGAGTGAGTGATCGGAGCGTCCGAGCGCTTTCGTCACACACACATCGTCGCCATCGACGATGCCGCGACGCGCTAGACTCGTCGTCGATATACCGCTTTGAGTAAGAATCGTCGCGAATGAGATCTTGGAAGTCGGAGAACTAGATGCGAGCTAGATGGTGAAACTCGATGCTGCTATTGCTACTCCTACTGCTACTCCTACTACTACTACCGTATCGAGTAAGATGGAGCATTGGAAGGAAAATCATCCCGTCAGATGGCGCTGTTGGCCCGCCCGCACACACACACACACACACACACCATGGTCGGCTCCGTCGGCGATGGAGGTTTTTCTGACAGGTCGTATACCTTGGACGGTTGGAGGCTATTCCCGTGGTGGTCCTCTCTCTCTCCCTCTCATCGAAAATGGCATGTGTCATTCTCGGGAAAAGATGCGCATGTTTTCGAGATGAGGGGGAGATGATCGCAAATTCGCATATGAGAGGGAGATATGCGCGCGGTGAAATGTGGTACATCCAGTGCAGGAGGTGGATTGGTTGCATATGTGGGACAGACAGCCCTGGAGAGGTTGAGTTGAAAGCTGGAGTCACCTACCTACCTACCTACCTACAGCAGCAATTCGATTGGGGGGCTGGCGATTGGCCGGCCGGTCGCTGGGTGAAGATGGCGTTGGCAGGGCTTGGTCCGCTCGTTCCAATCAATTCAATCCAGCTCCATTTCACGCACGCACGCACGTATGGAAACGCCGCTCCGATCGCCCACGATACTTTTCCGTCTATATGCAGTATATGCATGCCAGTTCTCTCTCTCTCTCTCTCTCTCTGCATGGTACCTGGACCTGGAACCTGTGCTATACATGGAACCTGTACAATACCTGGAACCTGTGCTGTACCTGGACCTGCACCGTATTTTGCTGCTGATGCTGATGCTGCTGTTGTCACTGTCACTGTCACTGTCACTGCTGCTGCTGCTGTTGTGTGCTGAAGGTGGTGTGTAGTATGAGCGATCGGCCGCTTCTCGATCATTTACTTGTCATCAGTCATCATCATTCATATGACGAGAGAATCTTTGATGTGGTACGGGGAAAACGGCTGTACCTGTTCCACAGTGCTTTCTCCTCTTTCCGGCCGGGCTGTCTCCCCTTCCTTTTGTTTTTATTTTATTACTTACTCTATTATTATAATCCCGTTCTGGGAGTGTATGGACAGAAGAGCAATACCAATATACCAGGGAGAGACAGAGGAAGAAAGAGAAAAAGGGAGAGAACTTATCGGCATCATCATCACCTCATCATTCATCCATTCGTTCAGCCGTACAAACGGGAGACCTGAATCTGCAGTGTGCAATCCTCGGAAATAGCCCTACTGCAGGTGCTCAACCGCCAATCCTCTTTCCTCGCCTGTCACTACCACACCTGGGCACTCTCTTTGCTCTCGCTCACCTCACCCGCTTTGCACGCACCCACGCACGCACGCACTGGCTCACACACTCACATACACACGCACTCATACAAGCCTTCTGAGCTCCTCCTCGTCGACGGCAAGGTCCCTGTTGTGTCGTCGTCGTCCTGCTCACCACTCCGCCATCACCGCTCCGCTGTGCGACAAACACACAACCACCATTCATGACATACTCTCCCTCGGTCTAGACGTCACAGCAACTCGTCTACGACTTGCACAGCCATCGCCGAGATATACCTGCGCCTGATTCGCCCTTCACATCCACTCCTTATAGCTTGAGAGCTCTCTCTCTCTCGCCCATCACCGCTCGCCCAGCATGGCGGCCGCACCTACAATCATGATTCAACAAATCGAACATCCCGAGGAGGTTGCGTCAAAGGTCATGAAAAGAGTTCAGGTCTCCAAGGTAGGTCGAAGCGGTGCAGAACACGGCACCTTCACTCCATGCTGGATATTAATCGCTAACGTTGGCATCTCCACAGATGACTCGAGCTCTGCAAGATCGACTCGCACTCGCCAATGTCAAATGTCAAAACGGCTGGCAGAACCTCAGCTTGGATGTCATTGAGCCACAGGTGGAGGAAAGGATCAGGAGAAAGAGACCGGCTTCGAGTAACGATACCATATCAGATTCCGCCTCTACCACCTCGAGTCGATTTCATTCGAGCGCCGGCCTGGCCTCCTCTCCTCTCACAGAACCCATGTTCTCGGATCAGATTCTGCCATCGAGCAGCACACGCTCCAAACGACTTCGTCCGGCGGAGCTACCACGATATCCGGCCAGCGGAGCCATCACCGGCCATCGTACCCGCTCCGCACGACGACCGTCATGGAAGCGAAGTCACCAATTACCTCAATCCTCCCCTATCAAACCTACTCGCCATCAACAGCACTCGCGGATCGTCTCCTCCGCCAACGTTTCACAATTCTCTTTCATGTCAACCGCATCCACTCGCATCGATGAAACGCCGTCACCGGAACTCAGCGAGGAGGACGACACCGATCTTCCTCTGACTAGTTTCCAACTTCTGCCTTCTACAGGCTCATTTAGCTTCGATGCCTTTGAGAGTTTCAAAGGACCCACACACGTCACATCCTCACCACCTCGCACACCACCACAGGACCGCCGCATGCGGAAGAGTCACAACATATCTTGGTCACGGACACCTCGGCATGGCGAAGAAGGAGCAGATCTCTTGCTCTACCTTGCCAAATCTCCCAAGGCCCCGTACGGAAGCGGCGCCGAGACCGTCCGACCGAGAAAGTCGACGACCATCTTCGATCGCAATGCGAGCTTTAGCTTCAAGCCTCAACAATCCCAACCCGAACAACAACCCGCACCAGTCGTCGAGCCTCCAGAACCTCCACGCACACCACCTTGTCGCTCGACGCCACTCCCCTCATCACATATGACCCCCAGCAACCACTACAACGGCAGCGGCACCGCCCTCGGCTTCGGCTCCATGACCCCCGGACCGTTCGGCCTCGGCGGCAACCTCCCCCAGACCCCCGGCACGTCCTTCAACTTTGCCGACTTCGTCACCATGAGCCCCAGCCCGGCCCAACCCAACTGGAACACCGCCGCCGCGACTCGCACACCTATGGCCGGATTCGGTCAAACGCCCGGTTCGTCCGCAAGGCGGAGATTGAATTTCGATCGGACACCCGTCTTGGGAGGAATCCGCATGCTCGATGATGGCGGCGGCGGCGGCGGGGGAGGGTTCGGTGGGTTGGGGATGGAGTTAGGTGGGGAGTTGCTCCCTTGAGCAAGAACGGCCCTTTGTTTTCTTTGGCGTATTCCTCTGCCACGTTTCCTCTTTCTTTTCTTCTTTTGGTCCGGCTCATCTTACACCTTTTTGGACACTTTTTGGGGGAACGAACGAAAGAGCGAGAAGAAAGAGAGAGAAAGGATCCTCTCACCACCGCCGTGTCGGGGGACAGATCCGCCCCACACACACGCACACCCATCACACCACACAGAGAGACCCGAACGCTGTTATATATCCCCCTTTTCTGCCCACCGAGGCGAATCCTGTTTTCCGAGAACGCGGATCTTTTCCAATCGCTCCACTTCCACTTCCTCTGGCCCCCTCTTGCTTCCTCCCACCGCTTCTGCATCTCTTCCTCTTCCATTCCGCTCTCCCCTTGCCCCCATCCGGTGGCTTTGAGAATCCGGCTTTTGCCTGCCCGCCCGCCTGGCGATGACTTCGCTACCATGAACCGCACTCTCTCGTATTCGGATTTTCTGCTGCTACTATTGCTGCTGCTGCTGCTGCTACTACTATTGCTGCTACTATTGCTGCTGCTACTGCTACTGATACCGCTGATGAAATCACAACGACGTTCCTCCATTCCGATTACCTTGCTGCTTGATTTCCTCACCGACCGCTGCCCATGCTCGCTGTGCTTTTCCTCCCGACGGGTTTCGATCCTTCCCCTCCCTCCGATGGTGGTCGCGATCATCACTCCATCGTCACCGATGTACCTATCTCTGTAGCATATGATATCAAAGAACGCCGAACGCTCCCTTGGGTTCATCTTCGTGTTGGGGGGCGGGGTTTTTCACCCCCGTCCTGGCGTCCTGGCTTTCTCCGCGATGGGTCCATTCGCCTGCTACTCTGGGCTGTTATTTATCTATCGGGCAGGTATGCACATACATACATCGACGACGAGGTCCTCGGGTGATGGAGCACCCCGGCAAACGCCTTTCTCTTCCCCAACTTCATTTTCTGGGGTCCTTCGTGTCTAGGGAATGCACGGTCTGGGCTGTCAACATGCTCGTTGCAACCGTCATCATCCTCCCCTTTCTTTTCTTTTTGGGAGCTCTTCCTCCCCGGTTTTTGCATCCCTCGCCAGGATTGGATAGGCATCGGTCCATGTGGACGGACCTCCCCGTCGAGCAAGAGTCACATGGCATGAGGCGTTTACAGGCAGGCAGGCAGGCAGGCAGGGAGGTACAGCACATCACAGCACAGGGAGCGAGTGAGCGAGTGACACGCACGTACATGTGCGCTGGCACCACCACCACCACCACCACTTCCACTTCCCCTTCAACTTACAATGATAAACCCTCCTGCCTCTCCCTCACCGTCTCCGAGAACTCGACGCGGAAAACGCGCGACGGGAAGGCGGAGGAAAAACAAGGGAAGGAAAGCAAAAGTGCGGAGTCAACACGGCGGTTCGAGACATGAGGAGCACACCAATTGATAACGAGAAGTCCAACGGGACGACTGATCCTCATAATTCTGCTTATCATCGTTCGACGCGGTCGTGATATAGTAGCGAGAGGGTGGAACAATGATGATGAGCGCCGACGACGGAATCGACCGAGCTTTCCAACTCATCATCATCCTCGTCGTTGCCGGGAAGACGCGACGGCAAACGGGCCAAGACGCGAAGATTTCACGCTAGAGCGGAAGTGCGTGCATGGCGCGACGGATGGATGGTGGTGGGGTCGGATTGGTCGAGGACGACTCGCGACGCACATGCGGGAAGTGGGATGATATATGATATGATGCTTGCAGTACTTTCTCTACATCTGCGCTTGGCGTACATGCCGTTTCTGGGACGACAGGGTTTTTGAGCGCAGGGAGGGCTCCGGAGGGGTGCCTTGGTGATGGTTGGATTTGGGGAGTGATGAGCAGGGAGAGAGAGAGGGAGGGAGGGAACGATTGAAAGCGCAAAAGAATAGCGAGAACTGGGACGAAGGCGATGCTCCGATATCGAAATCTACACACACACACACACACACACGTTTCAATATCTTTTTTCTGGAAAAAGCGAAGTCGTCACAAAAGCGGATGAATGTGCCAAAACAACAACAACAACAACAACAACTCGTAGTTCCCAAACACCCACGCGCCAGTCGGTCCTTCAAGCCAGGAAAAATAAGAAGAAGAAGAAAGAAAAAATCTCGCCGTATCCCAATGACGCCCAAACAGATGTAACAACGTCCATTCATTCATTCATACCATTTCAGCCCGCAAACATGAACCGTCCCAGGTTCAATTTCACCGATCGGGAAGGAATCTGCTCGCCATCTCCCTGCCCATCGTCGTCTTCTTCTTTGTGATCGTCCTGCTCGAAACTGTGATCCCCTCTATCCGCAACAAAAGGAGGGCTGTTGGGTATGATCATGTCTTCACTTCCTAGATTGGTGGAGACTGCATCGTCGAGGGAAGTGGCGATGGCGAGGGAGGATTTGGAGGTGGTCGCCGGGGCGGCTAGGATGGGATTTGCGGAACGGCTGGAAGGGAGGGCTGGACGGATGAATGGAGAAGGCTTGGTGGAGGGTCTAGACTTTTGCTCGGGTGAGGCGGTGATTTGGATCTTTCCCTGCTTTTCTTCTTCTTCTGCCACGTCGTCGTCGCTGTTGGGAATGATGTTGCTGGTTGAAATAGGATAAGATTGAGTCCGTCGCATCGAGGGTGTAGATTTTCCTTTGTGGGAGATCTTCTGAGATGGAGTTGAGGTGGAGGCGGAGTTGCGGAAGCGCTCGAGGGAGCCGAAGGAGCTGGTTTGACTATCATCTGTGAGCGGAGTGGCGAGATTGTCTGTCTGCTGTGAGAATGTGGCATCGGACGATTCGAGAGATAGAAGTGACGTTTCAGAACTCTGTGAATCATGCTCTGCCGTAGGAAGTTCGGGAGTCGATGTCCCGAGATCGTTGAATACACTCAGCTTTTTCCGTTTCCTAGGCGCGGTGTTTGCGGATTCATGGATGGATCTCTCTGTTGCGGCGGCGGCTTCGGCTAGAGCTTGAGCGACAGAGTCGTCCGACCAGAGTTCAAATTCCTCTTCTCCACGTCGTGAAGGTTTCTTGCGTAATGTAGGGCTGTCCTGGGTGGGTCGTTGGCCGAAGAAGCGGCTCGTGGTGGTGCTCTCCAAACTGACGCCTCCTGCCATAGCAAGGCCGATCGCCGGATCTGAACAGAGACGCTGTCTCTTCGGAGTCTCGCTGGGAAGCTGGAAATTCGAGAGGCGCGGAGCTCGAGAAGGTGGAGGGGCGGAAGATGGTACCGACACACTCAACGATCGATTGATTCCTGGTATGCGAGCTTGGGGAACCTGCGATGCTGACCATGATATATTCGTCTGTGATTGTATGAGGCGTTGTTGGCTTGGAGAGGGAGTGAAAGAATTCGGATCGAGTTCGGCAAGAGGCGTGCGGCCCTTGAAGTACTCCGTGATCGGCTTGCCATGCTTCTCCAAAGGCGTCGAAACCATCCGGTGTTCAACAGCCCGTTCAGAAAATCTCTGTGGAAGTACGATTGGCTGTTTGGTGTTGGGATCCAGATCACCGCACGCGACCCCCGCCGCCTCTTCAGGCGTGACCTCTTTGCCCAGGAAGGGCATGGCTTCTGCTGTGAGGCCGGCTGGTAGCGGGTTGAGGTGTCGAAAAGCGCGAGCCTCGGGGCAGAAGACCCATTGATATAGAAATGTCCTTTCAGCTCTGGTGAAGGCTTCAAGATACCCTGCAGGCACTTTCTTCTTGCCGTCAAATTGTAACATGCGGATGACCTTGTCCAGATCCTTATGCTTCCGTACCAAACGATATGCTGTCTTCAGACCAAGACCTTCGATCGAGGGGAGATAATCACATCCGCTCAACATTGCCATCATTCGGAATTCCTGATCGCTCCAACCGACAAGACTGATCTCTCGGCAGGATGTGAAATCAGCTCTGTCGATCATCACACACTCCCCGTACTGGTCCAACTTGGTAAGTAGTCGTTTCACACCGAAGACCAGGAGATCTGAATCCTCACTCAAGACACCGGAAATGATACCCTGTTGTTCGAGATAAGCGAGTTGGCTGTCGGCCTCGAACGGCGCGACGACGTATGGAACATCCAATCGCTTGAGCTCCTCGATGAGCTCCCTCGCCATTGCCGGTGTTACATCAATCGCCTTTTGTAGTTCCTGATATGCCTGTGACTGCCGACCCATTCGTAGCAAATCCAACCCGACCCTCTTGCTCTCCTTCCGACGCGCGGCACGACTCTTTTCAGTGTGTGCTTTACTCGGGAGATAGTCGCCATCGAAGACTAGATACGGTTTGACGCCGAAGTGCAGTAACATGCGCACGCGGTGGAGCGCAAACTCGATGTGCTTCCGGGTCGGTTTGCCTTGTGCCAGCTCGATCGCACAGGCGATAGTGCCTCTGTGAAGCCAGCCATAGGCGTCGATCCCAATGGTCTGCCCTGCGAGCGTTCGTACATGAGTCGACTTGTGGATGCTTTTCAACAAGGGCAGTAAACCTGAGACATCTTTTGTAAGTAATCTTCTGTGACGAGGTATCTTAGAAGCAGTTGGACTTACCTGTGATACCCATAGTGACGACACTTCGACGCCGACGGCGGTGTCGTGGCTCTATATGAAAGATGCGCTATCTGCGCCGAGAAAGCTCTTCAATGCCAACATATCATACAAGAAACAACGACATGGGCATTCTTCTTGCCTCCGAATCACCACGCGAAAGCCAGAGCAGTTTTAATTGACGTTCACACGGTAGACGCGACGGGCAGCGCGTCTGTGGCAACCCCACATCCCGCACGGACCATCCAGACTTTGCTCTCGGACGACCAACCGACAATTTCGAGAAATTTATTTCTGACACTGGAGGAAGAAGAATTCAACACAATAAGAGTAATTAAAAAAGGACTTAACGAGGATATCACGACGACACCTTTGAGAACAAGTCTTTGAGAACATCTCTCACGTAGAAGGAGACATACGCACAACCCTCCAAAATGGTCTCCAAACTCAACAAAGTCCGCAAGCACGTCTCCAAAAAGAAAGGCGCCAAGATGAACAGCCTGCACGAGAACAGCCGCGATGCGCAACGTCTCCGGAAAGCGTCCGTCCGCGACGAGCGTGTCCTGAAGACCGTATCGACAAAGGAGAAAGCCAACCACCACTGGCTGGACCGGGTATCCTTTTTCCAAGACAACCTACCGGACACTTTACATCCGATGGAAATGTCTCGCGTGCAGGATCTCATCGAGGAATGGCTCTCGCGACACGACGAGGAGGTCGCGACGTTGAAAAGTGAGCGGAGGCCCGGCCGGCCCGCGACGACGAGACAGACGCTCCTGGAGCAGGCGATTCATGCGGAAAGGCTAGAGTATGAGAGTGGGTTCTGGATGCCGAATTTGCGGGACGAGGAATCTCTGATTAAGCTGGATGCGTGGAAGGGCGATTGGTTGAGTCTGGCGAATTTGCGGTTCTCGCGCGTGGAGAAGGGTGGTGGGGTCAAGGACAGCCAGTTCCCGCCGAGAGGGTCGTCGTGAGTGGAGGGCTCCGGTCTGGCGGAGACTGTTGATCTCGTTTGAGGCGAGACGTGGATTGCGGCGGTCAGGATGGAAATATGACGCCGTGCATGTGTTCTGTGCGGGGATATCGTCTACCTGTACAATTTTTCTCTCCTTCTTGGACCTGACAGTGGCGACTTCATCATCGACATACCGTTTCCTTCCGAAACTGCGCCTGCTGAATGTATTACGCCTTCATTCCAAACGCCAAAAATGCGATAACTTCGACATGGAGAATTCGGGTGCGCCACACGGAAAGAGGAAACGAACGATCAAGCGCCTTCACTACCGAACTGGAGGGTCCACTCTGCGTTCTGCTTGAGGTCCTCATCACTGACTGTCGGCCGGGAGGCCTTGATGGCTTTGGTAAAGTCCTTGACCGACAATGGCGGCTCCAGGAGTTGATCGGTTTCGACATCGACCCAAGTCATTTCAATCGCTCCAGCATCGCCTGGTGAGCAGGGTGTGAGCTTCTCCTTGCCATCGACATTCACCTGCGAAAATTCGACGATTAGTATTGTTCCATGTCCGCCCGGAGAAGAATATTTCACAAGGACGGAAGGGGAGGATGTATACCTTTTTGTAATGCGTCGCAGTCTGGATTTTCCGCACAGGCTGCATGAGAGCATCTTGGACGGCAATAGTGATGTCACTACCCGAGTATCCCTCTGACAGCTTTGCCAGGGTGCGGTAGTCATCGGCAGTCATCTCACAGGGTGTTGAGCCGACTGCGAGTTCAAACATCCTGGTTCGGGCGGGAACGTCAGGGAGAGTGATGTGTACTCTCCGCTGGAAACGTCTTCGGATGGCACCGTCTAATTGCCAGGGGATATTGGTAGCGCCGAGAATGAGCACGCCTTTGCTGTCGCGACCGACACCGTCCATTTGTACCAGCAATTCGGTTTTGATACGTCGGGAGGCTTCCGATTCACCTTCTCCACGAGGACCGCAGAGCGCATCGATTTCGTCGATGAAGATGATCGAGGGTCGATTCTCACGTGCGAGGTTAAATAATTGCTTCACCAATCTGGACGAGAACAAATTAGCTTCTTGACGTTTTGTAAGACTTGATTGTATTCACCTTTCTGATTCACCCATCCATTTTGAAACAAGATCTGACGAACTGACGGAAAAGAAAGTGCTGTTGGCTTCAGTCGCGACCGCTTTGGCCAGATATGATTTACCCGTTCCAGGCGGTCCGTAGAGCAGGATACCTTTCCAAGGTTGCCGCTTTCCAGTGAACAGATGTGGGAATTTGATGGGTAGGATGACGGCCTCCTTCAAGGCCTCCTTTGCTGCCTCCAAACCTGCGACGTCCTCCCATTTGATGTTTGGCTTGTCCGTAAGAATCGCTCCCGCCAGCGCACCTCTTAATTTCTTGCTGTCCGCATCTTGTTCGTCGTCATCATCTTTGCCCTTTCCGCCTCCGTTGGATGCCTTCCCATTTGCGCCCATTGCTGCTGGTTTCTTCTTGTCTTCCTGTTCCGTGAGATGAGTCTTGAGTTTCTCGGCGCGTTCCATATACTCGGCAGCCTTCTGTCGGATCATGTCCTTTGACTTCTGATTCTTCTCCCATTTGAGCGCCAGCATGAATAATTCAAGTGCCTGGTAGTATCCTTGGTATGCATCTTCGTATTCTCCTGCCGTGTCCTTTTCGATGGCCTTCTTGACGGCCTCGATGGCTCGGCCAAGGAAGTCGGTGTTGGACATTGCTACCGATGATCGAGTGGTATGAGTCGTAGCGGAATACCTTTATTGATATCGCGGTGGTGGATGTAGTTCAATGATTGGCGACGAGTAGTTCAGCGAACTCGATTCGGCGGGATCTGCGGTCGTCGCAGAAGTTGCAAGCGTCGCAGTATAGATGATCAGATCTATGATGTTGCGGCGGCCAAGCAGTGTTAAGGCCTGAAATGTGATTTTCAGTAAGTCGTTGTTGAACGATTGATTGTTTGTCGATCAGACGTCAGAGCTCCGGCGTCGAGGCGGCAACGAAACGAGTTCGCAATGATGAGATGCCTGGAATGGACTGTGTATGGTGGGGAATACACACGACAGAAAGTGGTGGGGGAAACGACGAACTCCACCTGGAAATTCTACTGCGCAATCGTTCACGATGCCTCTTGAACTCATTATATATAACAATACTGCATTATCAACAGGACGATGCAATGTTTTTTTCGAGAGCATATCGTTGCTTGTTGCCGATAGATTGCCATCCGATTCGTGTATATATCCCAATATGTCTTTGTACTCACACCAAAAGACCGTCCTATGTAGATTTCACGCCCAGTAGTGTATACCACTGTAAAATCAAACTTTGACACTCAAATACACTATCACCATCATCAAGGGTTAAATCCATTCTTAGAATAGTTCCAGCACGACCATCTCAAACACTCCCATCTCGATACCCAATTCCAAGTTCCGAAGACTTTCACAATGGCGGAAGACCGCGCCCGCCTCCAATCCCTCACGGACGAATATCAAGATCTCCAAAACGACCTCAGCAACCTGGTCTCCGCACGTCAAAAACTCGAATCACAACAACAAGAAAACCAAAGCGTACAAAAAGTGATTTATCCCCATAATCATCCTCCACATGATATGGCCCATGATTGTCTCCCCCAGGAAAATATTTCAAGAGACTGATCGCATTCTGTGTAAAACCTAGGAATTCTCCACCCTCGCCGACGATGCCACAATCTACAAACTCGTCGGACCCGTCTTGTTGAAGCAGGAGACGTCCGAGGCGAAGAGTACGGTGGTGGGAAGGTTGGACTTCATCGGGAAAGAAATGTATCGTGTTCTCGTTCTCTCGTCTTCTCTGGGCTTTCCTCATTTCACCTCGAGAATGGAATGGTGGCTAACAAGATTGAAATCACAATAGCGCACGGATTGAAGGAAACATCAAAGACATACAGACGAAATCCGAGGAGAAGAAGATGGAGGTGCGTAGCTGATCTGCGGAATATTTCCCTATTCTTAATATCTTGACGCGCTTCGCCTCCTTTCGCCTCGCTACTTTCCTGGGATTGAAGCAAACGAAGAGAAAAAGAAGCAGAGTTTTCAATTAGAAATGAATGCCAGCGACAAACTAACGATGTCCTCGTGATAATGGGAATATACAGATTTTACGCATTCAAACAGCTTTACAGCAGCAGCAGCAACCACAAGGCGGAGCACCAGCATCAGCCGTAGCGGTATAATGCTGAGCAAGTTTCTCGAAAAAGGATGATCCTGCAGCTGTCACGGCCGGAGCTTCCAGAACACACTCCCTTTGGAAGACTTCGAAATGCGGGACATGTTGATTGTACGCGAGGGCTTGATTCTGAGCGGTGCTGGAGGTAAATGAAAGTCCGTTCCTCTCGGGAAGCTGGAAAGGAGAGAACGGAATTCGAAATGAGCGGGAGCGAAGGTCACCTCTGCCCATATCTGAATCTCCGATGTGATGATGCTGCTAGCAGAGCGACACAAGGAAATGGAATCGCACTGGTGATGAAAAGTTTTCTGTTTTTTTCTTTCTTATATCGTCGCCGTTTCCTGGTTGGACCTTTTTCATCATCATATGTACGTTGGTCGTTGCTCCCACCCTTCCTTCCGCGTCTCATGTGTTTCTTATCTCTCTCCACTCGTCAGATTCTTTGCGTCCTCGCTCGCAGCTCCTGGTCCATCAAAACCGCTCTTCAATCTCCCACAATCCGCTTCTCTAAACCTCGCTCCGGAATGGAAAAACAAAATCACTAACTTCCGTCCAATCATCATTTCCAACCTTCTCCCTCACCGCCTCCTGGTCATTAAAAATTCGTAAATTCATTAGATTGTAATCATCATACCACCAAATCCTCCCCATCATTCGTCGAGCCTTTTTCGACACCCTCAACTGGATAGTGAGGTGCGCAAAACAATGTCTGTCGGGCACTATCGAGAACATGCTTTCTGCTTCTCCTCGATGATTGCACTATTCCGAGGCGCCGCGGGAATCGAGCGCATTCACGCGGCGAAGGACACCAAAAGGCGGCAACCTCGTCCACACATTTTCGAAATCGGAGAGACGGCGCCGACGAGATTCTCAATGGCGCTTCGCGCAGCAGACGGCAAGTTCTCGAGCGGGCGATATGTCCTGAAGACGAGTCTTGTGCAGGGCTTCCGGAGGGGCTTTGGGGTCTGCCATCTGCACATGCGGTATTTCTTTTTGCATACCGAATCAGATCATACCCCCTAGTCTGGATCCGAAGGCTCACCGCCTTTGATCGAAGTGTAGCCGCTTGGCATCGCTGGCGTGCGGTTACCCGGCGCAGTCACATTCGCTCCAGTCGAGTGATTCACAGGATGGTTGACGATAGTCCCAGCGCCTGTGCCAGGCCCAGTGACGCCAGCGCTGCGCTTGACGACACCAGCCGCAGCTGCAAATGCACCAGCTGAGTTTTCGGGGCTGTCGTTAGAGATTTTGTTTTTGCTGTTGTTCATACTGGCGTTGGCGCCGCTGTTGCTGTGATCGTTGCTGTGAGGATGGGTGTTAACAGCGTGGAGCGTGCGGATATTGCCACTTTGGGGATATGTACCACCGGAGAGATGATCCGGGGAGCTTTGAGAAGGATTCTCTGGAGAAGTTTGGGCTGGGTTCCGCTGGGCTTTGTCTGCGGCTGGCTGGCCCTCAGAGATCTGACCAATATTGTTGTTGTTGTTGCGACTAGTGCCAGTGAGGCCAGCGTAGCCATCGGGCGGGGAGAGAGAGGCGTGGGAGTGTTTGTCCGAAGGCGCATTCTTGTCCGAGCGCGCATTGCCGTGGGATTTGAGGGAGGAGCCGCGAGGTGAGGTTCGACCTTGCTGCAAGGAGACATAGTGAGTGATGAGTGAAAGCCTAAGCAGAAGACCTGGTCGTTACGAATGAATGCTTACCAATTTTGCCCATCGCAATCCACAGCTGTTGCACAGGTCGCGCTGTCCACTCGGCCCACGTCGCCATTCCGGCGTACTTTTAGTATGACAGTTCGCACAATCCTTTTGCTGGTTGCCAGAGCCCTTTCTCCGCTTACGCTTCTTCTTTGATGCAATAAGCGCTTGAACCTCCTCGGCATACTGACGGTTCAGCCTTTCCAGCTGACGAATCTCGTACTGCCACGAGCTGGATTTGGTCGTTTTGAGTTCGTCGAAAAGATTGTCGTCTGATGCCAATGAAAGATCCTGACGGCCTATAGGGAGGCCATGCTCGCCGGCATGCGTCATCGCGGATCCGTCGGTACCTAGGAAGCGGTTCATGCTGGAGCCGTTGGCGCCTCTGGGGACACCATTGTTTGCGAGCACCGGATCATTCGAGTCGGTGGCGTTAGGCGGTAGACCAGTCGGATGATAGATGATAGTCGGCTGTTGTTCGTCGAGGTTCGGAAGCAAAGTTGGCGGGTCATTGGCCGAAGTTTGGGGAGGTTGAGACACGCTGGCCGAGCGCCCCGAAGCAAAAGTGTCAGTCGAGCTCGTTCGTTCGTTTTTGGGAGCTGGCGATCCAGAGAAAGCAGACGCGGCAATGGTGTTGATCCCACGAGGATGTTTCAACAACCGCGTCTGTGCAACGACAAAGGTTGGCTTCTGACCCACCACAGCATCTCCTGGGTAGAGAGTAGTGAAAGCGGACAGAACTTGACCTCGACGATTGACCATCTCGTGTTTGACTGACGCACGCGCGCCTCTTCGAGCATGTTCCAGAATGCGATTGAACTCCAGTTTAGACGGTGGGCGCATCATAGATTGAATGCTCACGCCGAGCAAGTCGTCGGGGACTCGGTCCAGGAGTGACCGAACATTGGAAGACACGAATAAAAACATGCCAGATGTAGATAATTTGGTCCACAGCTCGTTCTCACCGATGCCACCGCCGTGCTCGAGGTCTGTCCGACTGAGACTATAGACGGGTCGCTCACGGCCGACCATGATGATTGATTTGCGGCCCTTGCCTTGCTCAGTGTGCAGCGATCCGTGGCCTTCGAACCACATATATCCGCTGTGCTTGCGACGGATACGAAAGACGATGTTAACAGAGCTTCCAGCAGAGGTGTCTTTGAGCTCTCGCGTGACCGGGACAATGTCACTTGGATGACAGATCGAGCTGAGCGCTGTGCCGACTATTTCATTCGCCTCATACTCCAGCACGCGAGCAGCCGAAGGAGATATCCACTGAAATATGCCCTTAAGAGATAACACGTGGATAACATCGTCAGTATTCTCGAGCAGCACCTTGTCCCAGTTCCGACTGATATTGTCTCGTCCGTCAGCTCGGTCCATGCCGCAAAGAAGGTTCGCGACCTCATCGGCAGAAATGGTCTGGCCGAGATCGCTTTTATTCGGAGTATTCTCTGGGGCGTTGTGAGTGTAACGGGGCATCATGTCGCGCTGGTAATTGATCGAGTACGAGCCGTCTATAGAACGCAAAGACAGTCAGCCAAATGAAGTTTGAAGAACATTCAGCTCGAACCCGATCAGGATGGATCATCTCCGAGATGTGAAGGGCATCGCAGTTGTCTTAAATCTTCGTGATATGCTTACCTGAATTTCGGTTGGTCACCGACTGCGGGTTTTCGACCAAGTCCACCTGAAATCCCACGAAGTATTTGACCTTGGCTGTCTCGTCATCTGACATCCTCACAGGAACGATGGTAAGCAGGTTCATAAACGGCTGGCCGCCCCGTCGATAGTTGATCAAGGAAATCTGCGATTCCTTCTTGAGCTCAATCATATTCTTGAGGTAGAGGACGGAATCATCATCGACGTATTTCCGGTAAATACCTGATGCCACATTCCCATCTGGCGACTGCAGGAATCGGCAGTTTCGTCCGAGGATCATGTGCTTGGTGTAGCCAGTTAGTCGTTCAAAATTGTCAGAGCAGTAGACAATAGGACAGTCGTCCTTTTCGGCGTCGCACACCACAAAGGCGCATGACAAATCTACAGTGCCGATATCGATTTCGGGATTTTTGCGATTTGCTACGCGAGCCTGTACACATTATCAGCAAATCTAGAAGATGTCGAGAATGTCTTGCTGATGAGCACAAATTCAGCAAGCACTCACCAGAACCTGAAGCATGTCGAAGCCCGACGAGGCGTAAACTCCGCGAAGATCTGCAGATTTCGAGTGCGTGTTGCCGTTCGAGCTTGAGGGCCATCCCAATTTCGGTGCTTGCCATTCGAAATCCTGGTTATTTGGGTTTATGTTGCCAACAGCACGAAAAGGTCCGCGCATTCCGTCCGTTCCAGTAACGTCGGACACGCCATTGACGCCGTCAGGATTTGTTCCCAATCCAGCGTTCGGCGGCTGACCTTCGAACCGTGCCGTCTCGGGGTTGAAATTCTGTTCCGCGAATTGATTCAAACTTGAATTAGGATTGGGTCGCTGGTTTGGGTTTTGTGTCTGGTTCGGGTTCCAGCTTGGAGTTCGGTTTTGGTCATGATTTGGCGTGTAAGTAGGCGTGGCGTTTTGGCTTTGATTGGGATTTTGTATCTGGTTGGTGTTGGGATTCGGGACTTGATTTCGACTTGACTTTCGATGAACGACTGGCGCTCGCTGCATGGGACCAGCTATTTGAGCATTGTGACCCATCGCGTTCATATTATGATGCCCGGTGGATTGCATATCTGAATTCTGCATGTTGGAGCCATGCGAGAAATGCCGCATGTTATTGGGAGTGCCACCAGTCTGCTGTCCATATTGCGAATGTATGCTGCCGCTCCCAGCAGACCCGTGAGCTGACATGCCTCCATTCTGTGGCGTGGCTTGCCCGCCGCTGGCGTTCATGGGAGATTGCATCACCGGTTGGTTGAACTGGGCTTGGCTGTACATGTTCATTTGCTGCTCCATGGCATCAGTGCTCATAGCGCTGTTCATGCCACTACCGTCGCCCACAAATTCCATGCCCATGCCAACCGAGGTGTCAATATACGGACTCTTCATGCTCATGTCTAGCCCGCTGGATTGTCCCATGTTGTTGGTCAGACCGTAAGGCGAATTTTGTGCCATCATGGCATTGTAAGTCTGCGCATTGTTGGCGAAGTCCTGGGTGTTGAGTGCGAGATCTCGCGCACCATGGGCGTTGTGATGGGTCATCCGTCGATGTGGCTGAGGTGCGATGCCTCCGCTGCTGTCGTATTGAAAATTCGCCAGATCTGCCGGCGAGGCACTGCCGTATTCCATCATTGATATCCGTCGCATATCGGCCACGTTGATGCCTGCGGGGTTGTTCCCAAAAGGCTGCGGCATGCTCTGTCGACGGATCATTCGAGAATTCTGGCTCACAATCTCATCCAAGGTCTGTCCTGAGTCACCTCCCAACAGTCCGGCCGGGCCTCCAATCGTAATCATCCCGTCCGCTCCATCGTTGTCGTCGTCATCCATTCCACCACCATGACCACCGCTGCCATCATAGGCGTTGCCGTAAGCGAATCCATTCATTTTCCGCCCGAACATACGTGCCAGACGAGTTCGGGAGGTGAGTCGCGTGCTCGGAGGACGAGCCTCGAGCGAGGCGACGACGAGTGGGCTGTCGCAGCGTCGCAAATTTATCCGCTCGCCAGCATGTGCAGCAGTGCGTTGAAAGCCTGCTCACAATCGGTAGGTTTGAATAGGGCGAAAATTCGAGAATTCAGCCGTACAGATGCGAGGATCGACCTCGAGCGACGGCCGTAACTCGGTCTCGAGAAAGTCACCGTTGGTGGAGGAAGCGTGGGTGCGCAATATCACGACTTGACCAAGTGAGGCGCGAGAGTTCTGGCGTCGTCCGAGATCGAGAGGGCGACGGGTGTGTAGTCGCAGAAATATGCGAGTGCGGATGTTGTCAGAGGGTGATGGCGTCGAAAGTTACGTGTGGAGGGTGTGAGGTCGTCGAAGTGACCTCTATCCATACCAGAACAAGCTGGAGAACAGTAAGACTGGACGGCACAGATGTCCACGGAAGGGCATATAGTACGGAATAGACACCCGCCTCTGTACACTACCTCATTATTTACACATAACATCCACACCTGCATGGAGGGAAACAAAGGAGGGCCTGGGGAGAGCAGCTAGTCACGCTCCAGGTGGACTGTAGTCATGATTTCTTGCTATTGAAAAAACGATCTTAGATCCGAGGCGGAGGAGCGGGCGGACCAAGTGGGTGGGAAAACCCCCATTGCAGAGGAGGTATAAACGAACCAAGTGGCGGACCCACGCCCGGTGGTGTGGTGCCTGACCGTAGTATTCGTCATTGGGCGGGAACCAACAACTGAAAGCATGATGAGGGTTGTGAACTCGAAGAGATGTGTACATATATGCAGCCTTCGTCGCCGCACACCCAAATTGATGCTTTGGATCACTGTCCCCTTGGGACTGTGTGGATCATTTGTCATTCGCATGATTTTGACTCCTGTGATTGCTGAGAACCATCAACTGCGAGAAGTATGTCGGTATCAAGAACTGGCCAAAGGTCGTGGATGAGGTTCAGGACCGTGCCCGTGTAGTATTCCGTGCAGACACACAAAAATCCGATCGATGCAGCAACTTTCGCTGATATGCAATTACGGGAGTGAGATAAACGTCTAGTCGAGTGTTGCCACTTATGCTCCTGACAACAGTGTACTGCAGAAATGAAATGTATGTAGGAAGCTCAAACCCGAAGAACCCACGGAACCGACATCCTTTCAACCCGCCCGGCAGGGAGTCCTCGCCACTGTGCTGCAGCCACCGGAGCCTTGGAGATCGGCGGATTGAGTACAACACACTCTCTGCGCAATCCACCTCCAAATCCTATCGTTATACTGTGCCAACCGTTCTCCCGCTGCTAGTCTTTGATCGGCAGGACAGCGAGCGTGTCGGCAGTCATTAAACGGCTGGTGGAAGCCGGTTTGCACTTCCCTTTACGCGTAAGTAGTCGCGGCATGCGAACTGTCTACAAGGTGTCGTCTCTACATCCGTCAGTGCAGGTAATTTGGTAGCTCGAGGCTGCAGACCGATGAACCGACGTGCAACTGCTTGTTTCGTGAGAGGAGATTGTAGAGCGAGTTTCCATATCGTTACGGATGGCCCTGCGTTCTTGATTATCGGAGCTACGGCGACACTCGGGATCGTCCTTCGTCGAGCTGTGCGTGTACGATCCGTGTCACCGTCGTGCGACCGAAGATGGACTTGAGAAGAGGAAGGCTGAAGGAGATGAATCCGACAGTCTGACAAGCACAGCGGCGATTATATCTGCAATGTATCTTATTAATGCACTGGTGAAGTATATGTGCGTGCTGTGGGTGGCACACCTGCCAGTCATTTTCGCCCCGATTCGCGGACGAATCAAAAGTCCGCATGCTGTTCATTCATCTTTATGGCTTCGCAATCCCGGCCGCCGGGAGCAGCGGCTTCTCTCATTTCATCGCTATTGGCATGGGGTGCTCGAGCGTCGAAGAGGCATTGCACCGTGGAATTGCGGTATTCACGATCGGCCTTGGACATGTCTATCGATGGCAGACGAAGGGCAACATTTTCTAATCTGCCAAGGTGGCCGTCTGCTTGTCGGCCGTTTGGTCAAAAAAGCTTTGTGGTCGTCCCGGTGGACAACCACACGGTTGTACCGGCTTTTGGATGGGAAAAGGTCCATGCAGGTGTGCACGCGTCCTGCTTGGTCGTGGACAGCGGTCGGACGTGTGACATCATCATCCAGATCGGTGGATCTGCAGCACATCGGTGAGGCCCACCGATTCGCGATGCTGGGGGAAATTGCGCTGCATACAACCCGATGCTAGCGACATTCTTCATCCAACAAGAAATGCTCATTGGCTGTACACACCGCCGGTCGGGCCTCACTGGTGAATCTCACTCTTCCAGTGCGGCGTCGAAGTATGTCGACTTCTGCATCGCACATTGTGGTCTCACGACGATCTTCGTCAAGACCATCTTATGGATCCAAATCAACATAGATTCTCGGTAATAAGACATAGAAAGCGCATCGGGAGAGAATTCCATGAAACATCCACGCTTGAGGAGGACACTATATAAGTATGCATGTCGCTTGGTTATCATGTGCATTGCGAATCTAACGCGGATTCATCATCTTCTTCCACCGAACAATCCCAATGCTTGCATACATACCCATGTTTCACTTCAAACGGAGCTGCGCTCGACCCTCTGGCATGCTGTGGGATACTCGCGTGGCCCTGGGCTCTTGTCATGAATCTCCAGCGAATACGAGTCGGATATATTAGACCACAAGACATCATGTTTCACCAACTGGGCAGCCCTGCAGCCCCAAGGTTATCATCAGTCGGCTAAATTATATGATTTGTGTGAGCACACCCACCTACATTTAGAAATGTCTGACCTATAGCGGATAATTCTACCAGGACAGCTATTATTCAGAAACCTGGAACGGAGCAATCCACTGCCAGCTGACGCATGTCATTCGAACCACACTAAGACAATCGAAATACTCCGTGGACATCTTCATAAGTCGAAGGAATGGATGCATTATCATTTCCTTCGTATCATCTCTCCTCACAGAGGGTTCCACATTCGAATTCTTCATTGCACATCCATTGCTTTGCCGTCTACGAGACGAATTCCAAAAACTGCACGTGAATCATTTCCGCGCCGGAGATTCCATCCGTCAAGAGGTGAATGTGGTCCTTGAAGGTCTGCGTCTCACGGAATTTCAAGTGAGAATCGACAGCATCCCAACCGATCGCCAGGACGACCGCCTTGCCCTTCTTTGCATCTTCCAATGTGACCTCCTCGTGTGTGAATCCATACGCCGCGCCCTGGTAACCCGCGACCTTCGCCTCGAGGTTGGCCTCGTGGAATTTCAGGACACCGGCTTCGTATGAGTCTGGAACGGCGCCCGGGAAGATGAAGGTCGCGAGCTCGGTGACGGGCGCAGTGAGTGCTTTGTCGTGGATTTCGTTTTCTGGCTTGAAGTCGACGTGGATGATGGAATGGTCGCCACCTTTGATGCTGAGGAAGCTCTTGGCGAAGCCCGGGTATTCGGCAGTGGCCATGAAGTCTTTGTGGGCTTGTAGGCTGTCCCAGGCTGAAAATGCCATCAGTCATGACGGCCGATCAAGCGACTGTCAGGAGTACTTACTGATGATGGCTTTGAAGACTTCGGGCTTCTCTACGACCGTTCCAAAGTGGATCTTTTGCTCTCCATTATGCTTCTGGATCGTGCTGAAGCACTCCTTTGCGACCGCGGAAGCGTTGTTGCCTGGGTCGCCGATGTTGTTGCCGGCCGCAAGCGGCATGGTAAAGATCTCGTATGCAGGCATGACGATGGTGATGATGTATCAAAGTTGTGATGGTTTAAGTAGATATGGTATGATCAGGTATAGGACCTCTGTACAATTTCTAAGAAACAAGTATCGAGCAATAGACACAGGTGAACGTGAGACAAGGGAGCTCTGATGATCAATATATACTTGCTCAAGATTGATCTCCACCTGCACGCTCGCCATTTACTTGGCATTCCTCTCATGAAGCTGCTTTTCTCCACCTGAAGAGCTCTAGGCTCCGAGCGAGGCACATCGTTTAGGAGCGAGCTGTCCGAAATTGCGAATCATGATTGATCAATCGCAGGTAGCTCTCATGCAGGGCGTCCTTGGACGAACTACATCATGATCCCATATGCGGTATGGCTTTGGGCCCACGCGATAATCCAGAAGCCAACTAAGGAGAGCTTCCCCGCATCATGTCATGTTCGTGACCAGGTTGGACAAAGAGCAATGAACATGCCCGAGAACGATTGCGACAATCCACTTATCGGTGTTGGATGGTTGCTTGTGACAGGCGTGTAACAGCGTACTGGTCGATGGGTAGATCCCCGCGAACTGCTTCGTCCCGTTGGCTTGGATCTGCAGAGAGCAGGCGTTGTCAAAGAAGACTGAAAGGTACCATCAAACATGCTCGTCAGGACGATGTGAAATGTTATGCAATCTACATTTCAGAGCACCTATGCTTGGCGTTCTCCCTTCAACCCGCGGCCGCCCGAATGACGTTGATGACCATGGTGGTCTCGATGTCGTGGTGAAAAGCTCATGTGTCGGCGGACTGTCAGCTCCGACCGTTCCCGTCCATATTCAGTGGCCGCATACCAAGGCAGGTTTACCGTGCGAAAAGAGCGGAGAGTCGGGATGACTTCCAGATATCGCGTGACAGCGTCTTTGGATGTGAGATTACTTCATTGGTCGCTCCGCATATCGGGAGTTTTCTCTCAAAACATGAGAAGTCGTTATCTGTGGAAATCCTCTTGTTACGCCGATGACTTGCTGATGACTTGTGGTTGCTGTTTACCAACCCTAAGGCGTGAATACGTTCCCCCCGAGTCCACGGAACGAGCCGAAATGACATCGTCTACCACTTTGGCACGCTTCGAGCGCGTTTCCCTTGACATCCGGGGTCTAGGGTATTTTGGTTGGCGACACAGTGTTCACGGAATCACACCTGATCTAGGAGGAACTCGAACTCTGTTTGGATGACAAGACACGCGACACAAATATCAAATTTCTGAACCTGATTTCTCGATCAGCTAGGCAGTCAACTGGTTGTGTAATCACTTTCACCACGATATGCCCTCGGCTCAATAGATCGCTTCCCTCGACCGCACTCGCCATTGATCGAAGATGAATTCGACAGTCTCATCGCTCCCGAGCGTGGAGATACCTGCCGCTGCTCTGGAGTTCTTCAACAATGCCGTTGCCTACCTGCAGAAGATTCCTGGATCCGCCATTGTCGTCCGATACATCCGCTCCTCATATCAAAATGATCCCATTCGAAGTCTCTTCGAGTTGATCCTCCTCCTTTTCGCCGTACAATACCTTCTCGCGCCGTCCTACAGCACAAAGAAGGGCAAACAGATCAAACTGACTGAAGACGAGATTGATGACCTGGTGGAGGACTGGACCCCAGAACCGCTAGCTGCTGAAGAGACGGAGTTTGAAAGGGCAGAGAACGAGAAGCGTCCGGTCATCATCGGTCCAGCTGCAGCGAAGACGAAACTTTCCAATGGGAGGAACGTTCTCAATCTCGCCTCGTATAACCACTACGACTTCTCACACAACCCTGAATTGACTGCAAAGGCCATTGCTACCATCCGAACATATGGCGTAGGTCCATGCTCACCTCCCGGCTTCTACGGTACGCAGGACGTCCACATGAAGAGTGAGAAAGACGTGGCGGCACATCTTGGAGTCCAAGCGTGTATTATCTATGCTCAGAGTTTCTCCACAATTTCCAGTGTGATTCCCGCGTTCAGCAAACGAGGAGATGTCATTGTCGCCGATAAAGCCGTCAACTTTCCCATTCGCAAGGGTCTGCAGATCTCACGTAGCACCATTCGATGGTTCGAGCACAACGACATGGAGGACTTGGAGCGGGTACTCGCAAAGGTGGTAAAGGAAGGCTCAGGTAAACCGCTCACCCGTCGCTTCATCGTCACTGAAGGTCTGTTCGAGAATGTCGGTGACATGGTTGATCTCCCGCGATTGGTTGCGCTAAAAGAGAAGTACAAATTTCGAATCATCCTCGACGAGACTTGGTCATATGGTGTACTTGGTCGGACTGGTGCAGGCGCAACTGAGCATCAGAACGTCGATGCCACCAATGTCGACATGATCATCGGAGGACTGTCGGGATGCATGGCCAGCGGCGGAGGCTTCTGTGCCGGTACGAAAGAGATTGTCGAGCACCAGCGCTTATCTGCAGCAGCATACACCTACTCGGCAGCACTGCCCGCACTCCTCGCCACGACTGCATCAGAAACCGTCACACTGCTGCAAGAGCGACCTGAATTCATCCAAAATCTCAGAGGGAACATCAAAGCCATGCGTGCTCAACTTGATCCGCGAAGCGATTGGGTGCGATGTGCTAGCCACGAGGACAACCCGATCATGCTTCTCTCTTTGAAGGATCACATTGTGCGTGAGCGAGGACTTGATCGTCATGATCAGGAGGCACTATTACAAGATGTCGTCGATGAGGTAAGTTTTAACATATGATTCTGACAGAGCGCAGACCTTGCAACGTGAATGCTGATCGAGATCTCAATAGTGTCTCAACAACGGTATCCTCATTACTCGTCTCAAAGCTATGCCAGTCGCTCTCGGCGCTACTCCAAAGGACCTCATCAAGGAATGGCAACCAGTGCCCGCCCTCAAAGTTTGCATCACAACCGGTCTCAACAAGAAGGAAACTGAAAAGGCCGGAATCATTATCCGCCACGCTGTCACGACCGTCATGAAGGGCAAGAAATGGCAGCGCGGTACTGCGGCGCCAATGACGAACGTAGTTGTTGCGAGTGCTGCAGCAGCAACGACCGTCGCCGCGACAGCAGGCGCGGGAGCCTGACTAGCACGCTCTATTGGCTGGAGCTGAGTCTAGGTTCGGAAGATTTCCTCGATAACTATGACATGATCAAACTGAGGGTAGTATCGAGATCTCTGCGCACCGGACGTGAAGCTCAAAATCTGATCTGGCGAAACAGCAAGTGCCTGCCAGGGCTTTGCAGATGTCTGATGCGAGACAAATTTTGAACTGGAGACTGACGACATCATGTGCGCTACGCGTTGGCCGCGGACACCCTCGTTGGGTGATCGCACGCATTCTGTGCTACTCTTCCCTTTCTTAACTCTATCGTGAAGCCGGTCCGGTGCTGATCACAGTGAGAAAGACCGGTTCTTTCTGATGCCGGCTGAGCTATTTTGGCCTATATATAAATCTTTAATTGATAATAATTCTTGTTGATGACCTTGTTCGCGAATAATGACAACTCTTCAACATTATCGGCCTGGGGTCGGGATGTTTGTGAAGTCGAATTTGTGAAATGCTTGTCTGGTTTTGGGCTCGAATTTCCATCTGTCGACTAGGTGAATGTGCCGATATCGTCACTCATCGCAGTAGACAAGTCTACATCCAGAAACGCGTGAAGAAACAGTGATCGATCTCAGAACTATGAATAGCGTTCCGAACCGCTGTAGAAACATCAGTACCCTATCTTTCGATCCACAGATAATTCCATCTGAGACCATTCGCGTCGACAAAGCACCTTTGACCACCAACGCGATGAGCAACCATGCCGTACGACGAACACAGCGGTCAAGTATTCAGCGAAACGATCGTCAGCGCTCCTCGACGTTTGATCAAGACCACACAGAGCCAGAAAAGGCTTAGATCCCAACCACACGCACACGGCGCTCGTAGTCTTCGCAAAATCGCCCTACAGACCACTCTACGCAATGTCAGAGGCATTACAGTCGAAGTCTTGCAATGTCTGGACGTTCTCATGGTCGAGCAACTTTGGACGGCGATCCAGAACGCGTGAGTAAAGATCGGCTGGTGTCATCAGGTCAATACACGAGGAATTATCGAGCATCTTCTATTTTATTGATTGTAAGAACCATCTTCTAATTTCCCCGACGCAAATCAGAGACCTAGATGATCTCTCCATCTGCAAGACATTCGCTAGCTCCGGGCTTGTGAAGTCTGTCCGCGGCCTGCTTAAGATCGTTGATTTCGATAACTCCGATCGCCTGCCTCAGATCATTGACCTCTGCCAGTGCCCATCGCCTTCTATCGATTGGCTCACTCGATTGAAGTTCACCAGGCACCAGACGAGTATTGCTGAGCTCATGTCCATCACGCGCCTCGCCAATCTTCAAACGCTCTACATCACAGTCCGCGAGGACATCTGGGGGTTCGGCTTTGATCGTATTCTGCGCGCATGGGAGCAAGATGTTGTGCACAATGGCGCGTTCCAGCATTTGCGGGCCATGTTTGTGGATGACCTTGCAAGGCGCCCGCAAAGATGCTCGCTCCAAGCAGTTGAGGTTTTCCCTACATTGGAGGAATTTCACGTTGCTACGCGAATGAAGTCGCTATGGATCGAGCCAGAAAGGACATTGGGTTCGAGGTGGAGAATTGACGAAGAGTGAGTATATCTGATGCTCCTTACATTCTTCCACAGACCCGTGCCGGCGGTCAATGAGGCTGACAGGTGCTCCAGCACACGATTTTGGCGTAGTTCAGATGTGTTACATGAACCATCGCAAATTGATCAATTGAATTTCGAGCGATGGGTCGACAAGTATTTAACATACGATCGAAAGTGGGTTGCAAGGAATACGGCAATCGGCAAGCCTTTTGTCATCGCAAATTGTGGAGCAAGCAGATTTTCGTTGAAGCCCGTGGATCGCGATCTCTTCAAATCCCACCTCTTGTGCCGAGAGCGGAATCTCACGAAGCGCCCCATCGTAATATCTCCATCACTGCCTGCCGCACCCGCAGCGGGACCTCATGTCCGAAAGAAGCTCAAAATGAGAGCATCCAAAGTTCAAACGATGGATGCAGAATTCGCTCTTTTCTGAACCAGAGATCGCGTTTGGAGAAATCAAGTCCAACATGATGTCGGTCCTCGCAGACTTACTAGAGCTCATCGTGAGCGTTTGGAGCCGCATCAAATGAGTCAGCACAGGCAAAGGACGAAGCTTGACCAGGGTCACCGCTCCTCTTGGCCGCCACTTTCGGCCAAGGGCACAGTGGTCGATAGACGACCGGTTCTCCGGCAGAAGTTGGCACGCTCTGAGCATCCAGAACTTCTGGAGCAACGTTTTCCTCCACCCAGCGGACAAGGCTTTCCAGAGCGCGTAACGGAGCTGGACCAGGACCACCAGCACAGTGAGCAACGCCAGGAGCCTCGAAGAATCGATAGAAGTCTCGAACGTCTGGTGAAATGGCGGTGACACGATCGTAGTATGTCGAGGTTCCATTCGGCATGATCAACGTATCTGCAAGGCCGTGCCACGAGACAATCTTGCCGCCCTTCTTCTGGAAAGGTCGCAGATCAGGGTCGCTGGTGTCCATTTGCGAGAAATATTCCTCGCGCGAAGCGCGCAGGATGTCGAGGTATGACTCCTCGGTGATACTCCCGACATCGAAGTCTTCGTCCTTGATAATGAGTTGCCGGATCCAGTCGGCGCTGATGGGAAAAGGATCGCCTTTACAATTCTTGTTATCGGTATCGCAGATGGTGTTCACTAATCCTTTTCCGAGCTCCGAATTGTAGAGTGTCGTCTCGCGCGTAAGACCTGATGAGGAATCAGTCGAATACACAGTCGATGTCTTAACATGTCACGATGCAAGATGCTCACCGAACCACACGGGTTTGCCGTTGGCGTCACTTGGACCAGTCCACGCTGCATTCGCGATCTCTGCCGCAGCACTCGTGATCGTCCTCTTATCTCCCTCGCAGTCATACTTCTGCCCGACAACAGAGGTAGCATTGAATTTGCACAATCCAGGCGCGCTGACAAGTCCATCTACAACCCCATCGAGCCCATCACAAGCCTCGATAGCCGCCTTCGTGATGGCCTTCAGCTCACAAGGCGGCGGATAATACCCCAACCTCTTCATAACCAGCTGCGCCCAAAACTCAACAACCAAAAAGGTGGTCCAATTAATCGCCGGCGCCGCCGCCAAAACTCCATCAAACGCCCCCGGGAATTTCTGCGCCAACATCATCCCCTGCCGACCCCCCGTCGAGCACCCATGCCAATACGAAAACCTCGCTTCCTCGCCGTAATACGCCTTCACCACTGCCTTGCCCACCACCGCAAGTTCCCCCAACGCCCGGCTCGCGAAATTCTCCAGCCAAACCCGATTCACCTCTCCCTTGGCCCGCAATGACCAGTTCTTGGAACTGTACACCACTTCGTCGCGAGTGCCGTAGATGTTCCTTCCAGCATCCGTGCTCGCGCTAGCATAGCCCAGCGATACGACTGGGGAGAGCTGTACCGGATCACCTGCTTTCCAGCCTCCGCCGCCCTGGCCTAGGAAGCGCCCCGTCCATTTTGCGCGTGTGAGAGGCAGCCAGACTGTGAGGGTGACGCTGTCGTTTTGTCCTGGGTGGGTGTAAAGGATCGTCACGTTGCAGAAGTCGATCGTGCTGGAGGGGTCGTAGATTAGTGGAGGGATTATCCAGGATTGGGCTTTCGCTGTGAGATTGTGAACGGGTGTGGCGAGGAGGGTAGTTATCTGGAGGTCTGGGAAGGATGGGAGAGCCAGGTCAGTGGGATTGCAAGAGAGTGTTATTGCTGTTGCTGTTGTGGATCCGATGAATTGAGTGCCGACGAGGCATAGAATGGCCAGGAGTCTGTTCTGGAGATACATGACTGCTAAGTCCCAAATTATCTTCTCTTAGCAATAGAAAAAAGAGAATGTCAGGTTTAATTCGTGTTGCGAACCAACGTCGAGATCAATACATGTAGTTCATGTCGAACGGTGGGGCCAATGACCTAGGTGAGCACTGATCGCGACGCTCATTCTCGGCTTCTGGACACTTCTGGATCCGCGATTGGAGTATGAGACGACTAGGGTTGCATGGACCAGCACTAATCGCGGCGCTCATTCTCGGCTTCTGGATACTTCTGGATCCGCGGATTCAATTGGAGTATGAGGCGACTAAGGTTACATGGACCAGCACATAATTACTTCGGTGATCATCACGGTCCAAATGAAATGGTGTGGAAGCACGGGATTCTTCGGCCCGAGTTCTATGTGCTTATCCGGATGGATGTAGTGGCATGGAACTAGTGCATTACGAAGCAACAGGAATCTCTTCACTTCAGACTTTTGAAGCATGATTATACAGGTATACTTCCAAAAACGCTAAATAAAGACATTACACATGATGATTTAGTGCTGCAACATCGGAAGTTCTCTGATACTCTTCGCAAGATGTGGCGTTGAAGGCGAGGTAGCGCCATGTTGCTTCTTCAGTGCTGCTGCAAAATCCTTTTCAGTTTGTTTTCGATCTTCGATCAGATCTCATCCAAGGGAATTGTTCATCGTCCCTCTAAGCCTTGGTGGCCTGGTCGACCTGTTTCTTGGCCTCGCCGGCAACCTCTTGAGCCTTGTCCCGGGCCTGAGCACCGAGCTTGGCGGCCTCGTTCTGAGCTTGCTCGCCTTTGATCTGAGCGTCCTTGGCAGCGAAGCCAGCGGACTCCTTGAGCTTGGAAGCGGCGTTCTCTGTGAAAAAAGAGCATCGTCAGCGCCATGTGCTGAAGCAGTCTGATTTGGGTTGACAGGATGGTTGTGTCGATAATGGCACTACATACCGGCAGCCTCGATGGTCGGAAGGACGACCTTCTGTGAGACGGTCTTGTCGGCGGTCTTGATGGCGTCGGCAGCGGACTCGGTGACGGACTTCTGGACGCGCACCGAAGTGCTGAACAGGCGGGCGTTGCGGACGAAAGCTTGACGGTACATGATGACGGTTGTTGGTGGTATGAGGGAGATTGTTGAGTGATGAGATTGTGTAACCGTGTTGATTGAATTATAGATGTAGGAAGGAAGGTGGTCGGTAGAAGAGGAATTATATGTATCCAACAACAGGATCGTTGTCTGCAAAGACGAGCTCTGTGTCTCACAAGCTGCATCTCATGCGCCCTACGTCATCGTTACAAGCTTTCTGTAAGGTTCGGATGGTGAAATGTGCCCCGAGCTTCAGCGCCTTGATGATGATGGAAGGCGGAAACGCCAATGCGGTGCGACACGTGCACGGGGACTTCCGCTGGACATATTCGCCGAGATCGACCATCTCGAAACGACCTCACCGAGACTTGCGTCCATGATCCTATCGGCTCGTCTTCCAATACCGCGAATGGACCACGTCGGCACTTCAATACGGCTTGTGCAACTTCATTCCTCGAAATACAAGCGAGGATTACTGTGGTCGGCCACGAGCTGTCCGGAATGCCTCCCGAACAGGTTTGCTGACGCTGGCGCGTAAACGATGCAAGGTAGAGATACTTCTCCCTGTGCTTCAAGTATCGAGACTTGCTTCGCAAAGCCTCAGAAGATAATCCTTGGGCCCGCGATGAGCGATGGGTCGCTTCCATGATGTCAAGTAATCAACAAATTCAAAATCTCATTTAATACTAGCACAGCTTGTTCGGGTTCATTGCTCAGCCCGTGGATCCACTGAAAAGACAGCCACGTCTGAATATCTTACCACGATGACCACAGAGAAAACGCGTGCATGTGATAGTGTATGAATTTCACAGGGATTTGTCGATGAATGGCAATTGGCTTTCCGGATGACGCTGGCGCTTAGAACACAGTATTCAGAAGTCAGCTTGTAACAATGAATGTTCTTGGAACGTCCTATTGCGCTCTCGTGTCAGCGGCTGTATATCGATCTGATGAGGTGTTCTCAAGGAGATGGTATCTGCAAAGCAACGCATCAATGCGTCCAGTGAGGCTCCAAACCCAGGATCCCTCGCCATGTAGTGTGACAGTCTCGATCACGTTGTGCTTGCTCCCTCAGGCCGGACGTTACACAAGCGCATAAAATTCCTTTGATTTCACCGATGGGTCGCAGCCGATAAGGTGGTAATCTTGCTTTCATTGCAAACGCTGCTTGCAATTGTTCTACTAACAACGATTCCGTCACCAATTGGCGCATAAAATGCCACTAGAGCCGTTCAGCTGCAACCACAACGCCCGTATGCCTGGCAGTGATGACCCGCTACCGCCGTACACCTGCTACGATGAGCGCACCATATCACGAAGCGATAATAATTTGAGCCCCGATGAGCGATGTGAGGCAGCAAGCTGGCGTCGATTTGCGGGAACTCCTGCCCATCTCTTCGCCCGGGAATGGTGGGAACAGGCACGCATACTGCAAGGCGATGATCGAAATACTAGCCAAATACGTTTCGATTCCGCAGAAGCTGAACGTTCCTGATATCCGGAGAGAGAGAAGAGTAAGGCGCAGAACAATGTGATCGCGCGCTGGAAAGAGCGAGGCATCTGGTCGTCATCATGGGGCGGACCCTGGCCCGTGATTGGGAATCCTCTCAGACATTCTTTCATCGAGCCAGAACCAGGCTCGACCTGGCTGCCTATTCAACACCACCCAGCGCTCGTTCATGGCGGGGCGGGACAGGTTATGGAATCATTCAAAAATTCCTGTCGCAAGCACCATGAGCAATCTATGGAACTAAACGGGAGCCCACACATCTATCCAGAGGGATCGCGCCCCTTCCAAATGTTTCTCGCTGAGGTGGAACGAAAGCGCGAGACAGTGCTTAGGGATCAAGAGCTCTGTCGGCGCAGACACGGTCTCGAACTCGACGAGAGCGAGCTCAATCCCGAGGAAATTGTGCAGGAATCCTGGCGCGAGGACAAACTCTGGTCGCCAGCCTGGATCGACCTTCCAGGAGGCATATGGCCCCATGAAAAGCCAGATAAATCATGGGAACGACTCAGGAATGGCGCTGGGTGGAAAGAAATTACTGTGATAATGCCGGACGGCTCGCAACATATTGCTGAAACCATCTTCGGTGGCGACATCGATCTCAGCGGCAAGCTTCCACACGACTTTACGAGATCGTCCAACGAAAGTGGGTCAAGCAACACTGAAGCAGATCGCACGACCATCGTGCCAGACGCAGAGACCTACCAGAAGGCGAAATGGGCAGGAGGAGAGACAGGGAGGTTGTTAGGAGATGCTCGATCGATCCATCAATACCCCTGGGTGCTACAGCAGCAGCAGCAGGCGCAGCAGGCCAGTGAAAGCCAAAAAGAAAAGGGGCCGACGACCGGAAATCTTTCCGATTATGATACCTAATGAAAGGACAAGTTTCCCATAATCCCACCAGATCCTACGAGCGAGCAACGATCCACGTTTCCTCCTCCCCCTCTTCTTCTTCTTCTTCTTCTTCTTCTCTTCCCTCGCGACTTCCTACCCAAAATTCCCTCCGACACTACTACGCCGCTCACGCACGCATCCCTCTACCCGAACAACGCCCGAACGACGCCCTGCGTCTCCGGCGGGAGTCCCGCCAAAAGGACATGGGCGTCAAGGCCGGCCATGGCGATGAGTTTCTTGCCGGCCTCGACGGCGCGCTGGGCGGAGGCGCCTTGGAGGGTTTCGGCCTCGAGGGCTTGGGCGATGTGGGTGAAGCATTGGGAGGCCTTGGCGAGGACGGCGGGGTTTTGACTGTGGGGTGGAAAAAGGAAGATAGGTTAGCAAAGAGTACATATAGATCATGATGGAATGGGTCCGGGCGGGAGGGAGAGTGGAATAGGGGGGAGGGAAAAGGAAAGCGGAAAAGGGAAAGGGTGACATACTCGTCGATCAATCCCGCGAGGAAACCATACGCGAAAGGCGCGGCCTCCTCGTCGTTCACCACGGGGAGCGTGTCGACCCAGGCGTTCACGCACTCCTGCACATTCTCCACCTTGGAGCGGTTGAAGTGGAGGACCTTGGCGATACTTGCGCAGGCGTTCTCGGTCGCAAAGACGTCGTCTTCGCTGCGGGCGTCCGGTCTGGCGACGACGCTGAAGAGGATGGGGAGAGATCCAGCGGCGAATTCCGCCCAGGGCTCGCCGCCCTTGTGCGCGGCCACACCGGCGCCGTAGCAGGCGGCTTGACGGTTGGCGGGGGCATCATCGCGCATGCCGGTGACGAGCGGCTGGACGATATGCGTGTGGTAGTGCCAGGAGGCCGGACCGCAGAACTCGAGGACGTCGTCGAGGATGCAGAGGGCCCATTGGCGCTGGGTGGGGTCGTCGGGGGAGGCGACGAAGTGGGCGTAGTAGCTCAACAGGCGCTCCCAGTGGGGAAGGAAGGAGGTGGACTGGTGCTTGAAGAGGGTGTGGAAGGCCTTGTTCATGTCGGAGAGGAGGGTCTGATCGTCCTCGACGGCGAATTCGAAGGCTTCGGAGGGCTCCTCGCCGTCATCGCGCTCGGCGGCCTCCTGGGCGCGCTCGGTCACACGGGTCTGGTAGTCCTTCAGGACGGTCTCAGCGGAGGTGATGAAAGTGGACATGTGCTCGTTGGACATGCAGTCCTTGCCAGAGACTTCCACAGACTCGTAGAAACATTGGTACATCTCCGCCAGGGTCTCAATGGCGGGCTCCGTCTCAAGGACTTCGAGAACCTTCTCAATCGTGCCCTTCCACAGGTTTGCATATTCGGCACTGCCAACCCCGTACGCAACTTTGTATGAGTTGAGTAGTTGGGGGACGGCTTTGGCTGCAGCGACGCGTACTGGGTCGTGGAAGAAGAACGCCAAGCTGGGCAGAGCAACAGTCTCCATAGCTTCTAGGACATAGGGCGCGAATCCGGCGTCCAAGTTTTGTGCGTAGACGGAGATGAGCTCGATGGCCATGAACTTGTCATCAAGTGTGCTGGTCTTGATACCGATGTATTTGCCCTTGAGAGCCACAAGGTCCCAGCCTTCTTCCTGTTCGATCTGTGCAACGTTCTCGGCATCATCGAGCAGCTGGATATCAGCCTTGGCCTGTGCAAGCTTCATCAAAGGGGGCATGACGGTCTGAAGGTAAGGGACGAAGTCCTGACCAAGAACGCGGCACATACGTCCCCAACAGTGGAGCAGGTAGCTGGATTGCGGGTCATCGTCGTCGACGATTCCCTGTTGCACTGCGCCCAAAATGCCAACGAGCTGGGTAGCATCCTGGCCCATACGTTCTTTGCCAACAGCAAGAGCAATGAGTGTAGCACATTCCATCGCTTTGGCGCGGAGTAGGCGAGTTTCTTTCTCGTTGGGCTGCTGCAAGACGCTGAATAGAGCAGGCATGAGATCAGGGTACCATTTCCCGAAAGTGCTTTCAGCCGAATCAGCAACAGTGGCGATGGTCGACAGAGCCTGTTCCTGCACGAAGCGCTTCTCGCTGGCGAGCAATCGCATGAGGTTGGAAAGAAGTGAGTCAAGATAAGGCTCCAGAATCTCCTTCTCGGCCTCCTCACAAAAGTTGACCAACGCCGCAGCGGCGTGAGATTGCACACGAGGCTCGGGTGCTTGGAGGATACTGATCAAAGCCGGAAGAACGACTTGATGCCACTTGGTCTGCATGGTTCCCTTGAAGTCGGTAGACATCTGACCGAGCGCGTTGCAAGCAGCCCACCGAACGCGAGGATGAGGGTCCTCGAGGGAAGGCATCAAAAGGCGGAGTACGCTCTCCAATTCTGCCTCCATCAGATCTTGGCAACCCTCGGAAATGGCAGAGATGCACATCAAGGCTGCGTGCTTGTCACGCCAGCTACCCGTCTCCAACATACGCGGAAGCCAAATAAAGGTGGGCGGAAGCAGATCTTTGCCACCAATCTTGTTAGCCAGACGATCCATGACTTGCTCACCAGCAACATGGTTGGTGTCGGTCTCGTCAAAGTCGATGTCCTCCGCCGCGAGCCATTCCTCCGCATCCTCGTCATCAGCACCGACTTCGGCCATGAACGCCAAACACTGTGTCACCATGTCCGTCACGTAATCCTTGTCGCTCTTACACATCTTGGGACTGAAGTCTGCGAATGTTGCCATGAGCTCCATGGCGTTCTGACGCGCCGGGTCCTCTAATTGTTTATCCTGGATCATCTTGATGCATACACCAACAAGCGCCGAGAAAGAGCTCTTGAACATCTTTGTCGAAGTCTCTGCGAGATCAATGATCGCTGCGAGCGCACGAGAGAGCTGCTCGGAGTTCTCCTCTTCGTGCAAGGGAACGAGCGTGTTGAGGATAGACGGGATAAGCACCTGGTATTTCGGCTGAGCCTTCTTCGAGAGCGATTGGAAGAAAGAGGAGAAGGCCAGCATGGTGGCGATCCGCACATCAACCGAATCATCGTTCAGACCGCGCTGGAAGACCTCCAAGATGATGTTCTCGTGTTGTTTTTCAATAATGCCAGGTGTTTGCTCAAAGATGCGGAATGCTGACTCCCGGAGGGTAACATCGGGAGACTGGCTCGCTTGGTAGAGCGCACTGAGCAAATCTGCCCAATTCTCTCGCGAGCCATCAGCTGCAAGAACTTCATTGTCTGTGTATTGTCTCGCAAGCTCCGCCACCGCATCCGCAATCTTGTGTCGAATCGGCTTGACCGTCTCTCGGACGTAGGCCTCCAGTAGACGCGTACGGATCTCGGTCTGCGTTTGAAGGTTCAGGTGCAGGAACAGCTCCTTGCTAGGAGCAGTGCCCGCGGTGTCTTTGATGGTGCGGGTCGAAAGGCGGCGGAAGAGTACAGCGGAGAAAGATCGTGCCTGGAATCGTCACTCAGTAATCTTGCAAAGTGTAGAACCGCGTGGCTGACAGCGGATGGTCCTCCTCGCATGATAGACTTACACCTTCATCGTTTGATCCGCCGAGTTGCTCTACCAGTCCCAGCAGCAGCACATCGGGTCGGGTATTAACCCATTCGTTGTTGAGATTGGTCTCCGCCTGGGTGCGGACGGTGTTGTCTGGAGATTGCAGGCCTTGAAGCAATTGCGTCAAGGCGCTGTGAACATCAGACGATAGGACCGACATGATGCCGGGTTTTGGACCGTCGTGCGCAAACCAAATGCCGGTCGCGTCGATCCAGAGAGTCGGTGTAAGATGCAGAGGATGTTTTGTTGTTGTGCAGACCTGCAACCGAGAGGCCTACCTGACAGAATATAGTGTTTCCAGTGGTGGGGGAAATTTATCGGATTGCGTCGACGGTGCTTTCCGATTCGGCGGCAAAAACCAGGGCCCTCAATTAATAGATCCACGGCCGGATCCGTTTCTCACCCCAAGCGGAAGATCCCAAGGAACAGTAAGACGTCAGATAGAATGTCAAATTTTATGACGAGGAAGATTTATTCAGGTTTGATATTCAGTATACACTCCGACTGCTCAAATTCCATTCAACGACGAAGAGAGACAGCTCAAGCCGGCAACGTAGACGGGTACCTACCTGTATGCGTATTGAGCCCTGGGGTGCAGCAGATTTCGGGGAAATTTTTCCGCCCTGAACACGTCCCAGCTCTCCACCAAAGCGAGAACAGAAGTCCGGGTCCAATTTATTAACCATAGGTATCATCACACGGGAACGGTACCACTTTCTCAGCTGGCCCAGGGCTGCGGTCGAGGTGAGCATTGTCTCTTCCTCTTATTATTACAGTCAGCCCATTGTAATTCCCATCTATAGTGTACGGCATATAATAACCGCCTATTGATGACTTTCCTTCTAACCGCGCGGCTTCGACACTGATGATGAAACGGACCCTGCAGGCAAAACCCTCCCCCACCTCCAGACGAAATCCAATCGCCCGGATCAAAAACAACACAGCTTTTTTGCCCCGCGTTAGAAGAAGCATTCCAGAGGGAGAAGTTTCAACAACCCTAACGGCATTTCCATTGTGTCCTTTATTATCCTTGGTCTCCAGGGCTTGCAAGATCGTTCGCCACAATGCTCACCAGCTGTATTATCATACTACAGTATATAATGATAAGTTGGAAACGGATGGTCAATGACTCAAATGATGAGGGTTCGGTAGGCTCTTGGATTATGATGACTGTCGCGTTGGGAATGCTCATGGAGGCGATCCCAGACCGCATTCAACAGGTGGGAAAACCCGGAGGCAACCCAGGGTCAGCCCAATCTTTGCTGGGCTGTAGGACCATATCCTCTACAGACATTCACCTCAAAAGAGAATGGAGAAGAAAAATAGAAGATTCAATGCGATCATCCAGCAACGACTTCGTGGGCCGGGAAGAATCTCTCGAATCTGGTGGTTTTCGTAATACCTCTATCCGCATCGTGGAGAAAAGTCTTTCTTTGCAACTTGTTCCTCGTTCAAATGACAACACAACACACAAAAGACAACTGCCCTTTGGGGAAAAAAGAAAGAGAAAAGTTACACATGTCTCTCTCTACTCATTCTCTCTCTACTCAAAGAGAGCCTTCTGCCAATACGTACACCGGTAGTTATTGTAAGGATCATTGGCCTGCTTGAAACTCGTCGAGTTCAAAATCTGGACGGAGCTGTTCCGCCCATAGACGGGGAACCAGGGCGCGTTAGGTTTGCCGAGGAAGTAATTCGGCGAGCCCGCCTTGAGCGCAAAGCTGGCGATGTATTGCTGCATGGCGAGGGCGACGGGGACGGAGGGGACGTCGTTCCCGTTGTAGAAGGTCGAGGAGATGTCGTTGCCGTGGATGCCCGGCGGGATGGCGAACTCGTACGAGTAGGTCTGGTTGCCGAAGGCCTTGGCCAGGTAGACGGTGTTGCAGTTGAAGATGCCCTCGGAGATGGCCTTGATCACGCGGCCGATGATGTCCGTGTAGCCCTGCTTGCCCGAGTAGTCGGCCGGGTACATGGTGTTCATGATGTAGTCGACGGTGTCCGGGAAGGCGCCGAGGTTGGGGAGGAGTTTGATGAGTTCGGAGCGGAAGACTTCGTCGTTGTTGATGTAGTAAGGAGTGAAAAGGATGCCCTGGAGGAAGAATGTCACGTTAGTGGATGTCAGGGAGAGGATCGAAATGTCATTGACCACGGCCAAGACTCACCTCGTTGGAGTTGTGTCCGGTCATGACCTTGACGTTCTTATAGAATTGTCCCTTGGAGAGCAATTGACCCGGACTCTGAGGTGCAATAACACCGTCCACGACCGGACCGAAAGTGAAAGTACCGTATGACGAATTCTGAATCTGCTGCAGGTTGGCGGACTGCAGACGACCGTACGGGAGAGCCTGCAATTGAGCAAAGTTGGAAACGCCCGCGAGACGCAAGAAGTCATTGTAGAAAGCCTCCTGCTGGTGGTTGGAGAGGATGGGAGCAAAAGCCGGAGACTGCAGCACGGCGTTTTGGAACTGAATGTCGCTGCGACCACCGAAGGCGGTGATTTGGTGCATGATGGAGCCGGCGCCGGCAGACTCGCCGAAGACGGTCACCTGGTATTTTCGTCAGCAGAGACATTCTCCATAATTTTGCAGGAGCATAAAATACTTACGCGCTTCGGGTCACCTCCAAACTTAGCAATGTTATCCTGAACCCACTTAAGGGCAAGGCGTTGATCATAAAGACCGGCATTGGCGATACCTCCGTCACCCTGGAAAGTTGGGCCTGAGAGCCAACCAAAGGCTCCGATGCGGTAGTTCATGGCGACATACTAATTGCGAGTAATGATCAGCATAAGGGCATCCACCATATGTCAGATTCTGTATCGCCCAACCTACCACAACACCTGCATCACCTTTGCCTTGGCTGCGTGAGATTAAGCCAGCAGGGCTACCATATTGAGTCTTTGAGCCGAAAGTGTATCCACCACCGTAGATCCAGACGAGGACTGAAAACGAGGGGATCAAATTAGTAAAATCTCCAGTGAAAACAGTCGCGTCCTTTCAACGCGGACAACTCGGACAGGATCCTCGCAGATGCTCTAACATACCGGGAGCGCCAGTGTTGCCGGTCGTATTGGCCTTGTCGAAGATCGCCTTGGGAGTAACAACATCCAAGAACAGGCAGTCCTCCGGAGTGCCCGCATCAGAGGGATTCGACGGGCCACCCGGCGGCGGCACATTGAAGCTATCACGGGTGAAATTGCGCTGACCGCCAAGGTAGGCACCGATGAAAGGGTACGCAGCGGAGAGCCAGTTGGGCAGACCGGAGGGACAAGCGCCGTTCTTGTCGCTGCCGTTGGTGAGGGTGCGGTTGGTTGAGGGCGCGACGGGGGCTTTGAAGCGTAGCTTTCCGACCGGAGGAGCGGCGTAGCGGATGTTGCTGAAGGTGTAGAGCTTGCCGGTGGAGTTGTAGTCGATGGCCTGGTGGAGGGCATATGAGAGGTCGACAGTGGGGAGCGTTTGGGCGTTGATGAGAGTGGCGCTCGCGAGGAGCAGGGCCGTGGAGGCCCCGATCATGTTGGTGAACATTGCGGATCGCGAATGGAGGCGCGGAGGGATTGGGAGACGCCTTGGTTGAAGGAACGGTGGAGGCGACGATGGCCACGAAAGGAAGAGAGACGTGTGAAGTATTATACTTCTTCTTACTGTGATCAGATATCAACTCATTACTGCACGGTATCCACTTGATGGAAGGGAATTAAGGTTGATCGTCTATGCCGCTACCTCGGCAGTCTAGTGCGTGTTGGAACATGATCGCGAACGCTGTTCGCACATATATGACACTCTTCTTGCCACAGCATGACGATGCGGCATTGCCCTGTCCGTTCAAAGTTCGCGTGGACGATCCACGACTGGCATCATCAAAAAGGTTCCAATGCCGCACTGCCAGGAAATGACAGTCTGGGGTGGTGGTGGAATCGGGAATAGCTCGAGACGAAGTGCGGAGATGTCGGCATAGTGGCTTTTCCTTAGCTCGAACATCTCTCGATTATTACTACTCTACGGTTGCCTTGGGCTGATGCGAAATGTCCGGTACCTGCTTCCAATGGCTCCCGTCTCTAATCCTCTGATCTCTCCTAGAATAAGGTCTCATCACTATCGGAGAGAGGGCGAAGACTTTGACACACGTAGTCTGGGACCGTATCGATCCACTTCGTCAGTCATCAGGGAAGCTCGTTGCATGTTTGACTGATTCAACGAGTCACAAGGAGAGGGCTGACTCTCAAATTTTACAAAGGAACAAGCACAGTGCGGACTGGGGTAGCAAAGTTCGCGGGCATGGAAAATGTGCCGAAACCGAGTAGGGGATTCTTCCGCGACAACATCGTACATCGTTTAACAATAGTTCCGGCGGCGGGCATCTTTCACATGTTATTATTCGCCGTCCATGGGTGTGCCTTGCATCATGACATTCGCAAGACATCGTGATCGCGCGCAGTACATGAGAATGGATCACAGGTGATATCACTGGGCTTCGTCATCGCTTCATGATGGGAGGATCGTTGCGTAACTGTGAAGAGTCCCACGAGTCAAGTTCGAGGCATCATCGCGCCAGAATTGTCGACACTCATTCGCGTCTCTCATCCAATGAACCTCACGTCCATCACAGCATGATGCACAACGATACTGCAGATTTTAGAAACATCATTTCAGAAAACAAGCGGCTTTTCTACTCGATAGTATCTCATGGTGGGAACCCCACATAGCAAAAATCTCCCAGAAACTCCGATGTCCTTGTTCACTCAAAAGCATCACATAACGTATAGCAAGTTCGTATCTGGTTTCCCTCAGTTAGCATGTGTTGGATTCTTGAAAGCGATGTGGCAGTGGGAAGGGAGGATTGGGAAGAACATGTGAGGGAGAATCTTACCAAGAGGATGACTGCAGCTCAATTGCGGTTTCTGGTCGTAGCGGCCTTCCAACTCGTCGCGGATGCTGTTGAGCAGCTCCACGTAGCTCTGTTGAGGAGACTTCTTGAGCGCGGTAATGAACGCCCAGGACATGGCGCCAGTGGCTTGACCCGAAATGTTGGCATCGGCCCTGTAAAGACGAACTTGTCAGTATCGCGCTCATACACATCTAAGCAGATCTTGAGATGGTCGCCCCACTAAGACTGCTCGCGGACTGCAAACACGGAGGCACTTACGAAGTCTGACTGTCTTTGCTTCCACTCCACATGATGACATCTGCCGGGCTCGTCTTGGTGACCAGGTTGCGCTGGTAAGCATCATCACCGCTGGTGGCCTTTTTGAAAAAGTTCATCGCCGTCGATGCCATACCGCCAATATCGCCTTTCGCGTATGACGTGACAAGACCAAGCAGACCCTGACCAGCTTCCTTGGCAAGGTTGGGCTCCTTGAGCACACCTTGAGTGGAGTAGATGTATGGAAGATCGAGGGCGGATCCAGAGTGGCAAGAGTCGAAGATTGCAGTGAGACGGACACCTGGTCGGAGGCTTCGGACCCTGTCGTAGGAGAAGAAAACAAATTAGCGATGGGCGTCGGGATCACGAGGAAGGGGGGCAGTTCTTACATGATGTTGTGCATGTCGTCGTCAACGATGTGACCAGCCTCCCGGAAGTCAACAGGATAGATGACTTCATCGTATCCATCCTCTTCGTCACCGTCGAGATCAGGAGTCTGACCACCGTGACCAGAATAGTGGAAGAATAGCGAATCGTTCGGCTGGGCGTCCTTTACCAACCAATGCATTGCGCGGATGATGTTGGCCTTAGTCGGCTGGCTCATAGGTGCTTGCTGGTCATCGGTCAAGATGACCATGTCCTCGCGTTTATATCCAAAGTGTCCGTTCAAGAATCCCGACATGTTCTTGACATCGTTGATACATCCACGAAGCTGTCCTCGCTGGTTGAAATAGTTGATGCCGATCAATAGTGCCTTTCTTCGACCTGTACAATTGGAGTATTGGTATGTGTAACTATTTGGAGCGCCGTTGCCGAAGTTTTGCTGTTGTTGCGGTGGTGGAGGCGCGTGTAGAGCTACTCGTTTGTCAGAAAAGAAGTCTTCACGTGATGGTCACAGATCGCGTACGTTGTTGTTGTGGCGGTCCACCTGGGTTTGGCTGACCATAGCCGAAGTTCCCTTGCGGTGGTCCTTGTTGATAGCCCTGATTGTATTGCTGTGGCGGAGGTCCACCATAGCCTTGGTTGTACTGTTGAGGAGGCGGCGGTCCACCATAGCCACTATGAGAACACTGTCAGCGCATGTGGATGGCAGAACCTGGACGATGTGATGACCCACCCGTATTGCTGAGGAGGAGGGTATTGTCCAGGCGGAGGACCACCTTGCGGAGGATAGCCCGGGTAGTGGCTGCCGCCTTGCTGTCCAGGATAGTATGACATGATGACTGTCGATCTCGTGGGCGGAGTTTGTCGATGGGCCGTGACGCAACGCACCGCGCCCTGTCAATGAAGATACTGTTGCAATCCGGCGGGGTAGGAGGGGATGATGAAATAGGTCGCGTAGATCGGAAAGAAAGATCGGAAGAGATTCGAGGCCGAATAGTGTCTTCCAAGGATAGATAAGAGGCACGAGACTGTCACTCGTGAAGAGTGGTGAGATTGCGATCGATTTGTTCTCGGCGAGTACTATAGCAGCAATAGCTTGGGCGGTTCAAGTCACCCGCCTCGGTGGGGCGCGGAATCCTATGCAAAAGAGGGTCTGTCCACTCCGCGGGCAATACTGGGCTTTGCTGGGCTTTGCTGGGCGAATCTTTGGCGGGCGAACGTGTTGGTAGGCAAATTTTCGGGGCAAGTCCGGCCGGAGCTCTGCCCCGCACAGTGTTGCTTGCCGAAGCCTATCGATAACACTCGGCAAATGGCCTTCGGACTGGTGAGCACGGTAGGGTTGTTCACGACGATGACAATGAGGATGAGGATTGGTAACTTGGCCCAACCAAGGGATGTATTCAACCACTTCGTTTTGGATAATGTGATGAGACGAATTGTGTCGAGAGTGGTGATGATTGTACGTATGGGAGGTGTGGATTGATTTCAGTCCGACTTCAATATTTTTGCCGAAGCTTCGGCGGTCTCCAAGTCTTGTTTCCTTGAGCATCTCGAAGCCAGCAACATCTTTACAAATGCGGTCAACATACGCCGTCCTTGAGCAAGCCACCACGAATATTTTGGTCTGAATCGCGCCCGAAATCCTACATCGACATCAAAAGGCATGGTGTACAGGAACATCTCAGCTCTGTTGCATATGCAAGACCATGAGTGACTGCGGGAGACACAGGGGCGTCGACTCGAGGGTCGTTTCCGGTAGGTTCCAATCAATCATCGACAAGTCATGAATACTCAATTAGCTCAAGTCAGCCTTGACGCAAATAATAAAGGTGCGTATTACGTGCTCTAGAATAGCATCCTCAGTCGCATTGGATAGAGTGAAGCGGTGCCCTCTTCATGCAACCCGTCATCACAGCGCATACTCCTGGCGATATGTGGGATGGTAGGCGGTGTTGTGATGATGTTGCAGGGTCAATGCCATGACGAAACATTACGCTGAGGATCAATAGACGGACGATGTTGAGACGTAGGCTATGAGTGAGATATCCAGGCGATGATGTAGGGACACTGAGCACAGCCGCCCAAAACCTCCGCCTTCCAACGCCAGACCGGAGATCACCGTGCGGCTGGAGTCCACACTTCATGGACATGCATATATGACTAATGTGCGATCTGGTGAGTTACATCGCCGTCTCACATACAACCCCACATTTTGGAAGACTCGGCACTCGCAACAAGCCGCAATCGATGCATCATTCTCCCTGCCATCCCCAGGCTATGGCGATGTGCCAGATCTTGGATCTCTGGTCGCCCGTCGCACAGTCTCGAGCGCTTCAAATCCGCAACTTCACCTCCGCAACCTACCAGGAATTCAAAGCAAGAGATCAGAGAAGGGAACTTAGGAAGATGCAAAAATCCAAATCAGTGATACAGGAGCTCGAAGTCGCCAGATTGGGCCTCTGGTGTCAGATCGAGGTGTCGCGTGCGCAAAAACACAATCCTTGCCCAAAAGGTATTGCTGACACCGACGAATACTGAATCGGACGTGCACGAAAACATCTCACACAATAGATCCTATGGAGTCGAACCTTTGATGACAGTCCCTCACCAGCAGAGTACTAGCCAACACGCAGGTTGTCGACAATACGTCGAACCGTGAGAGTCTTCACTCAAACTCCTGCAATGCGGTTTCCGTCCACGTCCACAGTTCCTCGCCTAGCTTCTTGCTTTGCGTCCACTTTGTCGGCTTGCCTACTTCTCCAATAGGACGATAATATCCTCCGTTAGTAAAGGAGCTGCGAGGCACGGTCGCACCCCACAATGGGCTTTTGCAGCCGTCCTCGGGTTTCAAGACCTTGGAAGTAGTGTACACCAAAAGTCGATCCGCAAAGCCGAGTGAGTTCACCAGATCAGTGCCTACGACACCTGGATGGATTGCAACAAAGGAGACTTCCGGGTATCGTTCTGCAAGCTGCTGCGTGTAGAGGACATTGGCCAATTTGCTCTGGCCGTAGCGCCGCCATCTAGCTCCAAATCCGTAGTCTTGCGTAGTCTTCAGGTCTCGAAAGACGATGCCTCCCTCCGGTGCAAGGAACAGGCCCTCGGAGGTAAGCACAACGACTCGAGCATCACCGTGGGCCTGAGCTGTCGCCGTAAGCGTAGAGCGGAGGTGCTTCAGCAACAAGGCATGACCGAGATGATTCGTAGCCCATTGGATTTCATAGCCATCTTGACTTCGTCCTGGCGGGGTGGCCATAATGCCTGCGTTGCAGATCAAGAGATCCAGACTATCCCCGAGCATCGTCGCCAGCGTGGCAGTCGAAGCCTGGACATCGCTAAGCGATGCTAAGTCCATCTTGAGAAACTCTACCCGGACATTTGAATGTTGCTCGCGGAGCCTTTGGACGATAGAAGCACCACGGGCTTCGTTTCGGCCGGTAAAGACCACCAGAGAAGGGTTGAGGCCAGCGAGACGCTCGACCATCTGTAGGCCCAGACCGCTAGTCCCTGTGACATAGCATGAGTCCCTGTAATGACGGTTCGTGCGAGCGGGACTCGATCGAAAAACTTACCGCCGGTGACGACGATATGGCGACCTGTTTGATCGGGAAGTTTTGCGAGGTCGAAATCTTTCATAATGCCGGTATGATGGACAGCGTTTGTATCACTGTCGGGGAGCGAAGCGGAGAACAGAGCAGGATGTACAGCTGCTGACGATCGTGTGAAGCTGCGCAGTAACAATCAAGTCTTCGACAACTTTTCTATGTTCTCCCTCAGTCATATGAGGAATCTATTCCCTAGCTCACACGACGGTCGAGTGGAGTGATACCAAGTTTGTGATGTTGTGAGAGCGGGAAGAGATACATACTTAGCTACCTAGGAGGCTTTCAACACAATTTTGGCTGCAGCTGCATGCACGCCTCCTACGCCTCCTACGCCTCATACCCGTAGAATCCAGCTACTTATCGTCGCAAGTCTTCTTCATCCTGTTGACGATCTTGTTTGTTTTTGCTGTGCGGCTAAGCATACAAACACGAACAAATCTTATTTCGGAGGTAGTAGGTGTGCCACCTGTCGTCTCCGGGTCTTTTTCATCCTGTTGGCGATCCTATTGGGTTTTGCTGTGCGGCACAGCATTTGGCGTTGAACCCAGCGGGAACTCGTCACCATGTTATTGGCAAGATACCATGGAGGCCTCACAACAATGAACAGGAAAAGAGAACCCGGTGTAGAAGAAGGATCTTTTCATGTGCTCATCTTCTGCACGTGCCCGCAATATTCAGATATACTCATAAGTACATCCTGTATCCTCGCCACGACGAAATTCTACCCGATTTTCACGGACGTTGAAAGAACGGTGTGAAAGCATGTTCACCACGATGAGATGTCGTGCCGACGGTCCAATGAGCCAGCTTTCCACGAAGACCGCAGCGACCACAGCAGATGGGCGACGACGACTACCATTTACGACCATACATACATGCACGTCATGTACAGCTTGTCTGAAGGACGGCTGTCGGCTGATGATGCTCATCTTCGCGGTTCAAAGCCTGATGAGTTCAGTGCCGTCAACGGTCGAAGCTTTGCGAGACTCGGGCATTGTTGGAATCACACATCTGTGCGAGCTCGCGTTGGGTGAAATTCGTGATCAGATAGCTTCTTCCGTGACACTGCTCCAACTACGTCCGCTGTATCACATCATTCGACAACTTTGGAATGTGGTCCAAGAGGCGCAGCTGCAAATGCATAGGGATCTCTTCGAGAGGACTTGTAAGACTTTTAGCGAGATGTGGAATAGTGGGATCTCAGGAGCGGGAGCGATGGTGTGTGAAAGTAGGACGGACGAGATGATAGCCGATGGGCCGGGTTGTGTTTCCATAGATGATATTCATCGTGGAGCATCGATTGTTTTAGACACTTCTCGGCGTGTATGATCTCGTGAGAATTTTTCTTTCCCGTGTACTTTGTGATTCATCAATTGGTCCACGAGCTGGGTAGCGCACAATCTTGACAAGACACCACTCTGCTACAGTCTAAATTCTGCATGAGAGGGAATACAATTCATGTGAGTGTTGCAGGGAGCAAGACTTGCTTCCAACAATATCTATCCACGTCCGACCACATTGCTCGCATACCGACAACGGCGCGAAAGGGGTTCCTCAGAGAGAAGTGCAGCAGGTTGTCTGCGCATCACCTTCACCTCAAAGATCCCTCGCTCTGAGGATCCCACCTCACATGTCCCTCCAACTCTCCTATCCGAATGATACCGTTCCCAAGACCTCCCTCTCTATCTCCCCCTCTCTCTCTCACTCACACACACCTCACCTCGCTTTCCACCTCACCCTCCCTACCCACGCTGCCCACTTCACCACATCCTCCCTCTCCAGTAATCTCTCAATACTACTGAAATCCCTCGCGAGCTCCTCATTTGACGCAATCTTATGCACGTACGAGTGGCACGCGCGACACAACCACGCCACCTTCTGCACTTCCCACGCCGCGCACCAGCCACGTTTGACCGCTTTGGCGTGCATCTGCCGGGGTATCAGATGATGGTACGTCAGCGGGAGGTGTTCGCGGTCGCAGATCTCGCAGGCGGTGGTGCGGTTTGCGACCGTGGCAGGGTCATGTTCCGGCGGTTTCGTCGTCGTGCTGATGATGTAGTTGTGTAAGCATGTGCAGAGGAAGAGGCGGTAGGCGCTTTCCACTGCATCTTTGCCGTCGTCGTCATTGGTCAGGAGATTGTAGGATGTGAGGGAGTCGCGGATGCTCAGGGGTAGTGGCTTGAGGATGGTGTCGAGGATAGCGTCGTCCAGGGGGAGCGTGTACCGGACGGAGAGGGCGCTGTCGTTTTGCGTTCCTGCATATGAGAGTGTGCGTAAATCCTCCGGGAGGCTCGAGTGGATTTCTTGGGCCAGGTACTAGTGAGAAGGAAAATTGGCTCAGGCACTTTCGATCAATTTTCTATGTCGTTCGGCTCATCATTGAGATTGTGTTTTGTTGAGAAGAGTCGGGATGAAACGAAGGACTGCCGCTCCTCGATGCCCCGAATATCCGGAATCGAGGCTGAAACATGCACGCCATTCCTACACCCTCTCGACTCCATACGCAACGCCTCCAGCGCCTGACCAAACGAAGCCAGATATCCCGTTCGGTAAGAAATCCATCGATCGAGCCACAAACTCACCTCTGTGAAATCTCCCAATTCAGCAACATCGTTCTCGACCTCCGCTTCCGACGGCGCCGGCCTCTCCACGGGCTTGATTTCGTTCTTCCGACCTTTCGAGGTCCGCTTCTTGGTCGGTCGGGCATTGGTTGGGGTCAATTTCTCGATGATCATGGCTGACAGGCAATCCTTGAGGATGTCGTAATTGCCCGATGAGGAGGTGTCGCCATCGCCGTCGTCGTCGAGGTCATTGTTGTGACTGATCATTGCTCCCGGTCGGAGGCAGGAGTGGTGGAGAAGAGGAAACGAGAGGGAGAGAGAAACGTATATGCATGAACGCTTGGGATAGATGTTGATGCGCTGTACCCTGCGTGTTCTACTGAATTGGTACCTAGGTAGTGGCTGTTCGAGCCTCTCTCACGGTCAATGGCATCCAGGCAGCACGACGAAAATTGTTTCGTCATCATGAGAGAAAGACATTGGAGAAAAGCAGCGGGAGACATTCCCTTGCGCCCCTCCATGCTGGAGACTAAATTGCCAGTAGACCTCTCCTGGGAGATGTGACGGCGTCTGTGCCTCGGACGAAGATCATTATTACGACCCGGAACATGCATACATACATACAAACAGGTAATAGAATGCGGAGGTTGATGTTTACGTTCGTGAGCCTAACCACTCACTGGGCGGGCACTTCGACCATAATGACACGGACGAACAAAGAAGAATGCCCAGGTGTGCTTCACAGCTTGCAATCGTCCGAAGCTATAATGCGAAAGTTCTCCCAAGCTCAATGATAGGCCTTGCTATTTCCCTCTGGTATACACATGTCATGCGATCATACTACTGTCAAATCAAATGAACGCATTCTGGAAGGCAGGCATTCTAGATCTTTGGACACGGGACGGCCCGTTGGATCGAACGGCTGTGCTGGCTGGCGCTAATTTTGGACAACAGCCAAAATTCCAGGGCAGGCGACGCGACGTCATTGTTGATCTGTTTGCCGTTGCTACGGGCGACTGGGCGGCCCGCGCAAGGCTGGCTGGGAAAGTCACCACCCAGCACCCCAGCCATCCTAATACTCGGGCGAAAGACCACCAACCGTCTCGACTCACGAACACCCGATCCCAGCCTCACGAATTTCATTGCGAATAGCGTAGTTGCGTTTGGACTTTTTCGACACACTCGGCGGCGTCTACGACCAGAGAAGGAAAACACTCGCTTTGTTCTTCGTGTCTCCTCACGATCACTTCTAGCTAAGCATTTTTCTCTGCAATCCATACCTCCTTCCTCCCTCATTTCCCGAAAAGACATCATATCGTCGACGGTCTGACTTGGCAAAAGATCTTACTGCAGGGTCGCAAATTATCCCTTGAAAGACTTCCTCGAACCGGTTATCAACGCCTCGCTTGCAGTCGAACAAACCTCGCACGACATATATCATTGGCGACACAGATTACAACTCAGTATATCACCAATCCGTTGCGACTCGACGTCAATATACAGAATCTCGTCTTCGACAAACTACTAGACCTATCGCGAGGGTGTCTGTTCTGGCAGAAACCAAAAGACAATACTCTCTCCTCAACAGCGCACGCATCGCTTCGTGACGACCCAACAACCTCCCGGCCATAGTGCCGCTGGAGCAATCTTGACAACGACCAAGGGTACCACCCAAACCTCACATAGCTCGCCGCCGCGATGCCCAACATCAGATTCGCCGTCGGCCTGACGAAGCTGTTACCATTCCTGGGCTTCCACCATGTGTTAATGATATTCATCGCATTGGCGATCATCCTATTATGTGAGTGATGAATGCGGGGATCGCTCGAGAAACTACAATAGAGAGTATGAACTGACAGTTCTCCCCTCCCACAGCATTACTACTAGCAGGATGCTCCTCCTCCTCGCCCGCCATCCCCAACATCTTCCTAATATCCTTCTTCTATCAAATGTACGCGCCGAATTATGATCCCACGCAAGTCGACCCGGGCGTCAGCGCCGCCATTGCAAACATCGTCGGACGCGCTTCATTAGAAGTCCGAGTGGGATACTTCGGAATCTGCATCAACAACGACGGAGGAAGCTTCCTGTGTTCGAACAACGCGACGCTCCTCGCCGAGCAGCTGTCGATCGAAGAGGATCCCCTGAACCTCATCTACGTGGCGAACACGTTCAAGAACAGCGTCGTCTTCCCATACCTAATGTAAGTCCTCACAGCGCGAACAGCTGTCACACGACGCAACACAAGCTAATCATGATCCTCTCATAGAATCATCGCCATCATCCTGGCCTTCGTCACCTTCCTCCTCCTCGCGACCTTCCCAGGCTGGCACGAAGAGCACAACGCCTCCACCGGCAGCGACATCGACATCAAACCCTTTCCCTCCCGCGCAGTGATGCAAGTCGCCGTAGCACTCATCTTCATCTCCTCGATCTTCATCCTGGTGTCGGTGCTATGGCAGCACACAGCATCAGTCGCGGCAGCACAGGTCGCGGGAGATTTCGGGAACGGATCCGTACGGAGTGGAGTCGGCACCAGCGCGATGGTGTTGGGTTGGTTCAGCTTCGCGCTGTTCATCATCGTGACGATCGCGCTGATCGTCATGATTTTGAGCATCCAATTGTTGGACAAATTGACGGATGATGATTGAAGAGCACGGACGAGCATAGGATGATGATGATGATGGTCATGATGGAAATTGGGCACGAGAATGAGAAGATTGAGAACGATTGACGCTGAAAATGCGGGATCGTCATGATTATGATAATGTCGCGACGAGCGAGACCATTGGATGGGCGCCTTTTCATGGTGGCTATCATGCTAGGCTTCGCTATCCTCAACGTCGTCGCTCGAATGATCGAACGACACGCGACAGCAGGGGATTGCCAACCATGAAAAATTACGCTCCTCGCTCAAAGAAACGGAAAGGGAACAAACATGTATTAATGCTGGGAAGGGAAGGATTCTCAAGACCACGCACGTTGGAAAGAGCGCCGAGAAACACGAGTCGAAAGAAATACGAAATTGACCGACTCGACAACTCGACGGTCCGCGTGCATCATCATCATCTGCTTGGGAAAGAATGAAACATGGAGTCTTTTCTTGGGAAGCAAGTCTGAGCATTGAATTTTCGGGCGTTATTTTTTCGAAGAGACCACCGCTGCTCTTCCTGCGAGTCGGAGCTTGGGACGGTGATACCTTCTTGAATTGTCGTTCGATGAAATGTGTTTGGGGTTGATCCTGCTGATGTGGGGATCTTTTGGGGATGGGATGGGAACATAGATAGACTCTCTCTTCTACACGAGGAGAAAGGCAATTTTGATGCATTTTATGGTCATCTTTTGGAGTTTCCTACCTGTTTCTCCATTTCGTTTGGTTAATTGAACAGTGCTTTTGTGTGATAATAGAGGCGTATTTCGTGTGATCGCAAGACTGGACCGTCATGTTCATTCACCTGGCCTTGAAGAATTATTACGCGGAAAATGGTAGCTGGCCTTCGGTTCTTTCGGTTCGCATGATGATATTCTCATATTTCGCGGCCTTCATTTCACATCATTAAAGATCTCGTCTACACAGTTCTTCCTCCATAAATCATAGCTCCTCATGAGAAGTGATCTTGTCCTCTTCACCCGCACTCAAATCCACCTCTTCCACAACCGGCTCCTCCTTCCCAGCAGCGCGTCCTCCCTCGGCCTTCGTCTTCTCCGCGTCCTCCGCCTCACGCTCCGCCCGATCACGACGGATCTGCGCCTTGATGTGATCCGGCATGCCTTTAGGGAATCCCTCCTCATCGTCGTCCTCGCCCACAACCTTGCCATCCTTCCCGATGGGTTTCCCCCCGAAGTGTTTCGCCGCCGCCTTCAGGCCCGTGTCCAATCCCAGATTGCCCATCAGCGCATCCATCTTCCCGCCGAGGAAGGGCTTCTTCTTCTTCGCGGCCTCGCAGATCGCCGGGGGTGCGGGGGTGTTCTTCTCATCGAGGACCACGGTTCCGACGGCCGGGTATTTGTCGCTGCCGGCGAAGAAATTCACCCATTTGGCCAGCGCCGCGTCGAGGTTCTTCTGCGCCGTGATGGGATCCTCCGCGCGGCGTTTGGCCTTCTCGCTGTCGGTCACGCTGCCTAGCCGTTCCATGGCGCGCTTCGCGAGGGTTTTCATCGTCTCCGGTGGGAATTTGAAGTTCTCGTTGGAAGACGCCGGGTCCCAGCGGCCGAAGTGTACATCCTCGAGTTGCTCGTCGAGATAGCTCGGCGTGTAGAGCGTCTCGAGCAGGCCGTCGAGTCGCCAGGTTAGCTGGTCAGGCGAGTCCCAGCATTCGGTCAGCCAGGCGCGCGTGGCGTCGCGGCCGACGAAGTGGTGATAGTGCCCACCTGGGCCGTAGAAGGAGGGTGAGATGGAGACGTCATAGACAGTGCCGTTGATGGCGAGGTAGATTGGGGTTTCGGGCTCGCTGCCGTCGAAGGCGCGGAGTTCGGCTTCGGTGAAGGTCTTCGAGGGGATCTCTGCAGCGGCGGCGCCGAAGAGTGGTGCGCCTTCGGCCCGGTTGAGGGTGCGGTCGATGATGGGGAACTTCTGGTTCACCCAGCTTGCGAAGGGTCCGCCGTTGGCATTATCGGATTTGTAGAAGATCAGGCTACCCACGACGATGCTAAAGAGAACAAAGAGGCCCGCGAGGACGACTGGGTTGGGCTCTACGTCGAGCGGAGGCCGTGGATCAATGTCTTTGCGGTTCTTTTTGTCGTCTCTCTCGACAATGGCTGATGCCGCTTCCGCTACCTTCGCCGCCGGCTTGCGTTCACGTAGTTCCGACATTGTAACAATGTGAAGAGATGAAGCCCGTGATGTGTAACCTTCGAGGAAAGGGTCGCTCATGGAACACGAGGGAACAGGGGAGTATATATTCTTCAGATTTCCACACCAAACACAAGAAAATGACACCTATGAGATAATTTGAGAGCTACCAAAGCACGATTTCACCACTTGCGGTGCGTCTAGACCAGTTTTCTGTACGGTATGATATAATGTAGTGGGTATGTGATGATTTATTACTACTACAGGATTATCAGCCATTCGCGATTGGAGGGGCGATGATCGCATTTCGGGCGCAGGGAAAGCCGTCACTAATCGCCAGCACGCAATTCGTCGGTGGCACTGCGCGATAACGCCGGCTTAGAATTGTCAGGCTGTTTGTTAGGCCGTGTGATTCACCTTGCAGCGCCTTTGCTTTGGTTACCTAGCTAGGGAAGCCAAGATGGACCCTGGAAGATCGTTCTTCAGGTGGGGTGCATACATTGGCACGTATTGGTATTCCTTGCTGTCTTCTCTTATCCGCTCACCACATTTTCTCGAGGTTGTGACTCAAAGATCTCATGCAGAGCGCATTCATCACATTCGCCAACATGAGTCATTCGAGCCTTGATAGATCGAGAGCAGCTTCCTTCAATCCACCATAAGATGTGGAACAAATCTTTCATGAAAGTCTTCTCGACTTCCAGCCATGCTAGCAGAATATGAAGCAAGAAACATAATGGCCTCCCTCGAGATGCAATCGACATCTGCTCCTCTCAGCACAACCCACGACGCTTCTTCAGATGGAAGACAATTCGATATATCCGGTCCGCGGTTAGCATTGGTCTTGGGAAGCTTATGGCTAGGCGGCTTGTTCGTTGCTTTAGGTGAGGTTGAATTGTCTTCAGATTTCTGAGCACGAGACAAGTGGAAATACTCATGCGAGGACGTCCAGACGAAACCATGATAGCAACCATTTCCGTGCCGATTGCAAATTCTCTGAACGCATTCGACAGCTTCTCATGGATCACGACCACCTACCTTCTTGGTAGCACGATTGCTCAGGCCATGAGCGGTCATCTCACAGACATTATCGGACGACGCAAAGGTCTCGCCGTTTGCTATTTCGCATTTGTGCTGGGCACCCTCTTTTGTGGACTTTCGCACAACCTCTCGTTATTTTTGGCTGGTCGCATCTTGCAAGGCATGGGAGGTGGAGCGGTTAGCTCCATCACGGCTTTTGTCGAGACCGACCTCATTCCTATGCAGCGACGACCATTGATTGAAGGTATTGGCAACATCTGCTATGGCGTCATGATGGCTCTCGGAGGTGTATATGGAGCTGGAATCGACCGACTTATTGGCTGGAAGTGGGCATTCCTGATCCAGGTCCCCATCATGATCATTGATGGAGCTGTGGTATTTTTCGTGGTCAAGATCTCGGACGAGAAGAGGATCAAACACAAAGACCAACACGTCGATCTCCTTGGGATTCTCTCTCTTCTGGGTTCCCTCGCACTTCTCGAATTTGGCTTGAACAACGGGAGTATCGAGCTAGATTGGTCGCAACCTACTATCATCGCACCGCTCTGCGTTGCTGGTATCGCTTTCATCGCTTTCCTTCGCTGGGAGCTCAAGCACGCTCGCAACCCTGTGGTCCCTGTAAAAGCGATCGCCGGCCGCAGTGTGGGTTCAATCCAACTATCCGCTTTCCTCTCTACAGGTGCGTACACGGGATGCCTTTTCTACGTGTCGCTATATCTGCAGATCCTTGGTCTATCAAGCGTGGAGTCGAGTCTTCGCCTGATACCCTTGGCACTCCTGTTCGGAATTTCGTCGATTGCAACTGGATACGTCGTTCAGCTCACCCATCGCTACTGGCACCTCAATATTGCCCTCGGAATTGTCAACGCTGTAGCGTACGGCCTGATGTGTACCCTACATCACGGATCCCCTTCTTGGCAACCATATCTCTTCCTCGGACTGTTGGGCGTCGGTTTTGGCGGTTCGTTTGTGACCAACCTCATGGGGGTCTTGGTCTCCATCCCAGACAACATTCAAGCCGTGGTACAAAGTGCACAATGGGCAATCCGCTCTCTCGGAATTGCGGTCACCTTAACAACTTCTTCTGTCCTCTTCCAAGCCATCTCGAGAACACAACTCCAACAGAAACTCGGTGATAGTGATATTGTAGCTCAGTTCGGGAACAGTATTGCCTTGGACACTGCTGCATTTCATCAATCCAGCTTTGAGGTCCAACAAGTCGTGCTGGAATCATACGGCCTTGCGATCTCCGGTGTGTTCTATTACCTGCTGGCACAGTCAATCCTGGCTGTGCTGGTTAGTGTTTTGATCATAGATGAAAAGGTCAAGGATGATTGAGCTGCAAATTTCAAGATAGTCGCTTTGAGAGAACTTTTGATTGTTCGAAAAATCTATAGCATTAAAGAGCAATATTCAAGAAAGACAAATGCACGCTGAAGAGCCATCAAAATGCACAACAAGAGGACACCGCTCGTCTCAGAGAGTGGGCAAGGTCACAAATAGACCTCGAAAAATGCAAGAGGACCCCAATCCAATCACCAACTTCCTCACTTCTTCTTGTCAGGGTACCCACAAGTCAGAGTATTGTCATCAACAATCCGACAAACCGACTTGCTCTCCCCATCCTGCACCAACTCAATCATCGTCGACCCCATCAACCCATCGACCTTCTTCTGCAGCCCGGCATGCGTATACGCCGCATCCACAAACGTGACGTCCTCAAACCACGCGAACGGCTCCAACCCGCCGCTCGCCAAGAAGTCCTCCACGATCCACTCGGCATTGGTCTCGCACAAGCCGACCTCGGGCCCGTCGAAGTGGTGCACGACCTTGTCGCCGTTCGTCTCGTTGGTGATCCACGCGGTCCCTGCTGTGCCGTTGGTCCCGAGGTCCACGGCCACCTTCATCGTGATGTTGTCGCCCGGCCGCACGTCGATGTTCTCGAATTGCGTCGAGTAGTGCGGGAGCCATTCGAACCAGGCGGTGTAGCGGGGCTTGCCGCCCTTGATGATCCAGTCGATTCCGGTCTGGAGAATGGTCGTTTGGCATGAAGCGCCTGTGGAAAGTCAGCATTTGGCTCCTCTCTCTCCCCCTCATATGGAAACGTCAGATAGCACGACGATTGCCCAAACTTACCATCGATGCCGACCCATGCGGAGCCGCCGTATTCGATTTCGTCTTTGCCACCTTTGGGAAGGGCGACGTGTGGGAAGTTTATCGTGGCGTGGACTTCAGTGATCTGTGTCGAGGTCTGGTATGCACCCTATCATTCGAATACAAGTCAGCCCGAATTCCGAACCAATCCCGCCAAACTCTTGCACTGCTCCCGAAGATCTTCCTCCTCTCGTCCGTTCCGAATGATGCCTTTCTCCACTCCACCCCTAACGGAAAAAGATGCTCCAATCCTCAAAGACTCACCGACCAATTCTTCGAGATTGCCTTCGTCTCGCCCTGGGCCACGCCCATGGTGTCCTCCATACTCGTCGCATTCTCCGCCAAGGGCGGCGAGGTCGCAAAAGCCTCCGGTTTCTCCGCACCGGCCTGTTCGATGGTAGTGCTGCTGTCGTCTTGTCTCCGGGCGGCCCATCGACTGATCAAGCGTGGTTGACGGGTGGAAACGCTCGCGTGGACGACGCTCGAGGACACGAGGGCCATGATGATGGCTGCGGGGAACTTCATGGTTGCGGTGTTTGGTTGGTCGTCGATGGTTTGTTTGGATTCGGACGGTGGGAGCGGGTGTACTTCGTTTGACGGGAATCAAAACTTCTTTTAACGGCTGTGGGGAGGGATGATGGCCAGGGTATAGGTCACAGGCGGTGTGCGGATTGCTTTCTTGTTCGATGGGTGATCCTGCACGATGAGGAAATGGTGCAGCGGTTGTGCAACGGACAAGGGATCCTGGGTTTATTCTCGTGTCCCTTCAAATGCAGGTTGGATGTGAGACCTTGGGTCCGGGAAACGGTGATCGGGTGATCTTCGTTCTGTATTACTATTAAAAGATTTCTTCGAAGGTCGATCGAATGGTCGAATACGATGCAGAAAAACGAATGACGTGAAGTTTATGCAGGAAAAGCGAAAAAAGAAACGAGCGGAAACGAATGACGGCTCTGGTGGTTGGTGAGAGATCCGATTCCCTGAGCTGTGAGGATGTCGAACAACGTTTCGCGCGTGGTGTCCGGCGGAACAAACAACGACAAAGACAGAGAGGAGACCGAGTCTCAAACCCACCGCTCTGAGGGAGAAGAGGAGAAAGAACACGGATCAATACTGTAGACAAAATTCACACGCACGAATATCTGGAGCAAACTGCAACGGCAAGTCTAGAACATGGATCCTCCAAAAAAGATTAAAGCTTTACAAATTCCCACGCCTGTGGCTCAATTCCCCAACATCATCATCGACCTCCTCATCACCATCACGCCGATCCCCTCTCCAGAGACCATCCGGAAGAAGATGGACACCATGCGAGACCCACACCGCACAGTGCAGCGGGAGTCCCTTTTCCAAACCCAAATCTGATCCCTCTTCCGAACCTGTGCGTCCGAAGATTCTCAGCATCATTGAAATCTGAACAGAGTTTCGGGGACAGGACCATGAAGCTCGATAGGCATTGGTACGCATTGCCTACAAGCAACGGATGGAGCGCGCGCGCCTTTTAGCAATAACGGTCGTTAGTGGAGATCGGGGAATGGGAAGCTTTGGTGGGCGGGAGATGAGGTTGGCGGTAGGCAGGGGGATGTCCTTTCGTTCGGAGCGTTCGAGACTTTCATTGTTGTTTTCTGATAGCTCATTTGGTGGAGCGGAGGGGAGTGGATTCTGGCATTTATGATTCATCGTGATTATAGTTTTAGTTTGTTATCCAATTAATGTTATGGATGTACATGGAGAAGTAAACAACATGTTTACGGGCTGTCCGTTGCTGGTGATATCCGTAGTTGGGGGAGTCGCGGCGTTGGCGGGCACAGAGGAGGTTAGAGCTTGGAGGTATTGGCACAACCTTCTGCACCTGCACAGGGTCAGATTGGACGATAGGCATGGCTGGGTTGTTTGATGGGACAAATATTTGATAGACAGACAAACATCATCTCCGCATGTGTGTGATTCTTTGTCTCATCCTCGTCAGCAAGAACAGAGTGTTCGGGGACAAAGAAATGATGTTCTGGTTCTCCCGCCATCGTCTCACGGGTTTCCGAACAGGGAAACGGGGGCCGACGATCCTCGCGTGGTGAGGTTTCGACGCTCAATTCGGTCAAATGTGAAATTGACATGGCCCGGCCGGGAGGACTGCCGAATCAAAGCCACATTGGCACTACGTTTTCTGAGCTACAATGGAACAGACTAGTCATGGGTAATTGTCGATCATTCTACTGTGGCTACCCAATCGTGGGTTCCAGAGGTGCCTGCAATGAATTCAATTCGGATCCACATGATGTTCTCAAAAGTCACGTCGAGGCAGCAATACTTAACAAAACAGACCTGCACGTCTCTGTTCTACCATATTTTATTCGAAGAAACCCGACAGGTAGATGGTTGGTGTGTCTCATCATCAGACGGATTTCCCGACGCTTTGGCACAGATCTGCACCAAACGAAGTCCGTCCGGCTCAAGGGCTGGGGACCATACCGAGACATTGTCCCCTCATCACCGGAAATTCACACAAATGAAACATGCATTCTCCTCTCATTCTATTCTTATCTCATGATCTGCATCCCAGCAGCGAGCTCGAGGGTCTTCTCATGACATGTCGATATGCGAGAACAACAACTCGTTCACTTCCAATTGACCGCCACAGAGAAGTTTACCAACATACACGTGCCTGCGAATGACAAATTGGGATGCTTCTGCTAGCAGCGAAAGGACTGAGATATTTAAACTTCAGCCACGATGGAAATGAGATCCGGAGTTCGTTAGGAGGAAGCAGTCCAAACTTTAAAGGCTGGACAAATTGGCGTTTGCCCCTTGTTGGTGCGGCGTTGCGCTGGGCGCTGGCTAATGGTCAACGGCTGTCGGGCGTTGTTGCTGTTGTTGTTTGGGGAGGGAGAGACGGAATCAACTTCGTCCGTTCCGGAAGGGAGTTTGGATTGACGGCGAGAAGTATACGCTGCTTGTCGACAAACAATAATCTACAAGACGACTCTCTGATAAAGGATGCCGAGGACATAGATAGCAAAGCGTCACACATTGATGGCCCGACGTTGTTGACATCGGCAAAAATGTCCCGTAGGCACGTGAGTATCCAGGCGGCACATTCTCGCCGGTCCGGGCCCGACCCTCGGCCGAGCCTTCGGATGCGAGGTTCGTCGAGACATCACATGATCAACAAGCGATGCCACCGCAGACTCTCATGCGGAATTACAGTAAAAGACCTATATCCATTGATGAAAAATGCGTTCCACGTACACTTGCTTTCTAAGCACGTTGTGGAGCATCGGGATCAAGAACGTACCGAACAGTCACTTCGAAATGCCCAAGCCATGCCCAGGAATGGAAGACAGAGGCATGAAAGCAGAAGACTGTAGGTGTGTCCCACTTCGCTCGCTGCAAGAGAGCAATCCAAGCGGAGGAGGCTACTCAGCCTGAGCCATGAGTCGTGCAGCCTCAAAGTCCTCCGTAACACTCGTGCTTCCTCCTGTACCTTTTACTTTATAACGTGATCCTCCCATCATGAGACCATCGTTGAAATCACGTGACTTATCTGCGATCATGACAAAATCTAACCCGGCCAAAACCCGCCGGTCGATGACATCACACGATGCGACTACGGTCGACATCTTCAAACGCTCTTTGTCCTCGTCTGAAAGTCCTCATGGAGAAACTTCGAGCATGTTTGCCTGAAAGGTTGGATCTCTGTGATATGGCACGTGAAATACACATAAGAGAGAAATGTCTCAAGTCAAAGCATCTGTATGAGCGCTCAATAGACCACAAGGTGAAGTCGTGCGCGTCCTTCCCTTTCGTCATGCAGCTGGAGTGCTGAGCCACATGCAAAGCAACTACGTAACTCCACCGTGTAAATCCGATCACCGCTCACTACCGCCGGCCAAAATTGTCCGTACGTCTAATGGTAATGACTACTTCCAACGATCAATGAAGATTTTCGTTGCGATGCATATATATGTATTTGCTAGTTCGCTCGTCGATGGGAAATATCCTGACACACTCACCTCGACTTGAACAGCCATACCACACCAAGAACCTCCCAACATTACAGCTCAGCTCAACAGATACCTCCCGTCCCACACATTGTTACCCACGATGACTCAACTTTCAGTTCTCGTCGTTGGCGGCGGAGTCGCAGGCTCGGTCGTAGCCTACTGGCTTGGAAAAGGCGGCGCTCAAGTTACCGTGATTGAACGATCATCCGCTTCTTTGGAGGCCGGTCAGGGCATCGACGTCGAAGGTGTGCCGCGCGAGATCGTGCGCCGCATGGGCGCCGTCGACGAGATGAAGGCCCGATCAACAGGCGAGCCAGGAATCGCCTGTCTCGACGATGACGGCAAGCCCCTCGCCTTCATCCCGGGCCTGCTCACCTCCGACATTGAGATCATGCGCGGCGACCTTACCGACATCCTTGCTACTGCCGCGAAGCGATGGGACAACGTCACCTTCCAATATAACCGCAGCGTAACAACCCTTGAGCAGCGCACTGGTGTCGACGGCGGCGTCTTCGTGACCTTCAACGACGATTCCAAGGCCCGTTTCGATGTCATCGTCGGCGCCGACGGTCTCCGCAGCAAGACTCGTGAGATGATCTTCGGCCCAACCATCAGCCATAACGCCATCAAACCCCTCGATTTGTATTCCGCCTTCTTCAGCATCCCAGCAGAGGAGCACGATGCCAAACATTCCACCCTCCAGAGCGTAATAGGCCGACGGTCGACGCTCATCCGCCCAGTCAACAAGGATCGTTCGAGCGCATACATGTCGTTCATCAACAAAGACCCGGCCTTCATCGCCGCCTTCCAGCAGACCAACCGCGAATCCGGCGCAGAGCGAATCCAAGCACAAAAAGATTTAATCCTCAAATCACTGCCCGCTGACATCGCAACTGGTCAAGTCCCACGCATCCTCGAGGGCCTCCGCACCACCCAGAATTTCTACTTCGACCGCATCGCCCAAGTCAAGCTCTCCAGCTGGTCCCGCGGCCGTGGCGTGCTCGTTGGCGACGCCGGCTATGCCCCTGGTCCGATCACCGGCGAAGGCACAAACCTTGCCATCGTGGGCGCATACGTGTTAGCCGGAGAAATCACCCGCCACGTCCTCACTTCGTCCGGCCAGGATGAAAAGCAACCTGCTCCGCTCGACGACTCCATCACTGCAGCCTTCACCAGCTACGAATCTCTCTTCCGGGACTACGTCACCTCGTCGCAACAGATCCCGGGCGCAGGTCGAATGCCGGATTTCCTGCACCCGACCGGCCGCTGGGGAATCTGGACCCTGCGCTTGGTATTTCGCTTCTTCGCAGCGAGCCGGCTCTACAAGCTTGTCGGGTGGAAGAGCCTTGAGGATGCACGCGACAAGGAGAAGCTGCCGGAATGGATGCCGGTCTATGAGAAGTTTGTGTGAAAAAATATAGAAAAAAGTGATCCATCGGTACCGAGTCCCGTTAAGATATAGAATAGGTCGTTTAGAAGATAGAACCCCGTATGATAATGTTAGCAAGCTAAGTTCTGTCCTCACTTCGCTATACTACTCGTTGCGATCTTGAATCCTCCCCTCGCGAATCTCTGGAAGACCTGTTGGGGATCATACTTCCCGCTCACTTCGCGGAGCTTCTGCGCGTTGGTCGGGCCATACGAAGCGAGCGGATCTTGCGACCCGTCTGCATAGTTCAGATACTCCCACTCCTGATTGCCTCCCGGGATCGTCGCAGCGAACTCCCGTACGCGCTGTACCCAGCCTTGCGCTTCCTCGTATGCGAACTTCTCCTGCTCGGGAGTGCGCACCATGATGGCCGCCAGCCACATGAGGGCATTCTCGCTTTGCCGCTCCAGCCCCAGCACATTTCCGCCGCCGCCGGACTCGATCGCCTGTTGCGCAAAGATTGCTGGCAGCGGCTGGAATAGGCATTGCGTGATGAAATCTCCACCTAGAATTCGCACTTTCAGGCGTCCGACGAGTCCCTCGTGCTCGTGGACCGCGTGGGACACGATGCGGGTGTCGTTGAGGAAATCTGCCGTGAACCATGTGTTGCTGAGGTGCAGGATCAGTTCAGTCTCGAGGCGATCGATATCTTGTGGAAGATGTGGGAGAAGTATCATACTAATAGCCTGTGGGTAAATTATATTCCGCCGCCATCTCCGTGATGGATATTTGCTTGTAAGTCGTAGCAACTCCGGGCAGTGTCGGCCATTCAGGATAGGAAGGTGCGCGAGGGATCCCCGCGACTTGGGCATACATGGCTACGACTACCACATCTTTGAAGTTCGACTGCAGAACATCGTTTGCAGACCAACGTGGAACAGGGTCCTCGAACGAACTAGAGCGTGTATTTAGCCGAAGGTGATGCATCAGCCCATGCTCAGGTGTTGCTCCTTACCCATGTACGTGTATAAGGTCAAGAGGTTGCTGTCTACATCATCGACGACGATGTCGTTGAAGCGAGGAAGCGCTTCTGCCGCCTGCGCGGAGACCAGCTTCGGGAAGATCGCCAGCCCGCCCCAAACCTCATCGTTCTCGATTGCCCTGAGGGTGAAGTTGGTCACGATCCCGAAATTGCTTGAACCCCCCTTCAATGCAATGAAAAGGTCTACGGTTTTGATCGGAATCCGCAGTGATTATGCTGCCGTCCGCAAGCACCGTTTCATACGCCAACACGTTGTCACAGGCACAGCCAAGTCTTGCCGTGAGGAATGTATTGCCACCGCCCAACAGCATCCCGGCAAAACCCACCCCGCCTTCTCTTCCGCCGGCCACGACCCGTTCGTGTGGTCGCAACTCGGCATACACATCGCGCCAACGACCTGCAGGGCCGACGTCGACAGTCTCCGATTCCGGCTTGTAGCGGGTCCACTTCATCAATCCGAGGTCGATGGTGACCCCATTGTCGATGTTGTTCGCCCCGGGATACTGCGTGTGGCCACCGCTACGGATCGCAAATTGCTGCCCGGCAGATGCGAGCGCTTTGACAGCCTGGGCGACCCTGGCCGTGGCGAACCAAAAACTCACATAGCGAGCATAGAATTATAGATCTTTTCAGAGGAGGAGACGAACTTCAAGACCTGCCGCTTTCAAAGTATCGAGTCCGCTTGCGGGATGTGGTGGAAGCCCTGGCGCCATGACAAAATGAAGCACGTTCAGAACCAAGGGTAGAGACAGCTGAAGAATACGCGATCACACCGATCATGCGAAGAAGAACCGCCTTCGCCAGCTCGATTTGCGATGCTTACAACCATGCTCCGCTCCAGGTCACTCCTGCAGAAATGGGTCGTAATAATGGCGGTAGTGATGACAGCTCAAGAACATCACAGCACACCAGGTCCCTCGCCGCCTCGCACCATTTTGCAGGGTTCAGGAAGTTCTGTGCCCCGGAACAGATAAGCTCGTAAGCATGCATATGCGCTAGGCCCGCGCAAAGGGCGCTAATGCAAGCATGACAGGAACGGCTGCCGATCGAAGCTTAAGTCGATATTATTCCGGGCCATCTAGCTTTCGGCACGCTCAAAGGGCAGTAACCACGCCCCAGCCGGCACGGGATCCAGAAAGCGATCTTGTGCGAACGATTCGTGTAGCCTCCATGAGATTTGACACTCGTTGACTTTCCAACACTATCAGGTCTATCCACGCGGAAAATCCAAGACAGACGTTGAAGCCAGTCCGTACCTACTCAATCACACATTCGCGCTGACACACAGTTTAATTAGTTGCCCGCGCCAGGAGATGGCATTTCGGCTGTCGTATCCTAGAGACGCCCTCGAGATTCTGCGCCTTTCACTTCCGACAACGGTATCCGGAGTGCAAGCAATACCGTCGATCTACATCACAGGCCTGAGGAGAGGTTGAGTGACTTGCACAACCATGGCAAACGATCATCAAGAAAAGTCACTCTCGCCCAATGAAGAAAGCTCCGAGACCCATGGAGGACGTACAACGGATGACGTGTATTCAGAGGAGGCATTGAACTGTTCTTCGTGGTAACTGTATTGATGTTGAGCATTTTCATCTCAAATCTGAACATTGTACGTTCTAGGTCCAATCTCCGCTCAATGAGGAGAGTCCATGGCAAAAGGGCTTCGAACATCAGACTAACTGAATTACCAACCAGACCATCGTCGCGACTGCAATCCCAGGAACCACAGACGAATTCGGCTCCGTCGGCAAAGTCAGCTAGTACGGATCGCATTTTTCATCACCAACGGCAGCTTTCAATCCTCATGAGGAAAGACATACAAGCACTTCGACTTGAAGTGAACCAAGTGAAGATGGCGGCGCGATCGGGGTTGAAGCATCGGACAAGCATGCGGCGGAGATAGCTAGATTGCGGCCGATTCGACTTGGCTGACAAGTCACATACTTGACGTCCATTAGTGTTGGCTCGTCAATGTAGAGGCACATGTAGATTCGAGGGCCGTGTACTCCCTTCGTTTGCACAAATGACAATTTTCTCAGTCAGCACAATTCGCAGATGTGACGAAGGACCTTGGAATATCAAGTGTGTCACGGTGGTCTGTACGGTGATCGTGAACATGTGAGCGCTTAGATATGAAGCTGATGGCAGCATCTAAGCACGTGCTAAGTACATTATAACCTTGGAATAAGATTATAACGTCCACTCCAGTAGCTTACGTAGCCGCGCTAGCTTTATTAGTATCAAGGTACGGTCGACTATGTATAGTCGACCCGTTAACTCCGCCAGGCGTTCATAACAAAGTACACCATACATTAAACAAATAATGCCCGTCGGGTTTGGTTTGTGCAGCCGAGATGGCTGGCACATACTGTGATTGACCCATCAACCCTGCTTGGTCATCGGAACGCTGGGGCCGCAAGGGATCTGTCCACAGACTGGCGCGCTAATGCAAGGCTTACCCACCCACAGCTCGATAAAGCAGCGCCAGCAAGCGCGCTCGTATGCTGACGATGATGATAATGATATCGCGAGCGTGCTCTGAATGGAAATGCATGGGAGCTTCTCCTTATGACCTCCAGGTTCCGGCCTCGCCAGCTCTGCTCTTGACGATATCCACCTCCTTCTCCAGCATTAAAATCTAATCGAGTAGACACTTCCAGCTTGCGCCAAAATGCCAAAGTACTTCGACTCTGTCGACGACATTCCTGAATTGTCCGGCAAGGTCATTGTTGTCACGGGCGGTGAGGACTCGTTGTCGTCTCGGACAATGCCAGGGCTCTGACGAAATCCGTAGGAAATGCGGGTCTGGGTGGTGAGACTGTGCGACGTCTCGCCGCGAAGAACCCCAAAAAGATCTTTCTCTGCGCTCGAACTCCGTCCAAAGCGCAGGCGGTGATTGACGAGATCAAAGCACCCAATGGTGTGATCCAAGCTGTCAAGTATGATCTGTCGTCGCTCGAGAGCACCAGGTCCGCTGCTGCGGAGATCCTCGCCTCGATCGATCGACTGGACCTGCTCTTCCTCAATGCCGGTGTCTCCGGACTCGCTCCTGCCTTGACGGAGGAAGGGTACGAGTGGCAATTCGGCGTCAACTACGTCTCGCACGCGCTCTTCGCTCAGCTCCTTCTGCCTCTCCTGTTGGAGACTGCCGCTCAGCCGAACAGCGACGTGCGCATCATCACGGTGGCTTCCGAGGCTGCCAAGGTCTTCCCGCCCAAAGCCGGCATTCTCCTAGACCAGGTCAAGACGGACTTGTCCTCGATCAGCGGGATGGCGCGCTACGGGCAATCCAAACTGGCCAACCTCCTTCTTTCGAACAAGCTGGCCCAGGTCTACCCATCAATCACGTCTATCGCCGTCCACCCCGGCATGGTGAAGACGGAGAATTTCAGCAAGGCGGACGGGGCCGGATGGTTCACCTACTTTTGGCAACTGTTGCTGGTGACTACCGGCGTCACCACAGAGGAGGGAGCCAAGACGCAATTGTGGGCAGCTACGTCGAAGGATGCAAAGACGGGCAAATTCTACTTCCCCATCGGTAAGGAGGATGATGGCGGTAAGTACGGCAAGGACCAGAAGAAGGCAGATGAGCTGTGGTCCTGGACCACAAAGGAGCTTGCAGCACAAGGCGGCTCCGGATGGCCAAAGGTGTAGATCGGGATAGAACATTATAATGATTTTTAGGCGTTAGTTTCTAGCGAGTCCTTGGAAAAGTCTCATTCAATACTTGTTGCTGGCGATCAATGTGTCCCTCGGTCTTTGTCACTCCCCTTGTCTTGCCTGTAGGAGAAAGAAAGGCGCATCAAACGACTTGAATAAAGTGTCTATAAAGCCGTTGCACAACTCTGAGTGTGGAGCTTGGCGTAGTAAGATCTGTATCATCTGACTCGGTCCCAGAAGAGCCAACAGAGTCAGCATACCGAGCCGCGACTGGCATCGTGTCAGTCTCCTCTAGTGCCGCCTCTGCCACTGGGACATGGTCGGCGGCTAGAGCAGCCAGCCGGCTGACCAAACGTCCGTTCGGTCGAACGAAAAGAGTGAGGCAGTGGGCCTGACCAGTGGCTCCAGAGACTGAGCGAATAGGTCAATACTTGTGGAGACAGAGTATCGCGATGCCTTCACGATGACGAGGTCGTGGGTTGGCTCGACGCTTGGAAGGCTCAGATCTTCTCTGGACACGGCCGAGAGATGGAACGCTGTCTCTTTCTTGGCTTCATGTACGTTCTGGCTTGAAAGACGAACCGAGGCACAGCAGAATGCTAGTTAATCCTCAGACGTACTGCTGCTCGTGCGCTCGTGTGGAGGGCCACGCGATTCGCGAGGTTGCCCCGTGATGGAGATCGACCCTCAAGGTAGCCATGCTTTGGCATGTGTGCACTCATCAAGGGACTGAGAGCTGACAGGCGACTTCCCCTGCCCAATTGAGCATGTCAGCTTTCCACGCCCATGTAAGCTTTGTATGAAGCTAGCTGGCATGACTGCATACGCGAACTGCAACGGGTGTCAGTTATCAATATAACAAATCCTGTGGGAATCATGGATGCAAGAGACGCACGAGTCGAGCCATACTTCTCAGTATGGAGATATTAAGTCGTTCGTGAAATGGCCGAATGCGCATGTGAATCAATCGACCCAAGTAGAGACACGATGTCAACCAGACCACTGCACGACGCGTTGCCCGATCTCGTGGCAAGGCTGTCCGGTTCTGATGCAAAGCCCAGGTCGATGATCCGAGCCGGTGTTACACTCGCTGTCCTGTACCTGTTAGATCTCGCAGTGTATCGATGTAAGGCTGCACATCGCGAGTTCCAGTTTTGCGAGGTTGTCAAGGTCGCTGGCGGACTCAGCACTAGTATATCTTTCACCACTAGCGAGCATTCCCGCGCACAAGTTGACTGTTGAGCTATCATGGAAGACGTTAAATGCTCTGACAAGGTGGATTGAGCATTGAACAGCGCTCACTCACTATTATGAGGCATACTACGACGCCTGGCTTGGCGGACAGTATTTCCGCAAACGGCCGACTTGCACAAGCAGGAGATAGAAGCCGGATGTGAGACGGAGGCGCACTATCTTTTGTTCTTGCATGACATAAAGAATGAGATGCCTGTTACTTCGCAGTATAACGGATAGGGGTGGTCTACGATTCTATTCATTATATCTTCAAAACAAAGTCATGACTTCACAACGCTACTTGTCGGCCTCTTATCGAGCTGGAGTGGGTCAGGGGGGAGGATGGCTGCCGATGGAGGAGGAAGTTCATGAAGAAGTGGAAAAGACGGGGCCTAGGTCTCGCTCCTTACTGCAATTCAGCTGCAAGCTGGCACCACTTTGCAGCAACACCTCTACGCCCTCCTCGAACCCGACCTCGACGGCGACATGCAGCGGCGTCCGGCCTTTGCTATCGTAGAAATTGAGGAAGGGGTCCAACCTCCCGCCGTTCTGATTTAAAATGATCCGGAGCACGGTGAGCTGCCGCCGCTCTGCGGCGAGATGAAGAGCCGTGCGTCCAGTGGCGTCTGACCTCCCGAGGCAAGCGCCACTGGCGAGGAGGCAGCTTACCACATCCTCCCTTCCCTCTGCGGCTGCGTACATGAGTGGCGTCTGACCTTCGCTATCGCGGATGTTGGTGTCGACCTTACGTTGCAGGATCATGCGGACGATGTTAGTGTAGCCGCCCCGGGCCGCCAGATGTAAGGCACTTTGCCAGCTACCTGTGTTTATAAGTTGAACGGAGGCCTGTTCGGTGTTCATGGCCCTCATCATGCGGCGGATCATTGCGTCGTCGACGACACTGCCGGAGGCTACCTGCGCGGGACTCGTACCAGTACTGTTGCTGGTACTACTATCGCTGCTGTTATTCCATCCGTTGACAAGCTCGTCGAAATTCAGCACCTCGCTCGATAACGTTGCCGGATCGAGTGCCCTTGTCTCTGGAGAAGTAGTGACAGGTGAGGCGAGAGCAGTGGGTGTTGGCAGGTAGGTAGTCGCGACATGCAGTCCGATCGTGTCCAGGCCTGCAGACGTATGCGCATCGAGAGAGGTCAGGCCAAGGGTCATGTGGGAGTCGTGCATCCACGAAAGGTCAACCGAGGAGGAAGGGTGAGACGAGGTGTGTAAGTCGATCGACGTCGCATCCTCACAGGCTGCAATATGGTGGGTACGGACTGGTGCGGCTGGCAGAAGAAGATGGGCAGGAGACGGTAGAGGTTGCGGCAGAGCCAGAGCCAGAGGCGGTTGCTGGTGCGGCAATAGCGGCGGTGAGTTAGGGGTGCGCACGTCAAAAACGGCGGGTGCGGCATTACGTTTCTCTGGAAATTCGAGACGGTCTGATTAGCACAGGACAAATCTGAAATACACAGGAGAGAGTATGCGTGTTAGAATGGGGACGCGAACAGATGCGACGAGGTGCGATATCGCACCATCGCGATCGACACGACCGACCTGCAGCTGGAGCAGGGAGAACGGAGGGCCGCAGCATACCAACCTCGAAATCTCCGCTGAGAGGTGCGGTTTTGCATTCGCCTGCGCATCAGCGCCTCGTCCCGCCGCTGGTCCTGGTCTTGTTGAGACATGACTTCTGGTGAGTGCCGAGTGAGCAGAATGAGCTGCGCGAGCGGGCGACGAGAGGAGGAACGGCGTGTTATAACGCTGCTCTGGCGTGATCCTCTCGGGGATCAGTTTGCAATCAGCTGTGTGATGCGGTTGGTTGGTTGGTTGGTAGGTCGGTTGAAGGGCTTGCGTTTGTGACGAGGCTGAATCCCGCGTGAGATCCTGCTGCCGCCGCTGTGCATGCGCGAGCCCCTCCAACATGGGCAGTCAGCGGAAACATACCGAAGATAGTCCTGCATGAGAAACGGGCTGTCAGCGGAAGCATACCGAGGATAGCCCTCCTGCATGAGATCCTGCACATGAGAGGCCTCGAGATGGGCGGTCAACTCAAGCATACCGGTGAGGATAGGTCGCTAATTCAAGGATCCCGGCAGCGTTCCTGCACATGCTGTGCTCGCCTTTTCCAGGGTCGAAGGCGTATGGTATGCAGGCCTGAAGAAGTCAGACAAAAGAGGTGCGCGAGGTGCGCTATTGACGAAACACCTAGTGACCTCCGGGGTCATATAATCGGAGACTGTAAAGGAGCCGTGATCACACCTAAACCCCATTACAAAGGTAAGAATCAGCCGTGACAATACTTTGAGAAGCAGCCAACGCAGCGGCGAGAACGCAAGTAAAGGAAACAAACGAAGAGCCACCTGCCTTCAACATTTGAAGGGATCAGGCGATTGAGCTATGTCAGCGAAAGGCAGGAAGTATGTCCACGGGGACGCAGTCAGTGATTAGCGCACACCTGGAAGCAAGGCCGACGCGACAGCGGGCTGAGTCCTGCGAACAGTCCCTGGCGAAAGCAGTGGTGCCGGAGCACGACTGCACCTTGACAATCGACTACAGTATAGCGAGAAGGCCCCTCTGAGTCGCTGACGGAGAAACAGGCGAAGGCAGGTACCTTGGTACGTTCCTAACATCGACCATGCTACTTCGCACTTACCTAGGTAGCTAGCGATAATGCGCCTCCAGCCTTCTCTTCGTTGTTGCGGGCGTGTACCTGGCGGGAGGGCGTCGTTTGCAATCCAGGACAAGTTAAGATACTCGTTTATGTAGCAAAATGACGCTTCGTCCCAAGACCAGTCTCGTCAAGTCGCACTTAAGGCCCTGTTCATCAGCAGAGTTGTTCGAAGAGCACTACCTACTAGGAACGTACCTACAGTAGTAGGCATACCATACAGTAGTACCTAGGTACTCACGGGACTGTACTGTAAATTGAAAACAGCCCTGCAGGGTCTTGGTCGGTCTGCGATATAGTAAGCGCGGGCGCCAGCGGATTAGTGATCACGTGGCCGAAGCAACAATCGCACCTGGCCACCTACTGATCTCGTGCCTAAACTTGTCCCAACGTTCTCTTCCCTACGATGCAGTTATCATTCGTCGTGCGCGTTCTCTCCAGACCGACGTGAACCCTTCCATTGCAAACACGACGATAATTTATTCTCGAACGCGAAATCTGATATCGGGGACGTGAGGTATGTCTGTTCCATGCACAACCTGGATGGCTTGATGCCGCCGTCGCTGTCCGTGTTCTTGTTCGCTATTTGGAATATCCCGCTGTGCTCATCATCGTGTCTTCCCCTCCTCCTCCTCCTCCTCCTCTCCCCTCAACGCGATCAATATAACATCTTTTCCCACGCATCACGTCTCCCTTCCCACTCATGTGTCCCACTCGCTACTCCTCCGCATTGCTGCGGAAATCGCTTCCGCTACCAATGCCCCCACCGCCGCAGCGGAGATGTTTCACACGGTCCGTGGTCGTGGGAGCGGACTCGTGTGGTGAAGGAGCTGATATTGCAGCTAGCGGCGTCGTCAGCGATCGTCAGCTTGAACGCAATGCGCCGGCCATGTCTGCGCTCGGCGGCTTGAACAGATCATTCACACATGCCCGAAGATACCCCGTCATCTCCCAATCATACATAGAGAGCCCACAAGACTTTGGCTCAGTCGATAGACAAACGTAATGACAATCTTTATCTGACCATTCCAGAGCTTGAAGTTCAGCATACCCGAGATCTGCATTTGATACACGTCCACCGGGACGGCAACGACCATCATGCCCGCCATGCTCGATGATCCCACGGCGCCCGCCATCTATCGTACTTCTGGCCAGATGCCGTTTCCCGATCCCTATGGACCGGTCCCATCAGAGATCACGCCGCGACAGGTCACTCTGCGAGATCGTGTCACCACGGCCACCCTCGTGCCTTTCTCCTCTCCACATCAAGTCCCGCCTCATCTGACCGCGTATCTCTGCGAGTTGCTCAACCGCGAGATCGAAAAAGGCGATACATATCCCATGATCGACCCTATGGCACTCTCTTCGTTCGGAACATATTGGTTCGCAAACTTTGGCGCCGTCATGGTCGTAGGCGACATTCAGAGCGCAGACGAGGTCGCACAGATGGAAGAGGGAGGCGCGGATTGGTCGAAAGAATGTCTGGGGAGTTTCTACATCAAGCCAAATTACCCTGGCAGGAGCAGTCATGTGTGTAATGGTGGATTCCTGGTCACCGACGCTGCCCGAAATCGAGGCGTGGGTCGTCTGATGGGTGAAGGATATCTGGAATGGGCGCCAAAGTTGGGTTACACGTATTCGGTGTTCAATCTGGTATATGAGACGAATGTGGCTTCACTACGGATTTGGGATGCTCTTGGGTTCAAGCGAATTGGACGCGTGAAGGGTTGCGGCAACCTCAAGAGCTTTCCGGATCAATTCATCGATGCCATCATCTTCGGCAGAGAATTGGGTGGTGATGGCGATGATTATGTCACCGAGGAGCGTTTCGACAAGATCCGTTTCTACCTAAAACATGGCACATATCCGAACGGATCAGATCGTGCTGAAAAGTCGCGATTGCGTTCAGCAGCCACACATTACCGGCTGATACCCAACACCAGCGGTGACGGCGGAGAGGAAGAGAAGCTCATGTTGAAAGGCAAAGAAGTCATCTCAGATCCGCACAAGCAATACGAGATTGCTCGAAACATGCATGCGGCCGCTCATGGTGGTATCAACAAAACGACAGCCAGCATTGCAGAAAAGTATCATTGGGTGCGCATCAAAGAGACGGTCTCGACGGCGATTCGAAATTGCGTCGAATGCAAAGAGACGGCTCCAAAGCCTGCAGAGACCACCACCTCTTCTAACTCCAAGTCCCGAAAGAGTCAGGCAGCTTCGACGTCTACTCCGGCTCGTGCAACGCGTTCAACTGTCAACACTGGTCTGATTGACCCCAATGATGTTGTCACAGGGAGCAGTAATCCTCTCGTAGTGGCTCAACAAGCACAGCAGCAATCACATCAACAACAACAACCGCCGCCGCCGCCGCAGCAACAGCAACAACCTCAACATCAGATTTCACCACCTCAGCAGAATATACCGACCGCACCCATGATGGACATGCAGCATTTCGCCGACGTCTCCTCCGTACGGCCTGAAGACTATGGTGACATGCCTGTTGATCCTCAACTTATGCAAGATCCTCATCACCATGCTGCAGCTGCAGCCGCCGCCGCTGCCGCTGCACAGTGGTTTGAGAATGCATCTCCTACCAATATAGATCAACTTACTCGTGCGACGCACGCCATCAATCAGATGATGCAAGACGTACAGAATCAACAACAGCAACAACAACACCATCAGATGAATCAACAACAGCACAGTCGTTCTCCGAATGATGACCACGCCGCCGCCCTTCGCGACCAGCTCCTCTCCTCCTCACACATGACCTCTTCCAACCACGACCTGAATATGGTCTACCACCATCAACAGCAACAACAACAACAACAGCAGCAGCAGCAGCAGCCTTCCCATCACCTGTCCCACCACTCGCATCCCATCTCTCATCAACAGCTGCAGCAGCATCAACAACATCCCCACCAACAACCACAATCCCAACAGCAACAACAATCTTCACAGCGCCAAACCTCCCAACAACAACACCAACAACAACTCCCTGACCCGCTCGATACCGACATGGACGACCCTATCGTCGATGTCGATGTCGTCGACGTTGATCTCGACGATCCGGATCTCGACAACAAGACCTTCGATCCGGCGACGGGGGTTGTTTCCGTGGTCGGCGGCGGCGGCGTCCGCGGTGGATTACAAGCCGATCTTGTCGGGGGGTCAGGCGACGGGATGAGGCATTGAGCATTCAGACGGAGGGTTTTGTCAAATCAAGCGAGGTGAAATGAGGATTGAATTTTGTACCGGGGTCAGGAGCGAAGGGTTGTCGAAAATTTCGATCGGCCTAAACGTAATTACAGTCGGTGATGGAAAGTAGTATTTATGTATGTCCTAGCCATTACGATTGCTGTTGTCTAGGTTTCCAAGATCAAGCTGAGGAGAGGAAACTTGGCTTAGAAAGGATCAAAGGGCAAATTAGCGAATGAATGAATCCCTACCTAGGTATGTGCTGTCGGTCAGAGTGACAATGAAAGGATCTCTCTCCCATCTCGGATCGGCGGGATCCATATTATTACTCTGAGACCTGAGAGTAATGATTCAAGAAGGCAGCAATAGTACGGTATTATTTCGATGACTTTTCTTCATGTGTTATTAAATCATGTTCATGTATAAATCGCGCCACAATGCAAAACATCCATGGTAGTAAATCCTTAACAACGCACTCCTTCCTCCATTATCATCATCTTCTTCATCTCCTCCGCCTCACTTTCCCACCACAGCTCCTCAATCCGAGAAAATCAAAAGAATCCGAAATTCATCATCGAAATCCCTCTCCTCTCTAGATGAACTTCCTGACGATGTCGACCTCCACACAGCTGGGGTTCTGCGCCTTGCCGCTGCCCTGGATCCAGTTCAGCGCGACGTACTGGTAGCCGGAGTAGTTGATCTTGCAGATCGCCCAGCGGTAGTAGGCCTTCTGGCCGACGGCGATCGGGCTGACGCTGTCGTCGATGTAGGATTGCACGCTCAGGCGGCCGTCTTGCGGGTTGAAGGAGACGAGGGTGGGGTCGTTGACGGGCTCGATGAGGGGCAGGGCGACGTTGGACGCGGTGTTGTAGACGAACTTGAGCGGGTTGGAGTCTGTAGATTCGATATTTGTTAGAAATGGAATCTTTCTCCTCTCTCTCTCTCTGGACGGAAAGTGGAAGGGTAGAAACTCACAGCCTTCTCCGCCAGCGGAGGGCAGAATCCAGGTGATGGCGCCCTGCTCGCCGTAGGTGTTGTCCTGCTGCGAGGAGTAGATCGAGGTGTTGAAGCGGAAGGTGTTGTAGTTCGCAACGGTCTTGTTGGCCTGGTCGAAGATGCAGAGAGCTTCGATGGCGGCTCCGGCGTGGCAGGCGGTGAGGACGGCGCCGGCGTAGGGGTTGGTGGCGTAACCCTTGGTCTTGACGACGAGCTGGAAGGGCGCGGAGGTGATGTTGTAGAATTGGGCGGAGACGCCGGTGGCCATGAGGGCGAGGACAGTGGAGAACTTCATTTTGAAAGGTGATGGAGGTGGTGTTGGTGGTGGATTTTTTTGAGATTAGTTCTTGGAGATGGGAGATGATTGATGTGGATGATGGAACTATTTCGGTGGAATAGGTGGTGGATGAATTGGTTTATATAGATTTTCAATCTTCATACAGTCGACAATGATGATGACGATCTCTCGAACTTCCTCTTTAGCTCATGTCGTCGAACTACGCATGATCACCCTGTATGTCCTCAAAATAACAATGGAGTAGTGTACTATGATGGTGATGGCTGCATACCGTAGCACGATGTGACGTCGAATGTCACCCACCCACTGCCGATCATCCCAGGTAAGCGATGAGCTTGCCAAAGAGCCGATGCCCGACTAGGATCAATTCGACGAGGCTGACACGAGTGAATACTTCAGAGCGTAAGGGACCCCAGCAGAACAACCTTCCTCATCCTACCCGAATTTGTCATGATGTCTACGGTCTGCCCAGGTGATGAGTGTGATCATTGCTCTGGAAAGAGCCGAGCCATGGAGTATAACAATGACTTTCGGTTGAGGGTTGTGTTAGACCGTATGTGGAAGAAGGCCGCGAGAGGGCGAATCACAGCCAGCAAACATTGGGCGGACTTCCAGGCGGACCCTTTGCTGTTCGGCTACTAGAGAACCTTGGAATTGCGTAGCCCTATGCCCAAAGAAACCTGCCCAGGTGAACACTCCACGGTCCACCTGTGGGCACTTGGGCAAGCAACATGCGGCAATTCCGGTTGCAGTGCGCCATCGAGAAAAAGCTTGTGAGGTCTATTTTAAGCTCCATGCAGCAGAAATGTCCACCACAGAATCATGCATCTCGTATTCACACATTGCTTGAATGTCGATCATCGTTCCATTCCAGAACGACGCTCGGTCGGCTCGGTCGGAACTAGGAGGGTCTCCAGTGAAGAACCTGGTGACATACACATGTTCAGCGGTGTGTCCCTCGCTCAACTCGATCCCGCACCAGACTGAAATGACGGGACTGCAGCTCGTATGCTCCTCGTCGATAGTCTTGCATTAGGTGAAAATAAACGCACACGCCACAGACACGACATAACGTTCACCACCACGGCTATGGACAGTTCACGACGATCAGGTTCTACATTCCTATCGATCTGTGTGTTCCTCTCCGTTATCTCCGTCCTGAGTGGAGTGGCGCTTTCAGAGGCGACCAGACCGAACGATTCCGGAGAATGAGCCGAGAGCCCGTATGCATCACACGAAGGACACTGCTCGAGGCTGGTGATCCCACAATCAGCGCCACTGTTTCTTTGAATTTCCTTCATAGGTCTCACTTTGATGACGACGACTACTATGGTGCTGCCCATCGCCGAACTTTCATCCGACACCAACATGCCCTGCACTCTACTACGGACTTTCGTATGAGGCATTAAGCGGCTCTGTCGGGTCTATCGGACTCCTCCATCTCAGTGAGCAAACGACGCGTGACATGGCATGTGACGTTCGACGGCAATGTTGAGATCTTGGAGGACTATCTGTGCAACGATGAAGCGGACTTATACAGCGTTGCGCATCAGCCTGCTGAAGACCCTTTCGAGAAACGCATTAAAGGGCAGTGTCAGGGCTTTATTCCAGGTGTGGTCTCGCTAGAGGACAACGGCAAGGCGGAGATCATGTTATCTGAGCGGCTCCGTGTCACTGTCGTACTTGGAATCATGTCCAATTGAATGTACAATTATGATTTACACAATTCATTAAAACTGCACGTTTCTCGCCTGGGATTCGAAATTGAGCGGACTGAAATTTGCCTACAGACGTGATGTTATATTCAGCCCTTCGTCATATCGACGTCCGACTCGTCTCACGTGATCGAGCCTTGCCCTCTCACAGTCTTGGCTTGGCAATACTGCCGCACCACACTTGCGAATTCACGACTACCGATCGCGAAAGTGAGATAGTTGCACGTATTCCAACCACATCACACATCACAGCACAGTCAAAATGGTTAAGAAGCGGGCGTCCAAGTACGAAACCAACCAAATATGCAAATTTCAATCCGGAACGCGTTATTCTAACCGTCATTTCTTACAGCGGACGTAACAAGAAGGGTCGTGGTCACGTCAAGCCGATCCGATGCTCCAACTGCTCGCGATGCACTCCCAAAGACAAGGCGATCAAGCGATTCACCATCCGCAACATGGTCGAGTCTGCTGCTATCCGTATGGTTTTCCCGATCGAAACAATGGATTTCCCAAAGACGTGGAACTAAATGTTGGAATCTGCAATTAGGTGATATCTCGGATGCCTCCGTCTTCGCCGAGTACGCTGTGCCCAAGATGTACTTGAAGCTTCAATACTGCGTGTCCTGCGCCATTCACGGAAAGATTGTTCGGTACGCATTCCTACTTCGACTCCTCCTCCCGGTCTCTCCCTTCTGGCCCATCTGAAGTCTGCTGGGGCTCTTCATGAGTGCAACAGTGTGGGAGATTGATGATCGGACAAACAATAAGCGAGATGAATTGCAGTCGCTAACATGTAGTCCTCCAACAGTGTCCGTTCGCGCGAAGGCCGTCGCAACCGTGCTCCTCCCCCACGTGTACGATACAACAAGGACGGCAAGAAGGTCAACCCCCAGGCCACCGCCAAGGTCCCCGGCGCTCAGGCATAAACAATGTTCACTTCGACGAGGAATAGAGCATTTGCAATGTCAGGACAGGGATTTTGGGAAAAAGAAGGCATGATTCACACAACACACAAAGTGGGCGTTCTGGTGAGACACGTTTTTGATCTGGGTTTGGGATGACAAGGTGCGAGGGGAACATGAAGTGGAGAGTGGAAGGGAAGGGAGGAAACCTTCGCCGGATCAGCTCGAATACTTCACCTCCATACATCAACCTTTTTTGAAATCACGTTCCAATCCTCGAATTGCATCGCCGACGCCTGAGAACCATCTACTCATTCCTGGGACAACGAATGGCGGCATCCCGTCTTGCATGCGTCGTGGCGGATCTGGCATAACACGATCGAAGTGGCGGATACCACGACCATACTAATGATCGACCTGACGATGCAACCCTTCCAAGCCTCGACAGAATTGCCATAGCTCCAAGATGACAACTAACGACCTTACCTCCATTTCGTGACATTCTCGTCTCCATCATGTGCTCTAGTAATGTTGTGGTCGTCCGCCTTGTGATTTAGCTATTGCCATCGGACTTCGCGCCATTGCCTAACTCTCTGTGCAGGTGTGTTTACGTTGAGTGTCCTTTCAATCCGAACTATTCGATCTCGACCTTAATTCCCTTTAAAGGTGTGACGGCTTTGCGTTTCTAAGAATAAATTATAACTTCATTAAATAGCTTTCCGTCAGGGTATCGTAGTAAAAATAGAGAAATCGATAACAATACAGTGTGGATACCACCACGAGCGCGCCCGCTAAAGTTTCACAACGACAAAGCACCCATCATCTCATCTGGCAAGTCATCGTCGCGCGTCATCCCAAGAGCAACCTGCCTTTCTTCTTCACTTCTTCCCATTAATCGCCTTCTTCCCATCCACAGCTTCGTACTCCTCCTCGTCCTCCCCGTCATCGTCATCCTCCAAATTCTCGTCCCAATGATCCAATTCATCCGTAACATCCGTCACAGGCGGTGCCTCCGCCGCCGGCACAATCCCCGTCTCCTGAGAGTGATGCTCATACACCAGTCCACCTTCCTCCTCATCTCTCCTCCTCCTTCCCTCCTCTTCATCTCCCAATTCCAATTCCACATCCCCATCGCTCAACCCTTCTCTCCGTCTCCGGCGCATCCGTTCCAACATCCGCTTGTGGTATCGCGAACAGAGCAACACGGCGATCCCGCTCCCGGCCACGTTCGCGAGGATGTCGTAGGGGTCGAAAGAGCGGTTATTGTTGGGCAGGGCGCCCTGCAGGATCTCGGAGCCGATGGAGAGGCCGGCGGTGCAGAACGCGAGGGTCAAGTGCAGCACGAGACGGCGGTGCGGGGTGTCGAGGGTGAAGTAGAATGTTGCCTGTCGGAGTCAGTCATCGGGAGTCGAGGGCAGAAGGGGAGGGGAAAGGCAAAAGGGCGTCTCACGGTGAGGAGGAAGAAGGTTATGAAATGTAGGCCTTTGTCGCTGTGGCCATATTGCGGGATTTTGTTGGTCGAGAGGCCGAGGTAGGCGGCGAGCAAATTGAGGCCTACGAATACCGCTGTAGTAGTAGAAGAAAGACGAGTCAGCAATAGAATCTCCCAATTCCAATGCGCGCACGCGCGAGAATACAGAATCGGTGCATGATTTTGCTGCTTTCAAGGCTCTCTCTCTGGTCTCGTGGGTGCCTAGGCGCATGTTGTCGCGCCGCAGTCAGAGCGACTCATGCAACTCCTCTCATCTTCTGGTTCTTCCGGTTTTCTTGCGCTGTACAAGCGCGCAATGCTTTCTTACCTGCGACATGCTTCCGGATGCGGATGGTCGACATGATGAGGTTTGTTCGGCTAACAATAAATTGGCGCGCGCGCAAAACAAGATATGAGATGGTGCTATAAGATTTTTGTGTTTCCCTCTATCATGAGTAGGAGCGCATCTTGTTGGCTGGATGAGTAGGTAACGCAGAGTGTGAAGTTTTCTCTTCTCGTGGGATGAAAGAAGGGTAATCGGGAATGCATGTGTGATTGATTGAAGGCGGCTTTAATTTCCTACATCATGGGCCGCAGAGCTGCAGCCAGCCAGCTTGTCTGCTGCACCCGGGCATGCAATGGAGAGGAGTGCATTGCGCTCACAGGTCGCAAACCGGGGGGGCACAGTTGACAGACAGGGTCTGGTTGGTTTTCTTCCCCCCCCTCGAATCTGCGCTGGTAATGTTCTCTGTATAGTTACCTTGTTTGAATGATCTCTTGGATCTTCTCGCTGCCCGTCTGGATTTATGTACTATGTAACAAGAGCTTATAAAATGTGATTGTCCCGACAATTGTGAAAGGCAAGGAATTATGTTGCTCGGTGATAACTGCAGGTCGTCCAGAGTCAATTATGATCTTTGGGACTAAACTTGAGTTTGCCGCGTCACAACAGTCAGTTGGAAGTACACGTGAGTGTCACCACAGACGGTATTAGCACTTGACTGCCATTGCATCAGAGCGCATATCTATACTCGAACGATATAAGCCATTACTTTGACTACGATCAGGATCACGATCAGGATCACGATCGGCGACTCAGGCGCATGGTTCTTTGGTATCTTGGTCTACCCCGACTCATCACCTTTCTCAACAGGGACATTCCACGAACCCTAACCATGCTGATGACCGCGATGGACCGTAGTGTACGGAACACGACGACTACTGGCACGTGCCTGAACAAAGGTAGAGCTGATCAGACGTTACGGAAGACTTTAGGAAAGCTGAGCTAGGGGAAAAGTGAAGAATCACTCGCGGCATACTGTAGCAAAAGCCCTACAGGCAGGACAGACAGTCTCCAGTGCGGTGTTCAGTTCAGTTTTCAGTTCAGTTCAGTTGAGTCGAGTTCGGTTCATCCCATACATATTTAACGTACCAGCCGATTGCTGTGTGTACTGCGAATAGCTAGCGGAACTGTGAATCTCCGGGGTATAGCGAAGAAGAAGTCTGAACCTCTTTCTCTTTCTCTCTCTCCCCCGAAAGCGGGACGACAGCCGACTGCTACTGTACTACTACTACATACTACACCCTACTACCGCGCCATACACAACTCAAAGTGAGACGTCACGTCCAACCACGGCCGCATCAGGCATTGGCCGCACCATCACCACGCCTGGGTTTTCATCAAGCCGACCACACCGTTGCATTCGCGACAACCTCAGCTTTTCGATGACCCCCATTTCTTCGTGTCAAACCCCATCACGGGACATTCCGATCCTGTCACAGGAGGACGGAGCACAGCACTGCGGGTGCAAGTCCGGGCGATGAGCTCGACACCACTGCGCCCTGCTGCTGTCAACGGCTTTGCGCGCGCTCCAAATGGATCCCATCTCACCGCGCGCCGAGGACCCAGTGTCGGTCGCGATGCCCGTCCCACGCCTAGCCATCGCTCCAACACCGTCGCGACTTCGGTAGCAGAGGATGAGCGCGAAGATGACCCCATACACAAAAGCCTGACAGCGCGTTGGGAGGAGAACCAAGCTGCCATCCTCGCTCTCTTCTCCGGTGATGGGGTCCTCCGTCGCGATCACCCGAAATCACCAGATGCGACTGCGCGAGGAACACGCGACCCGGAGGAGGCCGCGAATCCCGCTGTTCCGCGAACACGGCCAGCTCGCGTGCTGGACGAAGATTATGGAGACGACGACGAAGATGAAGATGAGGAAGACGAGGAAGATGACGTGGACAAACAGAGTCCGCTCAAAAGCAAAGGACGTCCCGATGCGCCCAATGGTCTTTTACTGCACCCTGTGCGCGCTCCTCCGCCGCTTCTGACACGCAACTCAACTTCGCGGCTCGGCGCCCCTCCTGCGATAGAACAGGCCAAGACAACAGAAGAGGTGCGCAAACAACTGGAAGAGGACAAAAAGGCCGCCGCCGAGGCCGCCAAGCGTGATTTCCAAAGCATGTTCTTCACGCTGGAAAATGATCGCGATGCCATGTTGGAACAGCAGAAGCTGGACGAGCTGGATCGTGAGGTGGAGAATGAAATGTCTGGAGATGCCACCGCGCAAGGCGCCACCTCTGCTGGAAACAACGGCACGAATGCAAATGGCAACCCGAACCAAGGCTCACTGGGCAGTTCTGACCTGGGCGCATCCAGTCTGACCTTGAAACATTTGATCGCGCGGATTGACATGTCGCGCACCATGGTAAAAGCGTCCGACCATCAATTGCGAACCCTCATCACGGAAGTCAGAAAAGGACGGAGCAAATGGGCCAGCGAAGATAAGGTCGGCCAGGAAGAACTTTACGAAGCCTGTGAGAAGGTCCTTATGGAGCTCAAGGCGATGACCGAATACGCGCAACCATTCTTGCAACGTGTGAGCAAGCGCGAAGCCCCCGATTATTTCAACGTCATCAAACATCCCATGGATATCGGCACGATGATCAAGAAACTCAAGCAAATGCTTTACAAGAGCAAAAAGGATTTTGTCGACGATGTAAATCTGATCTGGGCGAATTGTCTCAAATACAACCAGGAACCGTCACATCCATTACGCAAGAAAGCCTTGTATATGCGGAAGGAGACCGACAAACTCACTCCTTTGATCCCAGAGATTGTCGTTCGTGATCGAGCTGAGATCGAAGCAGAGGAACGACGATTGGCATCGATGGCTGGAGAGGATAGCGACGACGATGACGCCCCTATCATGGCGTCACGAGGACGTAAAGCGCCCAAGAAAGGCGTTTCCACGACCGGAAGGAAAGCGCCAGATGATGCAAAGGGAGATGGAGCAGAAACGACAACGGAGACAAAACCAGGCATGCATGCTTCTGCGAGCAGCATTCGTGGAGATTTTCTACGCGCCGACTCGGAAATGATGGATGTCACCTCGGTCGGGACGGGAACTCCGCCACCAGGGTTTGCAACCCCTGCGATGAATGGTCTCAATGGGCTCCACGCGCCTGGAAGCCACAGCGATCTCCAAGAGGTCGACAGTCTCGGTCAAGTGTTGATCACAGCTCACGTAGACGATCTAGATGAAGAAGACACCGAGTTCAAGACTTGGAAGCAGGTGACGAAGCGAGATCGTGCGCAGGCTGCGGCAGAACGAAATCGACTTTTCCGAGGGGAACAACTCAATCTCGATGAGCCAGCATTACTGCGCACCAGAGCGATGATGCGGAGATGGACAAGGCAGCAACGCGCTGCCGAGAAGTCGACGACTGATCCGACCATAGAAGATGAGATTGAAAATGCAGAGCCCATTGCAGGGGGCGAATCTCTTGCGGAGGGAATCGAGACTGAGCAAGACAGCAGTTTACCCGACTATTACAATCCATTACACGCCATTCCCGACTTGGATAACCGATGGAAGTGGACCGTGGACTCAGAAGGAGGAGTCATCCCGCAGGCGGATGAGTGGATGCGCATGTATCCAAGAAAACAGTACACGTCCATCTCAGACGGGACTCTCAGCAAACGTATGGAGGCGAACATGAAGCAGATGCAAGACACTCGTCAAATTTGCGCGAAAATTGGTATCGTCAAGCAGATGCAGCTTCAAGCACAGGTATGGACTACTGCACTGAGATGTGCCTGTGAACTGCACTCAGGGCAAGCTGTCTAGCATTCCAGTCGAACTAACCTTGTTTCCTGCACATAGACCTATCAGAACCAGTTTCAAAAATACGAACCTCGGCCGTTCCTCGAGCAAGACGTCGGACCTGTCGTCGTTTCCGAAGCAGGTCCGCTTCTGGCACCCTGGCTCAACCGCGCGGCGTTCCAACGCGGCGTCGCCAAGTTGTTCTACCATGCTGGCTTCGAGGATTTCCAACCGTCGGCGCTAGACGCCGTGACCGACATCGCATCGGACTTTCTCACACGCCTGATCGGAACCTACAAGCTTTACCAGGAACAGCCTAAGAGAGAAGTCCATGGTGCTGATGCTAATACCCGGAAATCCAGTGTGACGGCTATGGATCTGGATACACCGATTCTGGCGCCTAGTTACACACTCGAGGAACGTGTCCTACATACATTAGACGAAAATGGTATGGATCTGGACAGCCTGGAATCTTACGTACGCGACGACGTTGAGCGGCTAGGCTCTAAACTCGGCGTCATGCACGAGCGGATGAAATCTCACCTTGCAGATCTATTCGTAAGTCGGATCGCCGCAATGCTTATTTTTGGCCTTTTTCACTAACACTTCATTTTCCCACAGCGTCCCGCCCTTGGCGAACACGCAGGTGCAGATGGTGTCGGCGCCTTCAACGACGGTTCCGAGCAATTCGTCGGCGGCGACTTCGCCGAAGACCTCGGCGAAGACTTCTTCGGCTTCCGCGAGCTTGGCCTCGCCGACGAATTCGGCCTGGAAAGCCTCAGCGTGCCCCTCCATCTACTCCAAAACCGCATGCATCTTGCGTACCAAGCCCAACACAACCTCGGCGCCGCTGGAGCCGCTGGTGCGAACGGCGGCCTCATCTTCCCTGTCCCGGAACCCTACGCCCCACTCACCAAGGACCGCATCGACGGCGAAATCGGCTTGGTAAGGGATTTCTTCCGCGCTCGTCTGGCGCGCATGTCAAGTACATCTGCGGCAGCAGCAGCAGCGGCAGCAGCCGCCGCCGCAGCCGCCGCGAACAACACCACCCCACCCGCCCCGGCGCTCATCGAAGACGAAGACCTCCCCATGAAACAACGCTTCCCCAAACCGCGCCTCCCTCCCACCGGCAAAATTTCTTCCCCAAGAAAACGCCCGCTACGCGAACAGCAGCAGGCGGCGAAGAAGAAGCGCAAATTGGAGGAAGAAGGGAAACTGCTCCTTAATGGCGGAGGCGCGGGTCGGAATGTCGATGTCACGAAAACGGTCGGTCCCTTGAAATTGGTCCCTTCCAACAAGAATTCCGCGGATAAGGAGAGGGACAAGGAGAAGGAGGGCAGATCCCTGCAGACCGATACCTCTCTGGGGAATCGCGTCAAGAAGGATGGTATCCCGAGCGCGGACGGCGAAGATGGGAATGGAAATTCGGGATTGGAGAAGGACGATGGTGGCGCTGGAGGAGGGATGATGAGTCCGGAGAGTATCTCTGGGTGAGAGGGTCTTTCTATTTTGTTTTCATGCACAGAGAATGAGAGGGAGAGAGAGAAGGTTGGGAATCGGAGCTCGGGGTTTTGGATGGGATCGCTTAATTCTTCTTTTTTTGCTCGAGGAGAGGTCGGCGGCAGATTTCCCGCGACGCGTTCCCCCCCTTTTTGTCATCTCTCGTGTGGTTCTTCTACTTCTTCTATGTCTATATTGATTGCTTCGCTTGCTTTTTTCTTCGCTCTTTGGATGGCAGTGGGCTTTCGGTCCCCTTTTGTCTCGTTTCTCTGATTTTCCGACGGAGAAGGATAGTTTGCGTTCTTGTCATACTTGTGTTATTTCACATCGTGATCTGGTCGGGACATTTGTGCAGTAGTCTCGGGCATCAATTCTTTCCTATATATCATTGCCTCCCGCATATTAATTATTGTTTGTCTGGTGTGGAGTCGAGAGAGGCAGCAAGACCTGGATGTCAGGGAATTAATCTGAACAAGAACGAGAGAGAACCTTCTAGTATCTGTCATTGATTTTTCGTGTCTTGAACGGGTTGTGTGTATTGATGCTGTCCTCTAGCATTTGAATTGGAGGTATTTCGAGATGCCCAGTGATGTTCGTCGAGCCTCAGGCATATACGTACCCTTTCAACGTTCCTCCCACGTTGTTCCGTCAGCTTCGGAGCGTTCGTCACCGGGCCACCTCAGACCCGCCCAAATGACGTCGCGGACGACCTTCTGGACTGCCAGCTCAGGCAAATTTGTCCTTCCGTGCAGGAGGAGCGGAAAGGAGTGCAAGCGAGGGGATTTCTCAATGGGAGAAAGGGGTTCCGTCGTGTTTTTTTCCGAGTGATTCGTTCTACGCAAAGGTACAGTACAGTACATAGCTGTTGTACATATGCACGAGCGAAGAATTTCTTCTCATAGATGTCATGGGTCAATGAGGCTCAGCCTTCAGGCCTTCCCTGTCATGACGGCGGCAAAGCATGGCTGGTCGACAAGCACCAAATCTCCCGCCCAAACTTTGTTGCAGCGGCACTGTGTTGCACCCTGGATATTTCCCATGCCTATTGTATTGATGACCCGCCTGGGCGGCAGGTAGTTCCAGTACAAAATCATCCCTGGTTGACTGCCGTTGATATCACGATGAGAAACTTCGGCTGGACCACGACTGATGGTTCATGAACGCCTGAATATGTAATTTCAAGCCTATTTATTAGTAATAATCGTATCAAGGACAATATCGTCGTCCAGAACAAGCCACGGCTGGGCGCCAAAGGAGGATTTGATATTGTTTTCTCTCCCTTGGCCTGAACACGCCTAGCAGCATCGTCATTCTTCTGCCCTCGTGCTTGCTAATGTACTCCACCACAACCGCTCCCGAACACCACCACCACCATCACCTCTTCCCTCCTCTCTATCCTCTCCGCCCATTTCACTGTCCTCTCCATCACAGTCCATCCACGATCCACACCTGAACGATCATAGAAGGATAGCAAGTAGCTTCCCTGAGCCGCTACCAATTTGCTGCATACTCCGCTAAACCCAAAAACACTCCCTACGCGCATATCCACCACCGGGCGCTTTTCCGAACACCACCACAATGGCTGCCAACCCGCATATGGAGCTCGATCCTAAATACGATCACTACACTTACCCGACCACTGCTCCCGAGTCTCGAACTGGTCATCCCGGCCACACCACCAAGGAGCAAGATGCCCTCGTCTTTCAACTACGGATGATGCTAGAGGCCGCTGGGTACTCGAAGCGGTTGGACACCTTGACTCTGCTGCGTTTCCTGCGCGCTCGAAAGTTTGTGGCAGAGGATGCGAAGAAGATGTAAGGATTATCTCATGCGTGGAGTCATGTTATTGCGTGCGTCTTCACAAGACTGACACCCAATGCCTTCGATCATAGGTTCGTCGATTGCGAGAAATGGCGTGAAGAGTTTGGCGGCGGCGTCGATGAGCTTGTCAAGACCTTCGACTACACCGAGAAAGCCCAGATCTTCGCCTACTACCCTCAATACTACCACAAGACCGACAAGGACGGTCGGCCACTCTACATTGAACAGCTGGGCAAGATTGACTTGGATAAGATGCGCACCATCACCACGGACGACCGCATGCTGCAGAACCTCGTGGTCGAATACGAGAAACTCGCCGAGCCACGTCTGCCCGCATGCTCGCGCAAAGCCGGCGCTCTCCTCGAGACCTGCTGCACAATCATGGACCTCAAGGGAGTGGGTGTCAGCAAGGTCAGCCAGGTGTACGGCTACGTCGGCAAGGCGGCGGGCATCAGCCAGAACCACTACCCCGAACGTCTCGGCAAGCTCTACCTGATCAACGCTCCATGGGGTTTCAGCGGTGTTTTTGCCGCCATCAAGCGGTTCTTGGACCCGGTCACTGTCGCCAAGATCCACGTCCTGGGCTCCAACTACCACAAGGAATTGCTCGCGCAGGTACCGGCGGAGAATCTGCCTTCGGAATTTGGCGGTACCTGCCGCTGTCAGGGTGGATGTGCTTTGAGCGATGCTGGTCCATGTAAGTTGGCCGAGATGAACCATGCGTGCATGCCATCCTCGAGATTACATTATTTCCCTGCAGCTTGCTGACATACGTTCTTTCCACTTTACAGGGCAAGAGGAGCAATGGTTGACTCCCGCCGGCGGTGACGCCAAAAACAGCATCCCCGACACCGGAGCTCCTGCTGCTCCCGGTGCTGCTGCTCCAACTTCTGACCCTGCGACAGCGTCTGCAGAGAAGCCTCTCAGCGGTGCACCGGCACCTGCGTAGAGTATCGTCGAACGCGACCGAATTTATATGGCGCGGAATTTGCAAGGTACCAACGGATAATGTTTTTCTACATAATGCATTTGGAACGGCGCAAGCGGTGACGAGAGTGGACATGTGGTTCTCGCCCCTGGCGATGGACTGCCTAAGTAAGGAGAGCTGTGCCAGAAGAACACAATTGTTCGAGAAGTACATTTTACACACGTGATCAAGTCATTGTCCTTTTCTCGCCCTTGGTATGCGCGCACAACAGTAATCACTCGGAGGATCCCAGGACTACTTGAGATACGGGAGGCTCGAGACTTTTGGAGATACAGAAACATGAGCAGAAAGTTGTTCTAATTCTGCGTGTCCTACGAGAGAACCCGAATAGAGAAAATTGCAGCTTTTTTCTTGCGGATCAGTGTCATGTTTTGACGTCACTCTCACGACGCGACTCAGCTTCAATTTGACGTTCAAGAGACACACTACCTAGGTATACACTAAAATTTTGCAGTCAATTTTTTACAATCATAACACGCTGTAATCTTCGCGGAAGTACGATGCTGCTGTCCACCGGTCGAAGTCAAGAGGGTTTAGAGACTGCGCTGATGTCTCTTTCCCCAGATACATGATCAATTGGAAGGAGCTCACCTTGTCTGGCTTGGACCTGCGTTACATCGCGCCCTCGTTCCAGTCCCTCTTCCGACACTGCACCGAACGCATCTCTCGTCCAACTCGCAGGATCGCTCTCGCTCATCGGTGATAACCTTTGGAACGAAGGAAAGCGAGGCTTACAGATCATGTATCCACGACCATGGCACTCGCCCTGTTTTCTCGCTTCACCACGTCGTCCTCTGCCTTTTCTTCTCCTTGCTTGACGCGCGTTACGGTGATCCCTCATATTGTGTACTCTCAGTCAAACAGCTGACTCCCTCCCATCATTTGGATATCCCGCAACTCGAGCTCCAACGAGCCATCAAGCCATTCCGGGCGGCACAATGCCCTTCCCAGACACCGTCTCGAGCGTCAGTGGACGTAACAGCAGATCCAGCAACGTCTCCGCTATGACCGGCATCTCTCACACCAAGCCTGCAGGGGGAGGCACCGAGATTACGCTGAATCCCGGAGTACTGAGTATGCTCAAGACTTCGACGGACACAGGAGATATTGGAGCGTTGTCGTTCAACCATGCTCGCTTACCCGGCATGTCTCGCTCCAGCGCACCGCGCAAAGAGCACCCCACTCGAGGTTCGGGATCGGTACCACCTCACACGTCAGGCAGCTCGTCTGCTAAACATCGCCACGCTCCATCACAAGCATCTCGAGCGAGTTCCCGGTGGGAGACTACCTCGCACCATCGACGTGGCTCGCTGACCAGCATGCATAGCATGCCACCGTCCCTGCCTCTTAACCATCATGACAAGAATTCCGTCACTGCGTACCCACAAGCCAGTGAGAATGCCAGGGACAGTCGATCGTACTCGCTAACGTCAGCTCCTTCCTCGCAGCTCATGCCACGACATCTGTCAGGCGCGAGCTCCAAGAGTCGTGGGCATGGTTCAAACCGTCACCATCGTGTGCTTGCTGATCCAAGTCCACCGCTTCCAGATAGTCGCCAACAATTCGTCTATCCCACTCGTCTGAAGCGACCGGGCTTTCGTGCTGGTTCGCCAGCACTAAGTGATACTTACGTCCAGGGCCTATCATCACATGGCCAGACTCATGTTCCGCCTTTGAGACCACACGATCGTCGTCCTTCTCCAGACTTTCCTTCGCGAAATGGTACCTACAGGCCTGAGGGTGCTGTGGACTTTGCATACGATCCGCGCTATCTCAATGTGCGACCCTATCCGCACTCTCGTCATGCTCATACCCCACCAGGTATGTCTGAGTACGACATCGGACCCAGTCAACACAGGGTGCCTCATCCTCGTGGCGCTCGATTTGATGGCGGTGCTCCAGCTCGCTTCATGATGGATCCAGCACATCATCGTCCGGTCTATCCTGCGAACTACTCGGGAGGGCCTCCAAATGCTAGGTCGGGCTACCAACAATACTCACAGACTCCTTACGGTGGTTCTCGTGGCCCACCACCAGCGCAAGCAAATTACTCCCAGATGCCGCATATGATGTTTCACAATGCTGCTCGCATGGCACGTCAGGTCCCATCTCGTGCTGAGACCCCTATGACCAATCTTGGCCTCGACGGCTCGTCGCCTGCCTCTGATCCGCCGTCTACCCGATCGGCCGCGACTCCTTCCAGTCCTTCGACTCCTAGGGATTACAGTGCCACGCCCGTTGGTGTCGATCCAGCATTCATTGATCCAGCCTTGGCTGATCTACAAGATTCACCCAGCGAACCACTCCTGTCGGCAAAGTACTTCGAGTATGCTGATGGCCTCTACCGCAATCCCAGCGAAGCCGAACTAGAAGCAGTTCAGCCTGCTCTTCCTACCACTGGATTCGTGCAGCGCGTTCGGGCGATGCTGGAATCTAAAGCGACGGTTGACACGTCTCCTGTAGCTGCTGCAAAAAACGTTATTGCCCTGCCCAAGACAGCCCCTGAAGTGGTCTTGACCGAAGTACATGAGCTTGAAGCGGGCGAGATGCAACGCGAAATCTCTGCACAGAATCAAGAATTGTATGAGTTGGCTGCTAATGATGCACTCCAGTACATTCTTGAGGAGGAAGCACAAGATCCCGTGGAGTTACCAGCCTCCGGTCCCGAGATCCCACAAACGATCCCCGAGCTGGAAGTCATCGATGCAACAGAGCGGCCTTCGGATATCACTTCGCATCGCATCACGGTGGAGATGGTCAGGACTGGACTCGGTCCTGGAAGTGTTGCGAGTGATGAGACTGGCAACGTACACGAGGACGCCGCCGCTTCGTCGACAAACGGTGAACAAGACAAGCAAACGGATGATGATTCCGCGGATGAGCGTCCACCTCATCTGCTAGACTCTCGACCGGTGATGGCTCCTCCTGCAGAGCTATCGAACTCCCCTCCTTTGCCGAAACCTCGAGTGGTCTCTAATACGACAGTATCTGGCGATGCGACCTTGCCATCCGAGGCCAAGTATGCTATGCGTTTCACCTCGCCAGCAGACTCGAATGCTGATTCGGACGAAACGCAATCCGAAAACCCATTTGCTTTGGATGCTGATACCATGACTATTGAGCATCAAAATCAAGAAGCGGCCGCGACTGCCGCCTCGAAAAAGAGCCGGTTGTCGAATGACACGCACAAGTACGCTGTAGAAGTGACCGATAACGTCACGACAAACCTTCTCAAAGTCACCTTGGATCCTGTGAGTCCGCTCGGATCTGATGAGAATGTTCAAAGATTCTCCGCTGTCAGTCCACTGCCGAGTCCCCAAATCGCTGTTAATCAATGCGCTATCTCCGAGACCATTGCGGACATGCCGGGAGCATTCCCCGACGCTGAAGAAATCGCATCGACCCAAAATGAGCCTCAGACACCCAAAGCTCATGTCAAAGTTGCCTGGCAGCGCCCTGCTACAGACACTTCGGACTCGAATGTGGACAATCATATATCACTCCCAGGCAACACGAGTACATTCAGCGAAAGTACTGCCAACAATACATCGGACGTGGTGACTGATGTCGCTATTCGCTTCACTCTACCGTCAGACGCTACCGCAAACATCGCTAGACCTCATGTCGTCTCTGTATCCACTGGACCTACTCCAGAGGAAGGCAATGCGGATATACTCCCTTCCCTTCGAAGAGGTCAGATGACCAGGACCAGCCGCCGTACTTCAATCTCATTCGCGAATGAAGTCGCCCCTTTGAATATCAATAAACGTGTCGAACCACACCAGCGTGCGCAATCTGCTGGTGCAGGACCTCTGATCACTGGCCAGACCATTACACGAAAGCCATCTCCGCTGAACGATGCAGCAGAAACAAGTCGCGCACCCCTTGAGCAAACTACGGATGTACGACTCCCCGGCACTGCCAGAAATTTCAATCCTCCTTCGCACTCACGATTCGGTAGCACGCAACTTCCTGGTCTAAAGGAAGAGTCTGCAGAAGACATGAGTCATATCCATAAAGAAACCGACGAAGAAACTCCCCGCTTCCCTGTACCGAATCGTTTCGCTGCCATGCGAGCAATGCAGGAACGTCGTTTGGCAGAATCCGCGAAATCATCTGGCGATGGCCATACTAAGAAACCTCGCCGCGACACGGCACGTCTTTTCAATCGTCCCCTGGCCGACACGAAAGATCTGCCTTCGCTCAACTTCAGCCGCACCGATCTCATCGACAAGCTCAATGAAGCGCTCGAAGTCGTGCCACCTCCCCGCGATGCCAAGTCCATGGAAATCCTGCGTCCGGCGACCCAGCATCGTTTCTCGGGCATCTTCTGCCCCTCCCCACAGCGTCCGCAGAGCACAGAGCCTCTTCGCGAGAGATACACAAGCTTCTTCTGCAAACCGGAGGATTTCAGCTGCTTTGATGTGGTGGACTTTGAGGATGGCGAAGGTGATGCAGTTGCCAACGGAGAAGCGGATGAAGATCCGAACGGCAGTCAAGACGATGCGACTCCGAAGCCGAACGACATCGGTTCTCGTCCTGCTGCCCAAGCGGAACTGCTTGAATTTGCGTCGCAGATCAATCGACTTTCCATCCCGTCTGTCAATGGGCTCTCTGAGAGACTCTCTGGGCTTATCCCTGGTCTCAGGAATTTGCAGAATTTTCACTTTGAGGACATCCTCGGCAGCAGTACCGGACGTGAGTCCACTGGGATACTGTGGGATGGGGAAAATATAAGACCAGGCACGGTGTTGTCTACTCGGAGTTCAGGCTTTCGAGCTCTGGCGGAACGTGCGGAAGAGATTGTCAAGAACGGCACGCACGACTCTATTGTCCCCAAGTCGAACACGGCTCTGGACAAAGAATTGCCACCACTGCCGGGGACTATGTCTGCGGAGGACGACCTGGCGGCGAGTGTCGCGGGTTGGAAGAAGCAGCCTGGACTCACGACATCGGTATCAGCGCCTTCTGATCTCAATCAAGGCTCTCGCCCAGCTTCTGCACTTACGACCTTCAAGTCTCCGGCCACCGCTGAAGAAGTTCTAGATTTGCTGCCGACGGGAATGAATCCCATCGCAAGGAATGCGAAACGCTCCATGATCCTCTCGCAGCCGAGCAGTCGACCCTGGAACCTCGATGAGAATTATCCCTGGGCAGAGAGTAAGGTCGACATCGATTTGAGTAACCCATCGGAATCGCATGTTCGCGATATTTCTGGGGCAGAGAAAGGTCTAGGAAGAATTACAGGCCATTCTTTCGCCGCTGGAGATCTTTCTACTACCCATGAGACGGTCGATCTCACCACAGAACAGCAGGGAATTGATATTGGTTCCATCACTTCCGCGACACATCACAACAAGCACGATAATGCATCCATCACGACTGAGCAAGCCACAGGCGTCAGCACAACATCTCATCATCATCGCAAACATTCCAAGCGCTCAATCATCGGCTCCATCACGAAGCGGATTGTTGGCGGATTGAAAAGTCGCGCACCTACCGAAGACTCGGAGACTTTGAACAGTACATCCAAATCTCCCGTGCCACCATATGAACAGCATACTTCCATCGACGGCCTTCCGGCCCACCGTCCTGGGGACCGTTATCCAACCAGTGGACTTTCTCCTCCTTTGACGGGTCTCAATTTGAACCTCGACGAAGTCCGTTCCTTCTTCTCGGACAACAGCTCGGACAAAGAACACAACTCTTCATTCCGCAAACGTCTCACCAACTTGAAGAAAGTCGGCGGAGGAGGCAGCCATGGCAGTAAGAACAAAGGCCTCCGCCTCGATCGATCTTCTATTCGCCATCTTCACCTCCTTCATCACCATCATCGGAATGCCTCCAGCACTAACCCTCGTCACCACTTTCACCGCGGCCACCACTCCTTGGACGGCACCGGCCACACCACCGCAACCTCCACCTACGAAGTCGATCCCACCGCCACAACTACTAGCCTCCCAGGCACACCAACCACCCTGAACTACCACCAACATCTGGGCTCTGCTCACGCAATCCCGATATCGTCCTCCACTGCAGCCCTCGCCACAGCGGCCACAACAGCAACAGCGCCTTACCCGGCTTCCCTCGGCGGCACACACGGCGTCGTGGTCGGAATGGGCAAGACGGAATTCCACCTCAAGCGCTTCGGCGAGAAACTCCGCCATCTCCTCGCGCGCAGTGGGGATCTATTCCGTTCCTTCAGCGCTAGTGCGAAAGGTGGACGGTCGGGTGGTGATCGTGTCTTTGCCGCGAGGAAGGTTTTGGTCGGCGGGAGACGGGAGAGACGGGGAAGAGGAAGGGAAGAGGATGATGACGATGAGGATTGGTTGGCGGATTCGGTTTATTCGGGGCTTTGATTCGGGGTTGGGCCCGTTTCATGTGAGAAGGTGCTGGGTGATGGTGGTGGTGGAAGAGTATGGGTGGGCACGGGTATGGGTACGTACGCACAGGCGTGGTTGAGACGGTCCGCAGTATCTTATTCGACATTTATCTGAGAGGTCTAATTTGTATATCTACTCCTTGTTTATGCTTCGGGCTACAATTCAGCCATCCATCTCCCATCATTCTCGAATCGATCTCATCAGTTAAGAGCGCTGTACAGTACATTTAGAAAAATCCATTGTCAAACTGTCCAAGCATGTGAAAAGAGGGAGAGGCCACCCTTCTTCAGCCACAATGACGTCACGGGCTGCATTTATTGAAGTTCCCTCACACTTCTTTCGGAAAGTACAATCACCCTTTACCGCCTGACCTATCAGCTGGCCCGGTTCGCCCTCGGATCGGCCTGCCCCTCGCCTATTTCTCTGCAGTTCGGTCTGCGAAAAAAGGTACATGTGAAACATTTCTATCTGTGTGTACCGGCCGGATAGCTTGCGGTGGTGGTGGTGGTGATGGTGGAATAGTGGTGAGACAGGGATGTGGCTGTGTGCCGTCGTGTCTTATCTCTTCCCTCCTTTCCTCCTCATCACAGTGCGGGCTGTCAAGGGATCAAGTGTAACGACGGGAGTGTGTTGGTGGGGAGGTGTGCCGCGTTTTCTCGTTCTGCTGGACTCGCGCGTTTGCTTTTGACATGGTGTCTTCGTGGCAGAAGTAGTGCGATGTGTTTGCTAGGTATGGCGATCACCTTGTCATCGCCCCTGCATCGATGTGATTCGTGGCAGAATCGTGATCTGATTATCTTTTCTGGGTAAAGAGTGGACTGTGGAGGAAGCGAGCGGAGAGAATGAGATAGACAGAGACAGAGGGCGCTCTCCGTACAGAAAAGAAGTCAATGATATCTCGGAGACGCAGTACGATCGAGGTTTGACATCACTTAGCTCTCTGGGGATTTTCCATACATTAGTTTAAATCCTTTCACACGGGATTTCGTAGCGAAGTCGTTCTCTCTCCATGCCCGTCCGCTCTCCACAAGCGTGGGTCGGAAGATATACTGGGCAACAAACCAAGAATATGTATCTTTACAGGGCAGAATCGTCAGCATCCCAGACTGATCACTCGCGCCTCGTTCACCAGGCCCCTCACTCGCTCCCGCAAGGCACAATTTAACTCGTAACATCCCTTGCCACCACCATCAATGCTATTCCCATTTCCGCTGCCTCCTGCGACCACAGTGGCAGCAGCGCCATCGACAATCGTAGTTTCATTGCCGACTGCACCGATGACATTCGGAATGCCCGGCAACCGCTCTACGAGTCGCGTCAATAGCGGCTGCATGTGCTCGGCGAGCTCGGCGAGGATCAAACCGGCGCGGACGGAGCGTGAGGTTGCGGAATCGAGGAGGTAGTCGCCGAGGAAGATGGACGTTGGGAGAGTCGTATCGCTTGGGCGTATGCCGTTGCTGGTCGTCGTGAGATCGTCGGCTGGTGCTGTGGTGGCGGCGCCAATGGTCAGGGCCGTGGCGTACCAGGTGACGATTTTGCCTGCGATGAGAAAGCAGGCGAGGGTCACGCCGCGATCTTCTTGAGCGAGACAGGTCACACAGTTGAGTATGCGTAGAAGAGATGCGATGGCGGCACGGTTGGTAATGAGAATCTGGTCGATGGTGGGCTCGGTATTGCTTTCACTATTTGAGGTGTTGGATACAATGCTTGTAAAAATGTTGCCGTTGATGCAAGGGTTTTTTGCGGGCCTGTGGAGGCTAGCGATCAGTTCGAGAGCTCGGCTCATGCAATTGTCGCCTTCGCCTTGGTGATCTTCGGTAGTATTTGAGGTTGTATCGGGTAGTGATGTCTGTGTTGGTGATGCCAGCGATGTCTGCGCAAGAGAAAGAGCAAGAGAGTTTCGAGATTGCTTTGGCAAAGCGCCAGTATTTGAAGTAGCGAAAGCGAGGTCTGCCGGTGAAATTTGCGCAGTGCTAATGACGTTGTTCATCGCGGGTTGCATCTCTTGCCATTGATCTGGCCAGTAGCCAGGGATCATGCCGATTTCGTGATCGTTCGTCAGATTGTCATTTATATTGAGGAGGTGGATATTGGGTTGAACATGATATGGAACGCTTCCTGAAGCGCCGACTGAGCTGACTGTCGGAGAAAGGCTGTTGCTGCTGCTCACACTATCACTGTTTCTGCTGCCGTTACTCATTGTCAAGGGCGGCGGAGGTGTCCAGGAAAATTCGAAAGGGATCATAGTAGGAGCGATAGGATAGTCTAAGTCATCAAGGGATCCTGGAGCAAAATTGCAATCGCTGAAGAGTGTGCTCGAGTCTTCAAGCATGCCAGTCGAAGAGACGGAAGCAACATCTAGGAGCGGTTGTGGGACACCAGCGATGGGACCAGAAATTGAGCTCCTTGCAGATAGTGAAGCTGCGGATCGCCTTCCAGTTCTTCTGCTATAGGCATATTCGCATTCAAGGCCTTTGTTCTTGCAACGGGTACAGCTCGGTCGTTCTTTTGAGCAGCGAACCTTTTGTTGAGCACCTGAAGATACCAGTCAGCGGTGCTGCAGGTCGATTTCCTACACGGACAACGTACAACTATTGCAGGACCTACATTTCTGTCAGCCATCGACGTGTCTGGAACGCTACATAGCATTGGTACTCACTGTCTAATTGTCTGCTGATGTTGATTCCGTGGGGACGTCATGGCTGCAACAACACCAATTAGAGAAAATCTTGAAGGAGCAAATCTGTTGCTCGAGGATTGCGTCAAATAATAGAAAACCCGATGCGATCAAATTGATCGACGGTTAACTGAAGGTAATCAAGGTCACCGGTGATCAGCTTTCTGTGTATGGGTGCAGATAAGCAAAACCGGGCGTGACTTTGGATTCGGTTGATGGTTCCGAGAGGGAATGCAGAATGGATATACATAGATATTTCGCCAACCATAAGGATAACTCCTGCGGTCAGGCCGTCCAAGCCTATGACGGCATGGGCACATGCTCACACCCATGCCACTACATGCCAATGCACACTGTACACGACGAGACATGCGGTGCGTCGTTCCAGTGTCGACACGCTTCAACACGTGTGACCGGTGCCTACCGCAATCCAGTCCACCTCGCTCCGACATGAGACGAGCGCAAAGGGTTCGACACCATGATGAGTCTTGACCGCGGCGGCAGTAGTCCTGCAGATCGTGCACCCTCGCGGATTTTGAGAGCTCGTCGATCAATGGTCAGGGAGCTTCACAAGGCGTGCGTTATAGGGTCCGCGCAAGCATGCCTGCAACGGTGGGGATATGTTGAGAAATCTCGCTTGTCTTCTGGCGCCGTTGCAGGCTCGGCATTGCGTTCAAGGATAGCAAAAGATGGTCTATCTCAGGCTCCACGCTTGAGTGCGAAGCCCATGATTGGCTACGAGTTGTGGTGGGAGGCTGATCATGGCGAGCAGTCTCTCGCCCGGGTCCATTTGGAGCCTTCGACCTGGTGGCTGAAGTCCCGTCTCGGCAATGAGGTGCAGCCTTCAGGACGAGCGCCTTGCTTGCTATCGGACCTGGATTATACTTTGCCTAGGCGAGATTTCAAGCTCGCAGCCATTCACGTTGGTTCGCTGCAGCCGCTTCCGTCAGCTGCGCGAAATGTGGCTTTGCTGTGCCCCAGGGTTTTGTCCGCCCTTTGAGTAGGGCTTGGTGTGAGAGGGGAAAACGTGGTGATATAGGTTGGCCCGAAAACTATGCCTTTCAGCACGAGTTCTATACCTCTTGAGACGAGTCCGCGCTGGTGTGTTCGGTACATCGCCTGCGCAATAACGCACAAAGCAAATCGTAGTCTAGGTATTGCTAGACCGAACTGGGAGCGAGGCCAACACGTGCGGCGAGGAATTCGAATTGTCCCACACAGTACATTCTCGGCTACGTCGCGAGATTGGTCTAAAACGCACCGGGCAATATTCCTTCATTCATGATTCGCAGGGATTCGCAACGCTGCCCCGTAGCACATCAACAAGCCATGGATGAGAGAAATCCACGATCGTCGCCCGATCCTTCGATCCGGAGCGTCAACACCGCCACGGACGTCACAATCGCGACATGATCAGTCAGCGTGGTTGCGCACGTTTCAGTGAGCAGTTGCATTTATGTCTCGAAGAAATGTTGAGAGTGCAGCGACAGCAAGAAGTACAGTAGCTTATTGGAAGGATTCTTGATTTTGCGAGAGTACCGCGGTGTTACCTCTTTCTTAGTGGCTGGGCCTGACCGATTGGCGTTCATCCAACAACAGAGTGTGAACGGGCCAGAGCCGCCCGAAGAAAGGCAAAACGGCACAATCCTTCCCCCAACAAGCGTCGAAATGAAACAAAACCGCACGACATATTGCATACGATCGCAAGTCAAAGCGTCTGCGCGATAGATGGAGGTTGTTGGGTCGAAAAGAACCCTCCGAGCGGAAGGACTGACCATTAGGGCGGCTTCAATATTTCTTGGCCGATGCTTGTTCTTCTCACGGTCTGTCTCGCAAAGGTGTGCACAATGGCAAGACTTTATCGGCCCGAGCTGGAGTTCCCGGATGACTGCATACAATCTGAGCGAGATCTGACACATTGGAGGTCTAAACCATCCCTGAATGGCCCGAACCTTTCAATATCCTTCGTCATCGGGCATTGGCATCCGGGCAGAGCCACGTGTCGCGAGATGGAGGCTGGTTGTTAGGAGTACATGCACACGGCTTGCGATAAGGACCAGAATATCATAAGGTTCGTACATGGGAGGGATGCGTTTTGGACTAATATTGCTCCTATCACGCCATCACATTGTGGCTGTAAGTTCGCAGGGTGGGCGTTCTGTATATGGCTCTTCACGTCTTGGCTCTTCAGATGATGCAACCGCACTGTGAGAGATCACCGATCGCATCGTGCTGTTGTCTTCTTCTGGCGACAGGCGATGGAGAGCTTGTCAGGTGTCCGTCTTCTTGGCGATGCATGTTCGCTTGTTTCTACCCAAAGAAATCGCGCAGTGCGTGCCCTTCACCAGAATCGACATGTGCTATGAAGCTGAGGCTGCATGCGGTAAAATTTCATTTCGGATGCATCATTGCTTTTTGGACCGGTCAAAAGTCTATCTTGCTTACCTTGTGGTCCCTACATTAGGCTCGGCTGTTTCCTGAGCACATCGGATAGAACAGCGCGCATAAGATCAGGCAGGCGCTTTGAGTCATAAATGCCATTCTAGAGTTCCGAACTTTTGTAAAGATCGCAGCTCTCCACGTGGACGAAGAGGTATAAGTGTCTTGAGTCACTTCCAGTGAGATACTCTGACATCTTAATTGGCGAAACAACCGGGTCATACCATGGATCCAGCTCGTCAATTTCCGGACAAGATCTTCTGTCTGATGTAGACTAGATAAGGCCGCTTTGTGAAATGCGTGATCGAGCGGGGCCATCGATCGCCACCGTCTTGGAGAGTCAATTGCATGAAACCACATTGTCATGTCCGGCTTCGATTGTACAGATTCTTGCAGGCCGATGCAGAAAGCACGGCGCATTCTCAACGGAGATATCGTGAGTCTGCGATGCAAGTCAGCTTCACATGCCAATCTTACAAACCTCCTGCCGGACATGCACCAACAAATAAGCTCTGTTCCCGATAAAAAGCAAAAGATGCCCGGGCTTGACCGATAAAAGCTTATATTTAAACACACAAGATAGTTCATATATGTAGGTGATCCTTCACAACAACTCTCACGGGGTAGGTGATCCTTCACGACAAATCTCACGATGTGCATGATCCTTCACGATGACTCTCACGAGACTGCATCAGCAACAAATACCTGATGACTGCTTTATCTTTACAAATACGTCCTGTACCTTGATAAAGCTTCCGGACAAACGCCACAATCCCATACGTTTTACATGTCGGTCCACATGTCAGCATGTACAGTCCGGCGGCCGGGAGCTGACTGAACTTGCCTGGACAATATTCCCTCTCTCCTTCGAGGCGCACTGGACGCTGGAATAGGTCGATCCATTTTGAGGTAGCGAAGGATTCCAATCGGTCGATCGTTGGATTGCGTGTTGAGTCATGCAGAAGCCGCGACAGCTGTCCGTCGAATGCTTAGATCGAAATCCTGAGGTGGGTAATATCGTGAATGTGAGCTCAGAGATGCCGCGACTCGACCTCGGCGTAGACTCCAGGTTGAGACAGCCATGGTTGCTATCTAGTACGTACCTGTGTGCCGAAGGATGAACGTTCTTGCGTCGGTCACATACCCTTCGAACAATATCCAGTCGCTTGGCCGGCCCGTATCTCCTTGTCTTTGCCTTGTGCATTCAGGGACTACTATCAAGTCATTGTTGCAGAATACATTATGTCAACCATGTATCTATCAGTGTCGCTCCCTGACAATACACCATACTGCTGCAGACTGCACTTGCATAAGATCACCGAGTCTCTCTATCAAGGTCATCGGTATGAAAATCGTCGTTCTTATGTCTCTGGTAGGTTCGATGTAGAATGTGCTAGTCTGCAGCAATGGAGTAATGTTGATTCCAATAACGTGCAAAGCCTCCGGTCACATAGCTCGGAGGGTTTCGCTGCATTAATCAGTTCGGACCCATACGCAAGCGCCATGTCGGTCCGCGCGCCATTTCTCGAGCTACAGGACAGCTTGTTGGGCGGCAGGTGTAGTGATGGGACTTTTCCAAGGTTGCATTAGATCTTAGATTTGTCGTAAACTCCGAATAGGCATTTTTCTCCGACTCCCACGTGCACCCAAATAGACCTCAACGGGCATGTCGTCATGGTGGGCGGACGGCTCGGCAGAGCCCGCGTCGACGACTCTAGGCTTAGGGTTTGGTCTTAGGGTATTTGCATTCACGAATACTGTTTTCGAGCCTCGTAGCTCGAAGGTGGAGCACACTAAACGAGCATTCCCGACATCTCCAATCAATTCCAGGGCGCATCGCCAACCGATTGATATCCTTGCCGGATAGTCAGCTCTCATTTGGCCGGCCATGGAGGCCGCATCCGCGCGACAGGCGACTCGCGACCGCTTCGCTTACCCCACCGAACCTGCAGCGACACCCCTCCAGCGGTATATCCAGAATGCTTGTTCACCAGAGAACTTCGAGCCCAATCTCGCCTTATCCTTGGAGATTACCGACCTGATCAATGCCAAGCAGGGTGCTGCACCTCGTGAGGCGGCGGTGGCCATTGTGCAATATGTCAACCACCGCAATCCCAATGTCAGTCTGTTGGCCTTGAGCTTATTGGACATTTGCGTCAAGAACTGCGGATACCCTTTCCACCTTCAGATTTCGACCAAGGAGTTTCTGAATGAGTTGGTCCGCCGCTTTCCGGAGCGGCCGCCGATTCGGACTACCCGTGTGCAGAATCGCATTCTGGAGCTCGTGGAGGAATGGCGCAGGACGATATGTGAGACGAGCAAATACAAGGAAGACCTTGGCTTCATCCGGGATATGCACCGGTTGCTGCATTACAAGGGATATACGTTCCCTAAGGTCAAGCGAGAGGACGCGGCGGTGCTCAACCCGAGTGACAACTTGCGCAGTGCTGAAGAGATGGAGGCGGAGGAGCGCGCTGCACAGAGCGCCAAGCTTCAGGAGTTGATCCGGCGAGGGACACCCCATGACCTTCAGGAGGCCAATAGGTTGATGAAAATCATGGCCGGATATGATACACGTCACAAGACCGATTACCGTGCGAAAGCGGCTGAGGAGGTCGCCGGAATCCAGCAAAAGGCCAAATTGCTCGAGGAAATGTTGCAGGATCACCGGGAAGGACAGGAGATGCAATCAGGTGATGTGTACGAAGAGCTCGCCAACGCTCTTGCAAGCGCACATCCAAAGATTCAAAAGATGTGCGAGGAGGAGAGCGACGACCACGAGGCCGTTGCAAAGCTCTTCGAGATCAATGACAGTATTCACCGCACAATAGAGCGATACAAGTTAATGAAGAAGGGTGATGTAGCTGGAGCAAACGCTATTCCAAAGGGCACTCTGGGCGTAAGCGGCGCAGGCGTGAAGAAAGGCCCACATAATGAGTTGTCATTAATTGACTTTGGTGGTGCGGAAGAAGCAGCGCCAGCGTCAGCCGAGTCATCTGCTCCGAAAGCCAAAGGCAATGCTCTCGAAGATGATCTTCTAGGCTTGAACATGGGCGATGGGAACTATGGCCAAGGCGGAGGCATCTCACTTGGGACCAACGACATTATGGCGCAATTCTCTCAGCAATCATCAAAACCGCAAGTGGCACCGAACTCGATATTTGCTTCGTCCAGCGCGGGTAAATCCGTGGTGTCAAGTCCTGCGCCATACCAACCACCGCAACAGCAACAGCAGCCTCAGCAGCCTCCACAGAAGAAAGCGGATCCCTTTGCGTCTATCACATCGCCTTCTCGCAATGCCAGTCCCTTCCAATATACCTCCGCGACAAAACCTCCCCCAGCTCCCGCATCATCCAGCAATGGCAATGGCATCGACCTCCTCGGCCTTGGTGGCAGCAGCGCAACGCCTGCTGCGGCACCATCATCGAGCAGCACCGTCCTCGACAACGATGAGTGGCAATTCTCATCATCACTCCCACCAGATCAACCGGCCGAGATTCTCGTGACCAACAACGGCGAGATCCGCGTCAACTTCACAGTCCGACGATCCAGCGAGACCGAGCTCCTCATCAGCAGCCGCATCTCCAACCTCACATCCCAACCCATCCGCGATCTGACCTTCCAATTGGCCGTCACAAAGGTACACTGATCCTCCATCCACCAAAGTTCTTCTCTCATCCCGTCACACTCTCTCAAGTATTCCCTTCCCACTAACAGCATATTGATCTTACAGGCCTACACCCTCCACCTCGACCCGCAATCCTCCCGCGCCCTAGCTCCCAACCAAAAAGACGGCATCACGCAAGTCGTCAGATTACAAGGCTGTGCGCGCGGCGCAGGCACAACGGTCAAGATGCGCTGGCGCGCCAGCATGACCCTGGGCGCGACCAACGCGCACAAGGAGGCCATGGGAAGTATCGAGGGATTAGGCATTCCATGATCACATCTCTCTTTTGCTGAATGGCAGAGGCGGAGATGCGGGAATGAAGTTTAGATATCTCGCCGAGAGGCGAATGGCCCAAAATGGAGGAAGTGAAATGGAAATACTAGAGCCTCTTTTCCCGCGTTATGTTTCACCGGATCTCTCATGATTTGGTTGACTGTCTCTCGTATTCGTTACTGCGCATTAGCTGCGAAGTCAAGCTTCATAAATCTGACCCTGTTGAGAGTGACGAACTCGCTGGTGCATGGCTCCCATTTCCTATGAGCTGAGGGGAATATGTCGACCATCATTTTCACAGAGTCACGCGGTAAAGCGATTGATCACGATAATTTTTGGATTGGAGCAACTCCAACTTTTTTCTTTTTTTGCCCTGCGGCTTCCAAGGCGCCACTTTTACAAACGAACGAAGCAGTCTCGGCCCAATCCCTCCATCCGACCAAACTCGATTGACCTCAACCAAAAATGAGTGAAACCCCCAACTGTGAGCCATCCCTCATCAAGCGGATCTTACTTTTCTTCAGGCCCAGCAAGTGCACTTTGCAGAACTTTTCCCTCCGGTACCAAAGCAGATCTGGAATCGTCTCCCTCCGCCGATCGCACCTCCACACAGATCCTCCACCTCAAACGTAGTCACAGCCGCGCACTTGGATGCTTCGCTGCCCTTCTCTGCTCAAATGAACCACATCGACGTCCTGATTTCGCCCTGGTTCGGCATATCCATACACTTTGAGAAGTCCCCTGGCGCCGGCGTCGAGTCGCTCGAAGGCTTCTCGTTTCCGCTGGAGCTGTCATTCCACTTCAGATCGTGACATGTTCCGCGGAGAGACGCGATGTGAGCGTAGTAGATGGCCGGGAACATCGAAACCGGTGTGGTGGCCCGCGCATATTGGTAGCCATGTTCGTAAATCATGGTTTGTATCTCCTCATTGCTAAGTTCAGGCTCGTTCAGTAGGACGTGGTAGTGCATAGGGCGAGCGGTGCCCTTGAGGGCGACATGACCACAAAGGTAGAAGTCGTTCTCGAAAGGATGAGTAACTCCAGTTTCGACCAAGGTTCCTGGTAGCGGATTGCCATTGCGATCGCCACGCTCTGGGAAGAATCGCACATGATGGCGCTTCGAGCCAACAACGACTAGGAATTTGCATGCGCCGGCGTCCTTGCCACCGAAGGTCTTGAAAAGAGCCTTAAGATCACTGACTTCTTGTTCAAGGACCTGTGAATATTGTCCTTCGGAAACGCCGTCGCGGAAGTAGTAGACACGAGATGGAATCTTGCCGTTGTTCACATTCTTCATCCACTGTTGAGCCAATTGGCCGAAGTCCTTTTGTATGGTCTCCGTCAAAATCATCTCTGTACGGTAGCCATTCGTCTGGACTGTTGCAGCGAAGCGAGTTGCCAGTTTGTCGAGTGACATCGTCATGGCCGCCATTGACAAGTTTTGCGTACCGGGCGCAGCATGTGAGACATCTGCTCCAATGATCATAGGAGGACCTGCCGTGAACAAGCCAGTAGGACCTGATGATTTCTGTCCGGTCGCTCGAGATGTGCTGCCGCCAAGCTTGCAATTGAACTTCATGCAGACGTTAGACATGTACTGGCCCTGGCACTTTTGAACATGCGCAAATTGCATGCACTGCGAAACAACGCCATATCGGCATTCTGCAGAGCGCTTGATGCGATTGTATACGGTAGAGTTCTTGTCCGGGAGGATGAACACGAGGATTTGTGGACGCATGTTTGACTGCTGACCTGCACGGTTCCACGTTTCTGTTACCCAGGATCCGGCGTCTTCGCCTTCGCCGCCGATAAGAATTGGGGTCTTGTTTTCGACTCGGCCGCCATGACTCTGGTATGTCTGGATGAATGCCTTCATGAAGTTTTCTATGACCGAACGATCAGGCTTTCCGCCCCGACGACCAGAGACGACGCAGACACCCCAGGACTTCAATGGAACCGGATTAGGCGTGAGGAACTTTTTGCCCTTTAAGTCCCATCGACCAGAAGTGCCAGGCTTAGCTTCACCCGTGCCATACTTGACGGTCGGAGCAGGCAGAAGACGACCGTCAACAACTGTCTTGCGGGTGTCAATTTGCAGGCCGTGTTGCTTAAGGTAAGGATCGTTGTTCCAGTTCAACATCTTCAAGCCATGCTCGATCGCCTGCCAGCGCTGCGGTGGCGGCTCGACGGCAAAGCGGATCATGTTCGACGTTTGTCGCTCGTCCAACTTGAAGTTGTAACGAGAGTTTTCCTCAATGTAGAGAAGCTCCATTGGGAAGAGCGTGTTTTGGCCACGAGTGGCCTTGACAAGAGGCAGGTCAAACTTCAGGTAGACGTTGTACTTCTTCGCGTAGTATTCGTAGATCGAGATGGTTTTTCCATCTGCGCCTTCGAATTTCCGCTCCTTTGCACTCTGGAACACGAAACGATCAACGACAATAGGAATGGGCTCACCATCGCGATGCTTAGCGACAACGTGGAGTTTTCGCAACTTCTTGAGGAAGATTTCACCTTGCCGTGGGTTTTGACGGAGTTTATTCTGAAGATCGCCGGGATCACGAGCACCGCAAATGGTCACGGCAGTGTCCAATAAACGGCCCTGTGTCCAGAAGGTACCGTTCGCAACGTCCAGTATGACTGAGAGGCGTGCAAGCTTTGGTCCCGCGTGAACGATACGCATCGTCTGATACACACCCTTGAAGGCTTCGATGCCGCCGCCCAGATCGAAACGTCGCTCGCCGTGCTGGAAGAAGTTTCTCTTGATTGCTGTGTATTGACTTGATGGCCACTCGCGAAGCAGGTGATCCAAGAAGTTGATAGCCATAAGGATATCCTTGTCAAAGCTGACACCGTTCCGAAGGTATGCGTCTAGCTTGTCGAAAGCGATTGTCGCTGTTAGACGAACAACCACCCGATGTTCGTTACTCTTGCCCGAACGCGTTTCACGGCCTTGCTCCTTATCCATATCAACGAGCATACGAACCTCACGGTCGACCCTGGTTTGTGACCAAGCAAGGTTGACGCCATCGAAGATGAAAGCAGCGCCGAGCTTCTTGCTGATCACTCCCCAGACCTTTTTGATAAGACCGCGCTTCTCCGTGCCGCTGCCAATCATCACGTCGTACTGATATACCGGCTTGAGCTTAATTCCAGCCACATTGAAGGTGTTCAGTCCGACTTTGATGGCCTGACCAGCAGCCGATGGCTTAGCTGGGCGAGCGGGCAGGACGTTCGGTACTTCCATGTTTCGGAAGGCGTACCATCCAGCAGATGGTAGATCCACGTTCTTGGCCATGGCCACTGGAACCAATTGCTGTGTCGTTGGACGGCGTGGTTGTGATCCATGCTGGGATCCGGCATCGGAGCCACGATGAGAACGAGCAGGAGAACCCATCTGCTCCTGACCCGAACTGCGTCTCAGACTGCGCGTGGGGGTCGTGGGCTCACGCTCAGAAGACTGCCGTCCGCGAGAGGTCGACATCTTGGAAGCCGTGTAGTTGATATTGTTGGTAGTTCAAGCGTTGTGGTATCTCTCAAATAAGTGTCAGCATCAATATTTGTGACTGTGTGATGTTTGTGACTCGTCACTCACGATATTGAACACCTTGACAACAAACTCGGAGCTCTAGGGTAGTCGTCAGGTCGAAAAAAACGCCTTGTGAATTGTTCGCTTGTTTGGGTTACTTTTGTAGAAAAAGTTGTTGAAGTGACGACTTGAGTAAGTCCTGCCTGTTGTAATCGAAGGCAGTGCAAGTTATGCAGAAGGTCAGCGGATTGCGCCGCCAGAGATGGTGGGAAATGGTTGTGTCGGAAGAATGGAAGTGAGAAATTAGAGGTGCTTGTTTGAGGGCGTGGGTGGGTGAATGGTTGAGCAAAGAGAGAGGCGGCTGAGTGTTGTCGGTGGTGGTGGTGGTGAGAGGGAAGAAAAGTGTTGAGTGGCTGGCATTGAGTGTTCTTTTAAGGAAACTGCCATCACATGTCAACATTGTAACCATGGTGCTGGATGCCTGTTCAGTGACGTACCTGGTTGTCAAGTGAGCGCGAAACAGGCAAGAGCGCACTTCCTTTCACTGACACATGCACTATCTGGTAGGTGAGGTGAGTTCTGGAGAAGATCACGAGCTGATAGTTGAGTGCAGGGTCGACATGAAGATTTTTTGCATGCTGCAAGTGAATACGTGACTTTCTGAGGACCATTGCGTGTGATACGTGAAGCCCGTGACACTTCCAAGGTTCCAAGGTTGTTTAGTAGTATCGGTGACCTGCAATTCAGCACAAGTCAAGTCGTCGAGTAGATGCAAACCCAATGAGATTGATCGTGTCCCATGACATTTATTACCAGGTTGAAAACGGTCAAGCATGCGTGAACAGGCATTGAAGAGACTGGTGCCACATATTCATCTCCGTGTCAGATGCGATCTAAGGCGGAGTAACAACAAATCGAGGGTCGTCGTCCTTGCGCAGGACAGCCTAATGCTATTATCAAGCCAAACACCAACCGACGTCGTCAAGATCGCACGCCACCATCAGTCGATTTGCGCATCCCACAATTTGCGATATCTCCGTTGTACACCACTATGAGCTACTTGTCAACACCTTCGTCCGAACTCTCGCAGTGTTGACGAAGCGTGGTCATCCGCGACTTTGATTCTTGAATGGAAGAAATCGAAACTGCCGACAATCTCACTTCCATGATTCATTGAACGTCTAGCAGGTCAAGCTGCAACACAAGATGTTCAAGGCCTTACACGAATATAGCCAGTGCAGCTGTCAAGCGCGTGACTTGGAGGATAATCTTCAAAGACCTCGCCAATTTAGTGCAATCAACGAGAGATTCTCAGGCTTTGCTGACAAGGTCCCAATTGCGTGAGCCTAAGCAGGTTCAAGCTGTTTGCGTTATGAGTAGTAGTATCCAAACATCGCGTTGAGTCTGACGCGCAAGGGGGTTCGCGAAGGTTTGTCGCGCAGCGCCATGAACGCTGATCTTTGGAGACATGATTCCTACCTAGGTAATTTTCCAGCAAATATGCATTTTCAGGTGAGAGCACTGCTTCCAGACTCGTCGGGCTCAACGATAAAGATGGTAAAACTCTGCAATGAATCGCACACGTCAGGGTCGCCTTGTTAATGCTGAACGATGGGTCCCTGTATCTTTCGACGGCGTTATGAAAAACAAGTCCAGTATGTTCGAGGCTGCTGGCACGAGCAGCTGTTCTTCACAACTCAACGTCTGTATAGGGTTTTTTGAGGTGGAAAGGTCAGAACTTGGCACAACGCTTGCTTCATCCTCAACGCGATAAGCGATGGGCTCTTTTCTGTTCGGAGCATTCTGGGAAGATGCGGGCGCATCAATTCACGATGACATACTTGAACGAAGCAAACGCCAGCCGCCGGAAGATCACCAAGCTGAATAGGCGTTTTGATGATGCAAACCTTGGAATATTGGAAGTTGGACGTCAAAGGACTGTGGCCCATTGTTTGTGCCTCAGGCACCTCACATGTAACCTTGTCGCCCGGTCATTTGGCAGTCGCCTCGCATCCAGACCTTTCGTACTGCACAATTTCGGCCATCTGCTTATCTTACACGCAAATTGGTGTTTGCGTAATTTTATGAGCCCATCGATGTGCTTAGCCTAGGACGTTCTGCGCCTGCGATGCTCGGGAATTCCCTACATAAGCAATTTTCGTAAGAACGTCGTTGTCGTACTCTGACCTGTCACTTGCCCCTGAGAATTCAGGAGAACGGATCCCTAGATCAAAAATATGGAAATTTTCTGAAAGAAGCTCAATTCGTCCTCAGACCCCGATGAGTGAATGATGCACACTAAACGATACTTCCTCGCTAATGGAATCTGGGACTACGCCGACCCTTCGATCGACGAAAAGGCACATCCCTCGCCTACCAGGTCAACTCGCCTTGTTCACGAAGAGCCTCAGACCCCCGATGTAGACAAATATCGTGCACTAGAAAAGCTAATGTGCAAGGAACTAGAAGTCAGAAGTAGAGCAGAGGTGGAATTCCTGTTTTCAGAGCGACGTGATCGTATAGCTACTCGCTTTCATGAAATTAAAACAAAGGCGCATATCTGCCGCTGGACTACGGTCTGTGAAGCGATCCTACGCTGAACAGATAGAGAAGAGACAATTGATGGCAAGATGTGTGCAGCCCAAGCTGTTTTCCGCCCATTGACGAGACCACGGTGAGTTGGTAAGTTCTCCAAAGAGCAGAGCCCACCTGGGCACGGTCAATATGCGATGATGCTTTCATACATCAATTTACCGTCCGCTGGACACGTTCCTATGTGGAGCACAGAAATATTGAACCTTACAATCAGAATTGTGCTTAACCTGTCTTTGCACCTTTGGTCTTTGCGAAGTCCAAGCGCCAGCTTGTATCAAGACCTCGCTCGTCTCACTACAGTACTGGCAGTACAGATCTCGGAAGCAAACAAGAGCTGGGAAATGCGCGGCTGACTCTGACTGGAGATCTATCCAAGTGCTTGCGATAGTTGAAATTGCGCCATCAATCCGAACGTCACTGACAACATCTTACGCAACGTCCCGCATGACCTGCAGCTTGTCAAGGCCACTGCTGCTCCCTTTGGCATATCCGCTGCGAGCTCGCCATGTTTGTCCCGTAGACGCCCACGAATATCAAAGATACCTCTAACGGCGTAGCACATGTTGTCGAAGCCGGCCTGACTACGAACAGTGTGGTGAATGTCGTCGACATCCTGGGTAGATTTCTGACCGGCGAGAACAGCTTCAACAAGTTCATTACTAGAAATCTGAAGAATGCGATATATCCTCAAGCCGGGTCAAAGGGTGGCCAGTTCAGTCTGGCAGAAGGTCCACTGCGAGAGCCGTCATGCATATACCACTTACAGGAGTTTCAGGGATGGAGCAGCTGCAATGCCGATCATCCTCGTGCCAGGCACCAGATCATCCGGATATCTGACATTCGCGGGCAACTACATGCCAACCTTACAAAACTCGCACATTGCAGACCCGGGTTGATTGAACATTCCCTTCTTCATGCTTGACAATGCTCAAACCAACGCCGAAGATACAACTTACGCGACGAATCACACCGGACGTCAGATCAACGCCTCCGCGTTTCTCATCGACAAGCGACACTTTGGCGTCAGCAACAACGGAGTTCAAGCCGTCCGCCGTAAATCGCTGATGTTGCACCATATTGAATCTAGCATTGGCTCGGATGTAAAGTTATAGTCAAACACATTCCTTTTCTGGAGCAGGATCATGGTTTCAAAAGTGTGTGTTTAATTTTCCCAAGCGGATATCTGAATATTTCACGCTATGTGTGGCTTGTCTGTCGTTTTTGGTGGAAGAGGTCTTGCCAAAAAAAACGTGTGTGATGATACACATACACGGTGGTAATTCTTCAGGTGGGCAGGCTTCGGGCGCATTGCCGGCGCATGGGTCGTGGGTTCGTCGGCGGATTCGTGCGCGTGCGTCCGCTCCAGTCGGGGGCCACCAGCGATTCGTGTGTCCCCACTCTCTCTTTCGTCACCAGCCCGCCCATCCGCCGGCTTAGCTCTCTCCAGCTCTCTGCGCATCCGTCTTTACTAGAGCTTTATTGCATATTATTGAATACCGTGACATCGTCAATGCTAGTAGAAGCGCGAGTAGGATCATGTTCTCCCAAGCTCCACGCGCCTGCCAACATGGCGGCCGACAATGGCTGAAGCAGCAGTTCACCGCCTACCACCAGAACCGCATCAACAACATCCTCACGACCACCACCGCCGCCCGCCGACGCACCTATGCAACCTCGCTCTCCTCCTCCATCCGAATCAGCAACGTACCTGCCCCCCACGCCGGCGAGATCACCATCTTATCGTTGAACCGACCCAAGGCGCGCAATGCTATTTCTCAGCAATTGCTCGGCGAGCTGCGCGAGGTCGTCGAACGGTTACATGCGGATGGCGTGAAGAGTGGAATTCGCGCCATTGTGCTGGCGAGTGAAAGCGACGATGCGTTCTGCGCGGGAGCCGATCTGAAGGAGAGACTCACATTCACGGAGGAGGAGTAGGTCTTTCGTTTTCTTTATTGACTCTCCGTATCATTGTTGTCGGTACTACTGCTGCTGTCGACTTGCGCACTTCTCCACGTTGGCGCCGAGAAAGTGTGGATACGTCTCTGTTCCGCAGGGAGCCCACCAGCTTGAAGACGACGATTGCATGCGCATTACGAACCACTCGACTAACATTCATTGCTTTGCAGCACCCGCGCCTTCCTCGCCTCCCTCCGTGGTACCTTCTCTCGCCTCTCGACGCTTCCCGTCCCGACCATCTCCGCCGTCTCGAGCACTGCCTTCGGCGGTGGCCTCGAGCTCGCCTTGTGCACCAACTTCCGAGTGTTCGCCTCGACCGCCGTCGTCGGGCTCCCAGAAACCCGCCTCGCCATCGTCCCAGGTGCAGGTGGAACCTACCGACTACCCGCTCTGATCGGCGAGACGCGCGCGCGGGATCTCATCCTGACAGGCCGCAGAATCGGCGGGCCGGAGGCATATTTCTTGGGCCTGTGCGATCGTCTTGTGGAAGTCACCGAGGAGGATACTAAGACTCCCGGTCTTGCGAGGGAGAAGGTCCTGGACCAGGCGATGCAGATGGCGATGGATATCTGCGCGGGCGGACCGCTTGCGGTGGGCGCGGCGATGCAGGCCGTGAATGGATGGAAGACTGGCGAGGAGAGTGAGAACGCGGCGTATGATAGCATTCTGGCGACGGAGGACCGATTGGAGGCGCTGAAGGCGTTTGGGGAGAAGAGGAAACCGGTATTCAAGGGTCGTTAAAGGAATAGTTCCCATACAGTAATGGCAATGGCGTGACAGAAAATGGAGGAAGAGGAGAATATATTTAGCATGTGTTTTACGTCTCAAGATTTAAAAAGGAAAAGAAGATTTCGTCACATTCATCGTTTACTCCCCCTTGATTCCATAACTCTTAACCCGACTCCAATAGAACGCTCGATCATTCCGCAGCGCAAACTCGGCCACATCATCCGTCATCCGATGTTTGCTCCAGAAGCCTTTCCACGCCAATTTATTGTTCCGCGCCCCTTTACCCGCGTGCGTAAGCGCCAGATGAAGGTGATACGTGTATTTCAGATTCGCGCCCTGAGTCTCTACGAATAATTCGCCCTCATGGCCGTCGTGTTTGAGGGACGACAGCCGCCAGCGGCCGCGGAGCGCGTCTTTCATCACTGCGTTGGGCAGCATACTTCCCGTGGAGTGGTGGGCGTGAAGATTGGCCCGCGTTAGGTGGTGCACGACGTCAACCGGCTCGGACGTCGTGAGAAGGCTGATACAGCTCCCATCCCGGAAGAAGCGTAGGTACCGGAAGTAGGTCACGACGTGGACAGGAGCGCCCCAAGTCAGGGTGTTAGTGGAATTGGCACCAGCGCGGGTGTAGTTTACTGTCGAGATGTAGCAGCCACCAAAGCGGATACGTGGGCGTGAGCGGAAGAGTTGGCGCCAAGAGGATGCGTAGCTGGTCTGGAGAAGGGTCTCGGCGGTGGTAAGGGGGAAACTCTCTGAAGCGGTGGCGAGAGTCTTGCTAGAGTCTGAAGTGTAGAAGGATAAGGTAGGATCGTAATCAGGCTCGTTAATCAATGGCCCGCCATTGATGCCGCATGCGAAGTCATAGCACATCGCGCCGAAGCCGAATTCGGATCCTGTCGCCACGCGCTTCCAGATAGACTCCTCCGTCATTACTAGGTACGCGAGACGTTTGCATACTCGCGCCGTTCGGGCGAAAGAAGCGACATCGACAATCGCAAGCCGTTGGAGGATCTGTGATAAGATTTCCTCTGGCAGCTCACCCAAAGCACAGCGTTCCGGTGGCGAAGCGTCTGTAGGCGGCTCAGGAGGCTCGATGCGTAACGATGAGAAGTCTTCTATCAGCTGCAAAAGCGTTGCGGGTATGCTGCTTTCACTACGTTGAGCAGCAGTAGAGGTCAGCGAGGATGGATCGTTTTGCGTGAGCTTAGGCTTGACAAAAGACGAATCCGGAAAGTGTTTGCGTTTGTAAGCTTGATCGACGGCATCATCGAGCTATAGGACGTAGCTTTAGCAGAATTCTTCTCCGTCGTATCTGCGGCGAGTGTACACAACTCAAAGCAAAGCTGTTGTGTTTTACGGGGAGACGGTCTTACCTTGAACGCTATTCGATAATGCTTCATGCTTTCTCCCAGATTGCCCTGAGTCTCCCTCTCTACGGCACGCTCGTAATGTTCTAGAGCCGATTCTGGTTCTCGAAACGCATCGTTCCGATCATGAGCCTGACCCTCAACGCCCAATTTCAATTGATCTTCCTTATCAGGAAGATCATGATAAGCTCGTGGTTCGAGCTCCTCAGAGTAGTCGACATCTTTCCGCTTGGCAGTGGATGCTGTCGCTGCTTGTACCGGTCGTTGTTTGGCGGGTTGTGCTGCCTTGTCTTGGGCCTTGATTGCCTCACGACTGCTGGTCGGCTTCTTGTTTCGTGCCGACACTTCTTCGCGCCATTGCTGGCGGAATTGTTCCAACTCGGCTTCGGTACGGGTACTTGAGGGTTCCATGATCGCGTGACGTCTTTTCACAGAGACATTGTTTGTGAATTAAAGAATTAAAGCAGATGAAATTAAGCGGTGTAAAGAGTCGAGGCGATTGAGCAGTGTTCACTTTGGTAAAGGACATCGCGTGGACACCGACCTGCGGTGTTCGAATGCGGCATTCTTTAGCGCCTTTTGTGACGACATCACGTCGTCCACGCCCCTGGCGCGGAATTGTCCGCTGTTGCTGGACCATCCTGTTCACAATGCATTGAGAGAGCTTTCCACGGCTCTCGTGTGCCAGGGGCAGACAAGAGAGTGATAGATATCACATGTCAGAGCAAAGCAGGGATTAGAATTCAAATGCATAACCCAAAATCGTAAAGATAGCTCCGCCAAGACGAAAATGATTGGATAAATTTATACATACGTCCAACAGCACTATTCTATACACATCACCACTACGAGTAGTACCTGGGCTCGTCAAAGACGTGGTAACGGTGATCACGAACACCCTCGCCCCGGAACATAGCAGGGAAACGGTAAGGCTCTGGCACTTGATCTTCTGAGATCATCTCATCACTACCCTCGGATTGGCCGACGATGAATTTACCAACCTGGAAGATTCGTTAGCACAAGTCTCGGCGATAGGAATATGGGACTGAAGCTTACCTGAAGTTCAGTGTCGGTGATGGTGCTTCGACTAACACGCGCGTAGCCGATTCTGCGCAAGTTCTTGTAGAGGATGTACTCGCACCATCGGTCCCAGTCGCTAGGGTCAATATCTCGCATGCCACTCGTCTCGGAAACGTATGTGTTGTAGTTGCCCTCCTTGGGCTTGGTTACTAGGTAAGAGAGCAGGATGCTTGGTCGGTTGGAGCTGCCCATCAGCTTAGCGAGATACTCGCTTTGCAGCCGACGGTCCTCGGGGTCCTCCTCTTGTCCAGAGTGGAAGACAAAGATGTCAACCAGCTCGCCGTAAGCATCAACGGTGGCATGAATGGCAGGAGCCAACTCGCCAACAGGACTGGGCAGAAGGTGATGAGTAGAGTTGATGATGGGGAACTTGGAGAGCAGCGCGCATCCCCAAGTGTGCTTGTTAGGGCCCGGGCCGTAATCGACATACATGCCGAGCTCCTCCGCAAGGTATTGTGTGAAGTCACGGTTACCCATGATGATGCGCTGAGTATCACTCTCAAGGAAGCCGACCACGTCCAGTTCAGTCTCACGAATCAGAGCCTCCATGCGACGCTCAGAACTCCACATGTCGTTGTCAATGCTGAAGTGAATTGTCCAGATACCGGCGGTGATGAGCTTGCTGTCCTTGTGGTAAGGTTGGTAATTGTAGCCAGGGAACCTGAGGTATGCGATGCTTGTTGCAAGGAGCTGCAGTCCAAGGAGGATGTAAATGTAATAGGTCCTCTGGCGACGCGTCGTAGGATTGGAAGCAGGCTGGAATGATTTTTGTCTAGTGGTTGCACTGTTTTGCGTCGCTGAGAAGACACCGCAGCCAATCAGAATCATGGTTGTTGTCATGACCCAATCGGTGTGCTCGCGCACTAATGGACCACCTGGCACGAATGCATAAGCAACAACCCAGACGTGGAACAGAACCATGATGTTATAGGAGAAGAATCCAACGAAGAAAGTTCGTCCTGGTGAGAATCGGATAGCGTTCGAAATGAGAGCAGGTGAGACTGCAGTCAAGTAAAACGTGAGGACCAGCGCGCCATAGTAGCCAGTCCAGTGAGAGAAGGTTGTGAGGACAGCTGCGCCAATGGAGCCAACGCCGAAAGCAGTCCAGCTTCGGGAAACGCTAGGATAGAACAGACCAAAGGCAAGACCTAAGCTCATGACGAAGATAGTGACAGCGCCGTGCGGAACAGCTTGAGGACCACGCACTGGGAACCCTTCCCAGACCCAAAGAATCATTGTGCTTGAATCTGAGAGCAATGAATGCAGAGCAAAAAGGAGACCGCCCACACCGAGTCCAGCGAGCACGGAAGGACCTTTGGGCTTTTCCAAGGGCGGAGAGCTGTTGTCAAAGTGCTTAGACCTCTTCTGGACAATCCGCGCAACGGCCAGAACGAACAAGAATATTCCAGTCTTGTTCATACCGCCGTTTTCCGCATGCATAATGGGCCAAACAGGGTTGTTGGTCCAGAAGGCGAATTTGGCAACGCTGCTGGCAATAAGTCCAATGACAAAAGCAGAGATCTTGCTTTCCAGCATGGCCGCATTTCCGCGATTGCGGTACCAGATCGCCGTCCAGGCGATGGCGCCCTGCCATACGGCTAGACTAATCGCACCAAGGCGGTTCTCGGGAGATTTGGCCAAGTACGCAAGCAGTCCGGCGATTGTGGTGGCAATTGATACAGGCAAAGTGTTGACGACTAGACGGCGAATTGGTGGGATCTCCAGGAACAGGGGCGAGATGGTGGCCATCACAGCCACCTCGTAACCAGAAATTCCCATGTGCCATAGAGGAAAGTACCAGACAACGAGACCTAGGCTGGTGAGGATGGACCAGAAGGTGAACTGTACGATGATTAGTGCGGGTCCAAGGGCGTTGCCGGCATCCCAAGTTGACTTACTCCCAGGTAGACATCCGCAGCAGCATCCGCAAGCTCCGACCATGAGAAGCGCGTGTCAAGGATCTGCCCAATGGGCTTGTCTTTGACCTTTTCTACCGCACTATCTACTCCACGCTTGTTGTCGCTGCGAACCAAATCTGTCAGCCAAGCTCTCACATTCATGAAGCGAGCACGTCGTACCGGCTATTTCGGAAGCCACTGCACGTACCCTCTGCTTAAGCCTTTGGTGTCCTTGATGGTCAGCTCTAAGCTGGAGAAGTCTAGCGCAGTGACTGCGTCAAAGGCGACATCGAGGAGCACGAGAGCCCACTCGAAGAATGCGTAAATTGTGTATGCTGTTGCCGTGAGTCAGTGTAAAGTATGGATCAGAAGTCTGTCGAATGTACACACCTCCTGGCACACGATGCACTTTATGCTGAATGAAGAAGTAGACAAGTGGAACAAGTGTTCCGAAGAAAGCGCCAGCCAAATATTTGCGGTACTTAATCGCCTGCGGATTGGGCGGGCTCAGCGCCAGGCAGCCTAGAGTCCACGGAAGAGTAGCAACCAAGTAGCTGATCATGAAAATATCGTGCCAGTCATGGTCGTCTGTGCTTGTCACGTATGTCCATCCTCCACAAGTCAACGTTCTGAAAACGCCGACACCAGCGACGAATTTCGGCAAGGAGCTGTTCGGTCGATTGGCTGAGAGGCAGTACCAGAGGAATACCAGAACGAAGCGAGGACCGGAGCAGATGGCGATGAAGACTTGGAAGATGGCGCGCTCCGGGTAGCGATCACCAATGGTTGCGCTGACCGAAGGAAACCATTCAATCGGGTATCCGAAATGCTCGTTTTCTACGATTTTGTGGTAATGCAAGGCCATTCCGACAATGAGAGCGCCGATGAAGGCTGCGTATGCGGTAAAAGTATGCGCGTGCGTGATCCAGTCGCCGGGAATCTGAACTCTATGTCAGTCGATGCCCCATTGACCAAGTGATTTTGCGATCAACTCACCACAGCGACCACGTCGCCATTGCGCTGTTTGGGAGCCATGATGGCGCCCTTCTCATGAAAATTGACAGAACTAGAAAACTAAATGGATGTAAGGAGTGATGAAGAACGAGAGGAAATGACAGCGTCTCGATGGACAATGACAGGGTGGATGCCGAAACTCGCCAGCAATAATTGAATGTCGTCGACCCCAAATGCGGAGCACACGCGCTGCTGGCCGGGGCTAACGCGTGGTTCAGGGAGACGCGAGAGTGGGCGGAGCGGACCGCCGCGGCAATTCTAAATCTTGGCGGATTAGTTCCGTTCAACTTTTTGCTTTCGGCGTTCTTTGAACAGTCGGACAGCCGCTTGGTCAAGAGCAACAAGTACACATTAGGGGCGCTCTAATATGGCCGCAGCAAGCGACAAAGCGCGGTTCTATCTGGAGCAATACGTTCCGGAGCTCCAAGAGTATGAGCGCAAACAGATTTTCAGCCGAGATGAGATCAGCGCTATCACCGCGAAACGAAGCGGGTTCGAACATACTTTGAATGCGCGCGGCTCCAGTCCGGAGGATTATCTTCAATATGTCGCCTACGAAACAAATCTGGACCGCCTGCGCAAACTCCGCTGCTCGAGAAAGGGTGTGAAAGCAGCGACATTTAATGGCCAGCGAACTATCTTTTTCATCTATGATCGTGCCACCAAAAAGTTTCCCGGATCGCTGGAGCTATGGATGCAATACATTGACTTCTGCAAGAAAGAGAAAGCAAGCAAAAAAATTACGAAGGTATTCACTGCGGTCTTGCGACTTCACCCTAGGAAGTGGAGCCTCTGGGTGGTGGCTGCTGCGTACTACGCACAAACTCAGGGCGACATGGCGACAGCGCGCGGATATTTGCAACGGGGTCTTCGATTCTGCAAAGATGAACCACGCTTGTATCTCGAATACGCTCGACTGGAGTTGACCTTCCTTGCCAAGCTGGCTGCACGCCGAAAGATTCTTGGTCTGGATGAACCATCGAAAGAGGACACACAGGAGCTTGACGGCGATGAGAACATGATCACTCTGCCCACGATCACGCCGGAAGATATGGACCCCGAGGCTCGTAGAGGCATCGAAGAGGTCAATGCCGCTGCTCTGCAAAGACTTGCTACCGCACCTGCGTACGTGGGTGCGATTCCTATTGCAATCTTCGGTGCAGCTGTGAAGCAGGTGACAGGCAGTGTGAGCGATTTCACGGAGGAATTCGTCGATCTCGTCGCTCTGTATGCACACGTCCCGGTCAGCCAAAACATACTCGAACATGTCATGGCCAGTCTTGAAAGCTCCGACAATGCTGGAACAATCATGTGCAGGGCCAAAGCCGAGCTCTTCTCTATTGAAGCGATGAGCGAGGAGTTTCCCTTGGCGTTGGGTCGAAGCATTGCTTTGATTCGATCAGGTCTTGCTAGTGTCCCATCCTCGGAGCAGAGTGATCTGGCAAGCCGCGCCGTTCTGATGCTCCTTCCATATCTGAGGGCCCCCGCCGAGATGGATGAGGATGTTCTCAGAGTGCTCGAAGCGATGATTATCAAGCACCTGAAGATTGCGATCTCTTCACCAGCAAAGCCCGGCGCTCCGACGAAGAATGTCCAGGCTTCGCTGACAACAAAATTACGGGAAACTTCACGTGTGACGGACGCAGCCAACCTCGAGGCTATCATACAAGAAGCTGGACTTGATCGCGGCTGACAATCCTCCGCTACGATTTCACGAGCTCGTTCATAAATACGAATAGGGTTCTCACTGCCACACTGAGATACCTCCTGACACAGCCAGCAGTGTAACATCCAAGCAAGGTGTACTGCCAGCATCTACTGTGCGACGTGCGGCTGTGCCAGCCCGCGATACCCGTCTGAGCCGGATTTCTGAACCAAAAACGAACCGCATGTGGGTTTTGCACGAGCCTTGGGTTCACAGGACATGTTCATGCCAGACTCAACGGGTAGTATCTGCGCTCAGCCCAGATGAGAGCCGTCGGCGACGCAATGTCTTTCACTCGAGGAGGTCGGTCAGCATGTCGTCCCTTGATGTGAGGAAGCACACCAGCAGTGTGCCTACATACGAATATTCGTCTGCTTATCAGCAAACAGAGATATGCTTTAAATGTCTCTTCGGTCAACGATCTATCGCATCATTGGAGACTTGGCACACGAGCTTGCTAACTCCGTATGTTGTGTCTGCCACGTCACCGCCACACACGTGTGCCACAACCGGAAAATCGATCCTCGATCTTTCAACCTGGAAAGCGACCACATCGGACGATCGTGACGTGTTTCAGAGCATACCGCCATGATCTCCCGCCATGATCTCACACTTCGCCATAATCTTCGCCGATCCTTTCTCCTGCGAACAGGGAGCGGCGTGTTTCGAGACTACACGAGGCTACATGTGCAACGGAGAAGCCCAACATCCTCCGCCGGGCCTCGACGAGAAGCCCTAACCTTTCCCGGCATCTGATCTGCATCGACAACACGACCGAGTCTTTCATCATAGAAGCGGTCAGCCACGTGGCGCCACTCAAGTCAAGCTTTCCACTCTTCAAAGGATTCTCGTGGCTGAAACCCCGCTTCATCACGATCGAGTTGCTTGCTACTCGTCTCCAAAATGCACGGCTCGAGGTGTGTCGATGGTGGGCGGGTGTGGGTGTGCGTATGTGCCGTGCGGGTGTGACCTTCTGCATCGCGACTGGGGCACACTCGAACGTCACACCCACGAATAGTGGCAGTGCGAGGATTTTGTGACAAGCGAAAGTTCTGTAGCTAGATGATTAGCTCTTGGGCCAGACGTTTCTGATCCCTCTTTATTCCCCCCGTGGCTTGTTCAACTGTGATGGATGCTGCAGATAGTTCTTTACCCAACGGGGATAGAAGCTTGCAGAGTGCATGCAGCCCTTCGTTTCAGAAGTGGGCGATGTACAATGATGTAGCTCTCCCACCACCCTTCTGTCCGCGCTGTAATCGCGCGAAAGCAACTTGAGTATGTGATCGCGATACGAGATCGATCTATACGGTGGTGCACGCTTGACCCATTCATTCTCCGAGCATGCGCACGGTACATCCCTGGAAATCTCGATTAATCAATTGACTGTCAATAATTATTATTAATCAAAGCATAAATTACACTACATTTCCTCCCCCGAAACAGGCAAATAATCCACGATTGGAGGGTATGCCGCCCCACCCTCCTCCGATGACCCATGCTGCTGCGCCACGAACACTCGTAAGCCACACCCTCCATCTCCGTCTGTCCGTCCACGGCGAGGCCCGTGCCCAGCGCCACATCACTCGCCCCCAAGCCACCGGCACCACATCCAGAGGAGGGAAAAAACGCCAAACTCCACCCACTTGTCAACGATAGGCGGTCAAGCGAGCTTTAGATCGTAAATTAGCAAGGGAAATGGTGACATCCCGGGATAATTTCGATGAGCGTGTGCGGATGGCGGGCGGGCGAGTGGCTTGAGGAGGGAAAAACCCACACCACACATCGGCATAGATTCGGCCGCGGAAACCGCGCATGGCCATCGCGATTCCTTCCAAGGCGTGTTGCTCTAGCATGACGGTGGTCGACGAGACGACAGGACGGGGACCGCATCATTTCCTCCCATGTAATCCTCAGACTGCCTTGAGATGTCTCGAGGGCCTGGACACTCCTGTAAAGCGAAGGCAGGAGCGAATGGTGGGAGATTTCGCACTCGCCCAACGCCCACTCCTCGGGCGATCGTCCCTATTCGAACAGGTTGTCCGGGCGGTAAATTTAGAGGGCACCGTTGCGGGTGGGAGAATCATTTCGCGCCTTTGAGTTTTCTGGGAGTAAATTGCTTGGTCTTTGGGACGCGAGACATGAGGAGATGATGTAGTGGGCCAATCAGTGGGCAGAGACAGCGACGGACAAGGAGGAATACAAACGCACAAAAAAGGTTTGGGAATGCATCGGTGATGGAATTATCGATGGATAGGAAATTAACTGGTTCAAAATTATTATTCTGCACACCTCTCTGTAGATGGAGAGGTATGAAGCGACTTCTTGATTATTGTGGGAAGCCAGCGCATCGTTTGTGTAAATCAAGATGATGTACGGGGGAAGATTAAGCCAATGATATGTACAGCAATGGGTAAGTTGAGAAGAGGTTATCACGCCTTTTGCTTCGAGTGAAGAGCGGCGGAGAGGAGGAGGAGGAGGGTAAGAAAATCCTTGTGTGGGCCCATTTGTAGGCAGAAGCAGTGGCCGAAGCAAGCGAACAGGTAGCACAATGCCCACATCATCTCCTTTCCAAACGGCAAAATCGCCATCCCCTCCTCCTCGATCGTGTACGTGCTGAATGTATTTGTGTGCGCCAGAGAAAGAATAAAAATAAGTGATTCGCACCCACTTTCCTGCACGCAGGCAGATAAAGTCAGGTGGAGAAAACCAGAAAGGACAAAATACAAGATAGAAAACTTGGGGGTATCATATCAATTTAAGCCGAGATGGAGCGTGAGTAGCGAGTGTGAGTGAGCGAGTGGCGGGTAGCTGTGCCGAGAATCCCGCTCCAGCAGCAGCCACGACAGCAGTAGCTCTCACACTGTCTAAGAGAGCCACGGGTGTTCAGGCAGCAGGTATTCGTGTTGTTGATTGTCGTCGTCATTAAAGTCAAAAGCGAACCAAGGCCGTATTTCCACGACGAAAAGCGTCGTATGCGTTTTTTTCCGAACGCGCATATCCCCCTTCCCTTCTCACAGCCATGCAAGAAAGGGACACCACCAGGGCCGCCGCCTAAAAGTGGGTATATATGGCGTTCGCAAACGCATGGCTGAGGAGGGAAAAGACGGGCGCAGAGTAAAGGGAATTCGTTTCCATCGTGATAGTCGTCATATGAGCAAAGTAGGGACGAAACATTTCCCTTGATGTCAAAGATTCAACGCCAGCCCTGAGTTAAGGCGATTATGTGCCTGCTGCTTCGCCCTCGAGTCGAGTCTGTAAGCCGATGCTCAACAGGAGCTAGTGTCCCGGAGCCGGTGTCGTGAGATGAGTGTGGTTCAAAACTGCAAGATCAAATTGTATCCAACTTCGCTGGGATTTCTGAGCGATGGTAGATCGCCATCGCATTGCGAGTCCAGAGCAGCTTTGACATCGCCCTCTTTCTCGAGAGAGGGCGATTCTTCGTCAAGAGAGGGTGCTGGAATGAAACGTACTGTCATATCCTGGCCCTCGGGAAGTTCGCGTGCACATTCATCATCGAAGAGAATCTCCACAGCAGACACGTTTGACTTCCCTTTTGCCGTCGTGTTAGTATCACGACGATGCCGAAGCGTGCGACGGATCAGTGTTGGCTCGATCCCGCATTTGCTGGCAACGGCATTGACAAAGTCTTTGAGCGTGCGTTGATGAAGGTAAACGGCGCGGTAGTAGTGGTCGGACGGTATCTGCCCTTCCACGCGCGGCAGGATATAGACGCAGGCGACAGGCTTAACAGGTCGCGCCTGTGGTGGCTCGTAGTTGACATCAATGCCACTCACTTCGATGGTCCCTCGAACAGCACCAGTGCGAGGAGAATGGGTCTGTACTGACGTAGGTCCACTGCCGTCATCGGAAGTTTCACGAATTGTTGGGAGAAGATCCATGACGGCCGTCTGAGGGTGGCTGCGCCAATCTTCCGATTCCGTCATTGCGAGTTGGCCGAGAGGCGTATTTTGATGCATACTCGAATCTTTGCGACTGTCGATCGGCGAATCCTGACTCGATATCGGAGAAACAAGTGGCGAGGTCTGGTCCACATCACTGATGGTGGTAGCGCGAGTCAACCCGCTCTCGGTTGATTCATTCTTCAGAAGCTCCGGAGGCTTGAGGAGATCGTCATTCTCGTTGGATAGCGCAACAGGTGATGCATCTGGGTCATCGTTCTTGTCACCTCTCAAGTGAAGCACACTAGCAGGCCGCGTTGATGAGAATCGATCCTGTAGAGCCAGGAGCTTCTTGTGTAGGTCGTCTTCCGCACTACCACGTCCGCTGTTCGACGTCGCCGAGTTCACTGACCATGATCTTCGGTGCTTGGCGGCTTTGCTTGGCCGATTATCGATACTAGCTCTCGCCATAGACCCGCTTCGCTTCCTCTTCCCACCTTCTTTCAAGCCAGACTCGATCTGCGCTATCTGTTGGTTGAGCTTTTCAATCGTCTTCTTGACGTGGGCGACATCGTTGGATAATTTCCGCTCAGCGCCATGGTCACGGAATAGCTTGACCATGCAGTAGCACACTTCAGCGTCGCTGGGTTGTGACCAATTCCCGTTACCGTCATCAAGTATCTGAGTCTTTGCGCAAAGTCGAACTGGAATTCCCTTGACACCTTTGGAGTGGCTAAAGTCGGTAGAGAGGAAGTTGAAGCGAACAGATATCGGGCATTCGACAGAACCCGTAGCGGAAGTCCAGAGCACACAGAAACCGTCGAAGGAAGAGCTCTCCAGCTCAAATTGAGGTCTCGACGAGTCATCGTGGGATAGACCATGTGTCGGGGGAACGTACTCTACTGCCTGCAGTCGGCCGCCTCGATGGTGTGCTTCGTTGGTGCCACGTCCTTCTTTCCAGAGCTGCCAACATTGTGCCGGCTTCTGTCGTTGCTGTTCATCCTGGAATGAGACACGGACAAAGGTGCGATATCTCCGAGGTGTTTGGGCTGGCTGTGCTTGCGTATCAACAACGTTCAAGATGTACGCCTGACCTTTATTGAGATATGTGATTGGAACATCGTCAGAATGCACGACCATGGCGGTAGGCGCATTAAGCGTTGTGTGGTACCGAAATCTGTTATTTTTGTTGTTGTTAGCGAGTGACCGGAACAAATGAACATTGCGGTGACTCACTTTTCGGATGAAGAGTATGCAGATGGCGCAGGAACGCTAGTTGGCAATCGCTGCGACTCGAATTGCGCATGTATGTTGTATTCGGAATGCGTCGTACCGCCGCTGATTGTCAGATCTTCGACGGGCGATTCGCCAATGGGACCCTCATAGTCCATTGACTGATGCGTGGCTTGGTTTGTGAAGTGGTGCGGCGGGAACGACTGCTGTTGCATGTGGAAGGGGTCTGCGTTGTGGAAATGATGTTGCTGTTGCCCCTGCTGCTGCTGCATCTGTTGGTGTTGGCTGTTGAATCCATGAAAAGGTTGCTGAGCGGTTTGCATTGCAGCCTCAGACGTAGGCATCGATAGCGGTGTCGACAGTCCCATGCCGCCGAAGCCTGACATATGGTGGTGACCGCCATGCTGGTTCAGAAACGAAGTAGCGTCAGCATGGTTGTGGCCGAGGCCACCGGGAGTCGGAGGGTAGTAGTGATTCAAGTGGTCGAAGAGTTGGAAGTTGGAATCATTGGGATCCATAAGTGCAGGTGTGAGCCCTGTCGAGCCGAAGTTCCATGATTCGCTCGCGCCTCGAGGCGTCGCAACAAGATGCCGAGCATCGTGGGAAGGCTGATCGTTAATGCTATGATGTGCAGCAAATATATGGTCAGTGATCTTGGAGTAAAGGTCGTCAAGTTGATCGCAGCTCGGATAATTCCCACGGCAGGGGGGCTTTCGGTTGCATGAAAAGTAGCATTCACGCGAAAGGAAATCGACATACCGTATCTCCGACGGGTTCCCTACAGCGTTCGCAACAGCTGGTGCAGGATGTTGCGAAGCTGCTGTTGTCGCAGCATTGTTCGGAGGCTGGCCTTGACCAACTTCTGGGTGGTTCGCACGAAAATCCCGGAACAGCTCCTCACTCGGCCGCTTCTGCGAGGATCGCCTATGAGTAACGTCAATATCAGATGCGATGCATATTTTATCGGGCCTCTGGTCGTTTCAAGAATGCATAGTGCGATGATGCGACAATAAAAAATTCAAGGTCAAGGTGAGGTTGGAGCGCAGTTGCGGCGTCGCAGTCATGGTGACGATGGGTTGTGGCAGTGGAAGTGGCTTGCACGGCCAGAGAAACGCGCGTGAAATTTGGCGGGGCGTGAACTGAATTCACGGTCTGTACTTACGATTTGAACATGTTTTGGCGGAAAGGTCGAGATTGAGAAGTCGACCAAGCGGACAAGCGCAAGGCGTTGATTCATATATGGCCGGTCATCAAGGACGAAAGGCGTAAGTGTCGTTATAATCGGGCGTGTTGTTGTGGAAAGATGTTGGGAGCAATATGGGATTCCAAGCACTGGGGATGGCGCTGTTTGTATAGTGAGGCGCCAGCTGTATGTGGTGAAAGCGACGGCTCTGGCGAATAGGGTGAGATGCCCGAGAGGTCCAATTAAGCCGAACACATACGCATCTGTTGTCGAATGTCGTAGAAGGTAGGTGAGCGACGAGATGTTGTAGAGAGTTTGGTGACGAGTGCGTCTGTCGGTTCGAAGGGACGTCTAGATTCCTAACGTCGCAGGGTGGATAGAGTACGTGTGGGCACCGTGCTACTGCGATGAGAGCACAGTATGCAACGTATTAAGGTCGGTCGAGGGGGAGAGATAACAAGTGAACGAGATGAGTGAGTGGATGGGGGCGCCACAGTTGGCAGCCCGTTCGACTAATAACTCAAAGCGAAAAGGCTCTCTCTCTTCGTTCATCGAGGAAAGCCACCCCAGCGAAAATGCAGGGATCACAGCACAGGGCGCTAAGAAGGTATAATCAAACGGATCGGCAGCACGAAGATGACCTTCTCTCTACCGTGTAGTGTACTGTACGTCGGGCGGTCTCGAGCATGTATGTACGTCTGTCGTCTGTATGTATGGGATGTGCACATGTCGCACCTCCTCCACCACACCTGCAACCCGCTCACACGATGATGAATTGCTGCCTCGCACTAATCCTCCTCTTCTGGCGAGTTGACATCAACGTCTCTCCCCTCGCGGTGCATGTTTCGTCATCCCATCTGATCCCACTCCACCCTCCGCTTCCGCCGTCCTCTCTAAACCTCGATTGTTGAAATCAGGGTGCCTTTTTCCGCGATGATCAGACGCGCGGATATCGGTCTGTTTGCTTTAGCCGAGTGACAGGCTGCATGGCATCCATGTACGATGATGACGCCTCCCATTGGGGAGCCGTCCTACACTGGAACGTGTGACGAACAAGTCAGGCAAACGAACAGTGGGACAGGACATGCCGGCGGACTCTACCACGATTCCGTCCAATCTCGCTGTACTCCCCCTCAAGTGGTGTGGTTCATATCACAGACGACGGAGAGGTGATGAAAGGCATGCCATCCGATCTCAGTCTGGGGGAAACACGTCAAGATCGATCGCGTTGTAGGTGGATACATCGTCGCGCAGAACACATAGCCGCTGTCTAGAAACGGGTTGGACGAGATCAAGCGCCAGCCAATATCCCGATATCGAACGCCGCTTTGTTCTCATCCTTCTCGTCGTCGTCGTCGTCAGCGTTCGCTGACGGGATCAAAGCCTCGTCGCATGGTACTGCAGATCGATGCCAAAGTCCCGATCCTCGACAAGTCTTCGCGCGAACATTGCCGGAGGGGCTCTGCTCTGGGTGGGCACCGAAGTATGGGGCGGAGGGAGGTTATCGTGCACCACATTTGCCATGACAGAAGCGCGCGACCACCAAGACGACCGCCCAAACTCAAGGCTGCAAGCAAAGCCTCACCTGACAAGGTGCAGCAGCAAGCTCCAGGCGAGTCGCCCGCGCACGTCGGTCTGGTCTGGTGCTGCAGGGCGGACATGCATGCCTAGCGTGCAGTTACGCGTCAGCCCACTCGGCGAACGAACTCATTTCCGCCACTCTGGTGTGGCGACACTCATTGCGCCACAGCTCTGACGCATGTTTTGCCACTTTCTACGATGGAGGGTGTGGCTTGCGTCGGATGAAATCGAGATCAAGCAGGTCCCCTGTTTATTACGCGTAATCACTTGCATGACCAGAATATGCCTTGCTGTCGATATTGCACGCACTGCTTTATTCCAAGGGCCTGACGTACTGGCAGCAGAATTTTGCGCACCAGAATGAATGGATACTAGGTAGCGTACGGTATACGGATCCTTCCTACTTCCGAGGGGGGTTACCTGGGTACGCACTGTCCCACACCACGTGCCAATGACTATGGCTGATGGCTGAAGCTCACACTTCATGCGCCTCTAGCCCGCATCTGCACAAATACGTGCTGTGGGTGCTCACGCTGCCATACAGTAGGACATCCCGCCCATGGTGCATGTGTCTGTGTGTGTGCGTGTGTGTTTATTTGTGTGTGTCCTTGTGTGTGTGAGAGGGAGAGAGAGTGCGGATGGAGCGCGCGTGCGTATTCCACGAAGCATGTCTCTCCTCCGCCAGTCATCAGAGTGCCGTCGCTATCATCATTCTCGACACAACTGATGACTGTTGACCGCTGGCGTGGGTGTGGCTGAGACGTGCTACTGCCACATACCCCGTTTCCCTTCATGTCTGCCACGACCGCGTAGGTTTGTCGATGTCTCCCGTCCCGCGGATTCTCTCAGACCCTCCACATCACCATCGCCAGTCGCGCGCATCGGCACAACGGAACTAGCCCGCGGGCGTATCTGCCTCCGAGACCGCCTGTCAGTTGGCGGGCGTTCTCGGGGGCCCAATGTGTTCCCTCGGGCATGTCATCAAGCCACATTGCTGCACCGTCGACGAGCCATCGCGCGACGGCCCAAGATCCTCCTTCACGTCATCCACTTGCACCTCCATCATCGCGATGCCCCGCTGCAAATCAACGCGTCTGAGATCCTCGGGGCGAGAACTGACCTCAGCCTGAACGGTGGCTAGGGCTCGCTTGACTGATCAGATCATTTCGCACTCGTTTGCGCCCCCGGCGTCACATCCGCACCGCACGTTTCAACTACCGACCGTTTGGAATTTGAGGGCTCACTCGGCGTTGTCCGGGTTCGTATTAGCGAACCCCACTGACAATATTGAAGCAGTTTTCTCTCGTATTCTAATAATGCATCACACTGCTTCGTGTAGTTTGTGCGGTTGTGGACCATCGATGACAATGTTGCTACGCACAGTGACTCACTTGAGAAGAAGAAATTGTTACATGAAGTCGTCGAGCGCTATGTCATCGGACCATGCCCGTCACCGCTGATTGATTGTCCGCGGGCATAGCCAATGTCTCACATCATGCAGCTTGAGCAGATATCTCCCACCCGATGGACGCTGTCCGCGCTCTAACCATGCGACTACGTGGGTCTTGCCGATAACAAATTTCTCTCCCCACTTCAGCAGCAAACCTATGACGGGACTATACGCAGAGACGGATGTCATGTCAATTTTATATAGCCGGCTCCAGGGTCTTTGGAGATCACTCAAAGACGTCACTGCTGGTCTGGCGCGCACTTCCCGCAGGTGAGGAGTTGGAATTGACATCAATCTTGACATCTGCACCACGGTTCACACGCACTGCCAGCGCATCACCACTGCAATGGATGGTGCGACGAACGGCATAGAGATCAGATCGAACACGAGTCGGGCGGTTTCGCGCAACCCTCCCATTCCAGCACGTGGGTGAGGATCGCGGCGAGCGCCCTTGGCAGCATCGATTGGTCACGGCGTGATGGGAAAATCCTCCTGCATCTCACGATTCCTCGAGTCCAGGACCAGATGCGTCCTCCTCGCGATCGTGGAGGCGCAAACGCCCAGATTCGACTCGGATGGAGTTGCTCCTCTTCTCCTCAAATTTGAGACGGAGCGCGTAGCAGGTTTCGGGTAGATAGATCGAGGAGTCAATGACAGGACCGAGAGGGTCCGTCGCAGAATCTCCGAGGCGGCGTGGCACAAATGCCCAACTGTGCAGGATGATTGGTCGCCTTGCCCATTTAATGTGCCACACCCGTCATGTTTCACCTTCGATTTTCCTTATTCAAATCCCAGCACGCGCCACTATTTCTCCGTCCACTCATGTCTTCGAAACTGCCCAATTCAAATAATCGTTAGCGAAAAATGACCCTCCGTCGAGTTTGGTCCTCCCCGTAATGATTCCCACCAGTCGACAGACTTCACCGTTTTTCCGTACCCGGGGATGGCGTCTTTTCTTTCCCTCCTCACGTACGTCCACGGCAAACTCTCTTTGATGAACTGTTCGCATATACCCAAGGCAGTAAGTATCCAGGCGACGGCGGGTTACCGAGTAGCCGGAGCAAAGCTTCCCATCCATAGCGCACTGTAGTGTCGCGGCAGAAATTGTCGTTTCGAAGGCCAGACTCCTTGGCTGTAATCCCATCCACTTGTCGAGCGGGCCGCCTGGTCATTGCCCGCAGCACAGCGTGATATGTATGTCGACGACGTTTCCCTGCCGAGAGCGCACGATGGAAGTCGCAGAAGCGTAGACCCAATGGAAAGTTCCGTCCTTTGGCAGATCCCATGCGCAGGGTGACATCGAGAATACCGCCCGCACGCCGGGCGATTTTGACCTCTGAAGCAGCAGCAGCCACACCGTCCGCTTGCACCACTACCCTCCTCTCGCCAAAGGACTGTCTCCACGATCATCCGGCAAGGGGAGAAACATATCCACTTTTTTTTCCCGCGGCTGCAACAATAATAAAGTCAATACTCCCCTGCGGGATCGACCTGACGTCGATGGCGGCACGCACAAACAATGGAATTTGGATTTCCATCTGGAGATCTACACACCGCACACACCAGCTATGCCAAATACCTACGGGATCCCAACGCTTATATCTTCCGATCGACATTGCTCCACGAGGCAGAGATCATGGTCCCGCTTCTGGGACGTGGCTCGCAAACGTCACGTCGCGGCGCCTAGTCCAGTGTACATGGAACGATGGGAAAGCAGCAAACACCGGATCAGCCGCCGGCAGTGTGGTAGGTCATGACGTGAAGTCTACCGGTGCGCAGCAGCGACGGGCGCATCCCAGAGCCTGACCTCCTCGAAACCCCACATCCGCGACATGATTTTCTAAATTTCTGTACATGATGAAAGTTCCGCTTCGTCGTCGGTAAAGACGCTCGCGATGGTAAGGTTTCTGCGCGTATTGCCTCCCCCGAAGTTCTTGCGCTCAGGTGAGCTAGGGTCCCATGCAACGATGAAGTCGCCGGCCACCGAGGTGTGTGTGTGTGTGTGTGTGTGTGTGTGTGTGTGATAATCAAACACATTCCATGTCACGGCTCCATCATCACGATACGTCCTCATCAGAACAGCAGTGTCTGAACCTGCCCGGGAACGGTCAATGGCATCGGCGAGGCCGGGCCAGGGTCAGGGTTGAACAATGCGATATCCCGCAGAACTATTGTCTCGGGGGTTATTGTCCGCTCTGACCGTCAGTGCCGCCACTGCTGCTGTGCTCTCACGATACGACGCTGGCACAGCGTTGTGCCGCACACATGTACAGTACTCATGTGCTGCAATTCTATGAGGCTTTCTCGGTAGATCTCTCGATGTGTCATGTGATGCCCTAGACTCGGTATGGCACCCGTGAGCAACAATCGGGTGTCGGCGGCATCTTACATACATGACACGGAGACGGGAAAGGGCCGAGAATGTGTGAGTGAGAGGCAAGCTCATCGGAGGACGAGCTGCGACGCCCTGACATGGTCGTACATGTGAGAGAGATATCGTTCTCCTGCCCAGACTTCGGCCGCGTGTTTCATCGACGATTTGGTCTCGACGAGTGTACTGAATCTGCGGGGTCGTCGTCGTCAATCGCTGTGGCGCATGAGGTAAAGGATTCCTCAATGGACCCCTCGAATCATTCCAGACCGGCCCCTTATGTCCACTCGGTGGTATACAATTGTGGACTCTCGGCCGACATCCAATCACACCATCCGGCTTCATTCATCCACAAGCCTCATTTTCCGTTGAAAGAGCAAAGATCTTCGCTGTGTGGCTGATGCATTGTGGCGAACCCACTCAATTTTCGTGCCATCCGACCTCAGTCTCTTCCTCCCATGTGTGGCGGTGCGCAAAAGGAACTTCCCCCGGCGTGTCTCACGTTCGGAAATTAGCATCATACTGATGAAACCTCCCTCTACACGTTATGCACTCCTCCTTACGAATCTAACCATCGACGAATCGGCGGTTTCAAACCAAGCTCCACCTGGATGTGCGTTCCTTAGCATCAGAACAACACCTCGTTTGTACTTCGCATCGCCCGTCGCGGGGCCTGCGCAAGAACGAGAGGCACTCTTTCGCCGTCATTTTGATGCGCGCGAGTGTAACAACCGCGTCAAAGTGACTGTTTGTTTTCCCTCGGCGCAGGCGGATCGCGCGGAACGTCCCACAATCGATGAAACGATGTTGGAAATCGAAATCACAGACCATCTATTTCCCATCAAATCACCAGTCGCATTCGAGGATCGTCAACGAACGATACACGAGCATTGAACTTGGAAATCAACCACGCGCGCGCGCCAACGGCTTAGTATAGTAGACTGTGGCTCAACTGCCGCTCTCATCAATTGTGAATTCGGATTCCACACGAGGGGCTCCAATAGGTTTCTTTTGCGGACTTCATCTAACCGTAATATGGAATGCATCTCGGTAGTGAGTTATGATGCAAGAATTTTATTCCAGGGGTGTGATACCATGTCGAGCTCTCGAATGGGAAACTCACCGCCGGCTGTTCCAAACAGTCGCACTAGATTACACAGGCCCACACACATCTGGGCTCAACAAGCAAACGCACATCCCTCGTGCGAGATCGAAAGATCAAGAAGGCCAGGCGTCCCTGAGAGACTACCCTACCGCTGCATCTTTGTCGATCACTTCCTGGTTCGCCTGCCAGCTCCCATCGCTCATGTCCGACGACGAAGAACACACGTCTGACTCGTCCCGACTCGAGCCAACTACATACACAATCGGGTAGTCCGAAAGGCTCAACAAGCTGCAATACTGAGAGAGAGAGAGAGAAGCTCAAAGTTCATGTTTCTCCGATCCTCCCTCGGCAATTACTTCCCGGATCACTACTCTCGAGCTCCACGCAGTAGGTGGGAAAATCCTTCAGTCCAGGCGCTTCCCTCTCACATGTGCGCCCACGTGAACCCCGAGCGCGCTGATTGGGAGCGAGGACAACCCCTCGATGTACCGTCGGGCCAAGTCTTATTCCCACTCCTTCCCTCCTCGGCGGTGTGCTGGCAGCCCTTAGCCCGACATACCACCTCGCTGTCCGACTGCGCCACATGCCGCCTGCGTCACATTGCGTTTCACGTGCGAGGTCTCTCGTTTGCGTGGAAGGCGATCGGAGATCGAGAAGCACGAGGAGGAGACGAACAGCAGCGCCAGGATGCGTGTGGCTTTGTTTCCTCGTCTATCCTGCTTTCCTCCACTCCGTTTTGCTTTTTATCCTGCGACTCCTGCCCTTGGGGCCGATGAGGTGCGAGTGTCGCAGCACGCGCCTCGTGTGGCGACGACGGACGCTCCTTGAGATCTCTCTCGGCGAGAGGAGGGGAGATCGCGGAGAGAGGCAGACTCGCGTCGGGACGAGCGGCGATCCAGGCCAACGTTTCCTTGTTCTGTCGTGTCTCAACCTCCTCGTTGCCCTCTCTCACCGGAGAAGGAAACGCAAACCCGCAGTGATGAAATCAATGACATTGCAACGCTCTGTCTCCCTCCCTTTTCCCGCCCGCCACGTCGTGTGCGAGAGACGGCGGGATCTCTATCGAGGGGCTCTGTCTTTGCGATGTAGGAAGCGAGATTGTCGCGACTCTGGAGCCACGAGCGTGTCCCGCTTGCTACCTAGTATTCAGCGGAGAGCACCACCGCTTCCGGGTGGACTTGCTCTCCACTCCCTTCCATTTTCCTTCCCTTCCCTCAGTGCCTAGGATTAAAGGAGAACCCCGTCTCCGAGGAGGACAGATCAGCACTGATTGCCCTCGAATGAATGTGGGAGGTCGGGAAATCATCGCCGACGCTGTTCATGCTTCATCCTCGTCCTCATGCTGTGTCAGAAAAGATCAGTTGATCCGATCCTCCCGATGCGTACGTCTGTGTGCGACCTACGGTCTCGCTCGTCGTGTCTACCTGTATGAATGGGACTTGGAATGGGCTGAAACGGAAAAGATGGGGTGGTGTCCGATGCGATGTGGCCGAGGCGGTCGTCGACGGCAGCAGAAGATTATAGTCGAGGGGAGAAAGAAGAACATTCATCCCGTAGGAGATGCCAGGTCGTAGACACAGTCCATGTTGGAAACTCAAACGGCACGAGATGGCCATGGTGTGGATTGGGGATATCCACGTGGGACATCGCAAAAAAGAGGACATTCCCTATCCTCCGGAAGTGGTTTCATTCGTTCAGATCAGATAGACGTATAACAGCCCTCTTACTTCCTCCAAGGGACCGTTCGATAGACACATCGAATGGACCTCGCGCACATTCCCCCCGTCTCGCAAGTCGGGGAAAATTCAGGATGTGCCAGTGATCGGCCACTCCGAACCGATCATCACGACCACATGCTCCTTCCCCTTGAAACGGCTCTCCCTTCGCTGACAATACATTCATCTCCCAGCCCTGATGGGCAGATCCGCTCCACCTTTCCTATCCCCATCATCTGCTCACGCCCGGAGAATTCTCCTTGCGGCCAGCCGTGAGTCTCCTGACACGGCCCAGCGAAATCGACGACGACGACGGGGAAGACTTACACGGAAGGCCACAGAGTAGGGTAGTTGCGCGATCGAATGCATCGTCACCAGCTCGGTCGATGACGGTGAGCAAGCTGGCTTCGGAGTCTTCTCTCAGACTGATGGATGAATCGAGGCTCAGATTTGCATTCTCTGAATCAGTTGGAGATGTGGAGGGTGGCTGGGTCCTGGAGTGTGCCTTGCGAGCCAAGGATGAGGACGGCGGGTCGGAACGGCGAGTTCGAGACGGGACGCGCGAGGTATGGAGCAGGGACCCCAGGGAGAGACTTCGACTCAGGGAGCGGCCTGTTCCTGTGGAGACTGCGTCTGGGCGGAGGGTATCCTTCCCAGGGACGAAGGAGTATCGACGATGTTGCGATGGTTCCGCGTCATCGGAGGGCTTCTCGGCGGTCGTTTGGGGAACGAGCTTCTGGAAGAACCCGGACGCTCTGGCTTTGATCTTCAGGCATCTCGGGGTGAAGCTGCCGTCTTGCTTGTACTTGTGGTGGACGGAAGGGGAGGAGATGCGTGTGTCAGGGGCACTGGAGCTTTTGCTGTGGTCTGTCGGCTGCGGGCGATTGCGTACGACGGGCATCATCGATTTGGGGATGGCTTGGCTGGAGTGTCGCGCAAGACTCTTCCTTGGATCACGAAGGATGAGGCTGTCGAGACTGCCATCGATACGTGCAGGCTGCATGAAACGATTGGGTTCATGGAGAGAAGCTGCATCGATGCTGGCTGATGAGAAAGACATGTCGGAGAGATAGGACAGTCGAGCGGATTGAAGATCGCCAGCTTTGTCGGTGATCAATCCTAAGCCATGAACGAGTGACTCGCTAGAAGATGAGAGCCCGTCGAGTGTTTGTGACGCACGCGGAGGCGAAAGACATGCTTGGGCGAGTCTGACAGACTTCTTCGGGCTGGATCGTTGCAGCGTTGAAGGTTCGAACTTGTTCAAGTTTGTCTGGGAACACACTCTGACGGTAGCTGCAGGGAGATTCATCAGCGGATATCACCAGCCGAGTGAATCTCGCGATGAAAACCCAAGTTACCTCTTTGCTTACTCCAGACCTGGCGATCCCGACTCAGCGTCCGATCCAGGACTTCCATGACGTTCTCCTTCACCGCAATCTTCTCATCGTCCGGCCGATGAGGACGAACGGGACGACGGATCAAACTCTCCTGCCTCGCGAGCATGACCTCCTTGACCCCATGATCACCCGTCCTCGCGAGGAGGACCTCCAACTTCTTGACCTCGGCTCTATACTCGTCCCTCTCGCGGCGCCATTCGCCCTGGGTAATCTCGAACTTGGCAACAAGCCCCTTGCGCTCATCACAAGCAACGTCCAATCTCGCCTGCAGCGTATCTCTCTCATCGCGAAGTGACAGGAAGGCCTCGAAGATGCGGAGCAGCACGCCGTTGAATTGGACGTCGAGGGGAGCACAGGGTCGGGACATCAGGCGGCGCAGGACGGAGTCCATGCCAGCTTCGGCGGAGGGATCGGGGGGTGGTGGGTCGGTAGTTCTGCAGGAGAATCTTGACGGGGTGAAATGCTCGGTCAAGGACTTCTTGCGGAGAGTGGGTGTGGAGGAGGAGGACAGTTTGGACTTGGTATGTTTGACTGGGGTGGTGGGTTGGTAGTCGTCTTGTTGGCGATCTCGCGCGGCTGGGGTGCGGGATCGTGATCGTTGGGCTCGTCGGCGCCATTGGTTCAGTTCGTCCATCGAAGCAGGCGTCGGGTTTAGGTGTATGTGTTGAACTACAGGTAGGACGATGAACTCGAGCAGAGACGGAGAGAAATGACATTTGAAGTGACGTTTGTATTTTGTTCCATTTCTGAGTGAAGTTGCTTGATCGCTCTTACCTGTTTGACCGATGAGCGCATATATACGTCCAGTGAAAGGAACCGGTCCGCGTTCTTTCATGAGATACCTTCGCACTTGCACACAACAAAGAGGATGCGGCCACAGCAAATTCCGCCTTCGAAGCAATAATGTTTTGCGTTTTCACGCCCACCACATGAGGGCTGGTGAAGAGACGCAATGATTTATCGTGCAGATCTCAGCATGAGCACCATCGATATCAATAGGAAAGAAAAAGAAAAGAAAAAGCCTTTCTCTACAAGAGAAGTATATGTCCCCGCCTATTCATACAAAAACGCCGACGGAGAAGTCCAGCGTAATCGTTTGGTAATAAGGCGGTAATAAAATGGGGCTCCCGAGGGAGCACTTGTTCTTGGCACGAAAGTAAGAATTTCCTTCAGACATTCTCGCAATGAATTTGGCGAGGCGCTGTACACACTGATGCCGTTGGTTTTGTGGTGAATTGGGAATTGGGGATGGTGGATGAGGGGGGAGGTATGGGATGGTGCTGAGAAATGGAAGGAAGAAGGATGCGTTGTGATGGAGGGACGTCAGATCATGTTGTGGATGGTGCACGTCTCAAGGTGCATGTGGGCGAGGCCGCTGTTGGTGGAACTCTCGAGTCAAGGGTGAAGATGGATCGTGATGCCCCGAGCAGAGGCTGCACGCTGGACAATGTCATCATGCGTAGGGTTGGCGAAGAGACTGTCGTCGAGAATTTTCCTTTTCATTCGTCTACCTCCGCCTCAAGCCCCATTGCTTTCTGGTATCGACAACAACGATTGTTGACGAAGCCATATGCGAAAAAGAGAAGAGCGCTGGCTCCCCCAAGAGAAGCCGGCCTCTTTTTGGTTCCCTGCTAATAAATTCCCAACTCCCCTGTGTGTGTGAAAACAATTGCGCCAGATGTTGTGAAGAAAGCTCGTAGCAGCGTGGGTCACTTGCCGACTGCCGTGGCAGCAGCCGCCGCCCTTGCTCGTCTCATGTCAGGTCGGATCGGAGGAACATTGCTCGCGAATGTTCTGGTTGAAAGGCAAAGGAAAGGTAGCATCTACGCGGCATCACGGAGACCTTCCTTGACCTCCTTCTGTTCATGGTGAAAGATGGTTAGTAGTGCGTACGAGGATTTGTTGATCGTGTCATTCGCATTGGTGACGAACCAGAGCCTTGGCAGTGCCGTGGAGCGCATGCCTGTGGTTTCTTCGGAACTTGGGGTCGGTTCCCTTGAGCGAAGGGTATCTGCTGGTCTTCGGCTTCTTGATACTGTGGGAGAGGACGTCCGTCAGCACCAATTCGGTCCATTCCGTGCCATGATCCGCCATTCGACCGCAATGGGGATTCCATATTCCCGACCATCAATCCAACTCTTCCGCGATCGCCTTTCAGATGTATGCGCCCGATGAAATGGTGATAGGTGTAGAGATGTAGGCATACCCGTTCCTGTGCGCCTTCTTCGACTGGTTGTGCTGAGACGAGTTCTTTGACTCTGCGAGAGTGAATCAGTCTGGCGTTCCGAATCCTATTCTCCGTTTCATCAGGAGCAACATACTGGCCATTGCTGCGGTATTTGATGTGTGATCGCTGGTGTCGTGAATTCAATTCTGACGCTGCTGTCGAGGTATCCCAAATTCCACAGTGCGGACCGATGATGGTGGGTCCGTGCGGCATGGGCGTGCCAAGAGCTTGCGAGAAAGCCATGGTCACGTGAATCGCCCACTGGCTAGGGTTGAGGCTGAGCTTACCATCTGACGTGTATACGTCTATGGGCGGGCATCCGTGGTAATAATAATAGAAGGCGTATCAGCGGCCAGTCGATACATTCTGAGCTCCGAACAAGCGATAATATCCGCCAAGTAAGAAACATCCTGCACAGACCCGACATGGACGGTTGCAGTCAAATTAAAAGACTTCCTCATCAATCCAAGAAACGCGACAACAACTCTATTTGTACGAGTGCTGCAACAACAAACAACGCCAACACCGAAAAGTTCCAAATCCAGAGTCGTATGCCCGGGTATATATATGAATACGAAAAGAAAATTACCACGTTCACAATCGCGCAGAGGAACAGCAAAAAGGTATCACCAAGCCCGTCCAACCCAATCGCTCCCTTTTCGTCTTGTCATGTCCGCCAATCCTTGCCTTTCTCCTCCCACCGTCATTGCAAAAATGAAACAAAATCCCGACTTGCTTTCCAGAAAACATATATTGCATGAACATCGACGAAACTTTTCCCCAATTCGGTTTCCACGACAGCCGAAATGCCCCCAAAGATTTCGGATTTACATAATCACCTGGAGAGAAAGAAAGGAAGGTAAAGTCAGCAACGTGCGTTTCCCGTTTTCCACTCTCGACGAGAGAGGGTAGTCTGTAAAGGAGAGGGAGTGGAAGAGGGGAGGTTAGGAGAAGACTTACACAATCCTCCTTCTGCTGCACGACCGGCACGCCCATGTCATCGAAAGTTTTCGGCCCGGCCGGCGGCTTCGGCGCCGGTTTCGCCGCCGCCGCAGCAGCAGGCGGTGGCATTCCTCCGACGCCGGAGTCCTTCGATGGCGGCGCCGGCGCAATGACCGGGCGGCGATGATCGGAGGGGCGTTGCGAGGGATTGTTCGGTGAGGTCGGACCGGGGCCGATATGTGGGGAGCCGCCGGTGTAGATGGGTTGTTGGGGACGATGGGATTGCTGTTGTTGTTGCGGGGGATAGTGTTGCGAGGAGGCGGAGGAGGAGTGGTGTTGGTTTGGAGGTCGGCCGGAGGGGGTGTTTGGGCTGGGGCGACGGTCGTCGTAGGGGGCGTTGTAGCCGACGTCCACGCGTCCGCCGGGATGGTTGTTGTAGGAGTTGTTGGGGTAGCCGCCTTGGTCCGGGATGGGTGGGAGAGGAGCACCGTTGTTGTAGTTTTGGCCGAAGTTGGCGGGACTTGAGACGATGCGGCCGTTGCCCTGTGGGCGCGTGCGCGGATCGTAGGACCCTTGTTGGTAGGGAGCTTGCGGTGCATTGCCTCCACGGCCGTAGCCGGGACCGCTAGGATTGGAGTACGGACGGTTGCTGTTGAGTGGCGGAAGAGGTTGATTTAACTGCTGAGCGCGTAGATCGGGGCTAAGCTGGAAGGCGGAGCTGGGACGCATGTCTGGTCGTCCATTGCCGTAAGCGCTCGGTGCCGGAGGCGGGGATTGCGCGTTCCCTGAAATCCGAGGCGAGGAGTAGGCGGAGGTAGGAGGAGCGTCGTTGATGGGATATGGTGCGACAGATCCCGGCCGTGTGGAGGGAGGGCCCATTGGGGTCTGGTTGTTGTCTGGTGGATAAGGTGTCATAGAGGAGCCTCGAGGCGGAGGCATAGCTGGGTGCTGTTGTAACCGTTCTGGCCGCGCGGCAATCATTGATCCTCGCTGCGATTTGATCCTGGAGACGGCAACATTTTCGTGGTCCTTCTTTGAGAGGACCTGCTTGTTGGAAAGTGCCTGAATGCGACTCTTGGCGTCTTCATTGCCGTGCTGTGCGGCCTTTTGATACCACTCCATGGCTTTGTCCAGATTGATCGGGACGTACATTCCGATCTCGCTGAAATAGCCCAGTCCAAACTCTGCCGTAGGCGAGCCTGCCGCCGCCGCACGCTGTGCGTAGTGATATGCGAGCTCTTCATTCTTCGGGAACAGTCCCTCAGAGCCGACGAGGAACCATTTGCTCAACGCCATATCGGCCTCTGCTTCTCCCTGCTTTGATGCCAGAGCATTGTAATGAATCGACAGAGCCGGGTTGAACTCACAACCAAGCGCGCCGAGCTCGTACAAAGATCCCATCTTGACCTGCGCCTTGGCAAACCGCATGAATGCCGCCTTGGCGATGTTGTCTTTGGCGAGACGCTCATCGTATTGCAAGTGTCCTTCGGGAATGTCAACCTGAGGGAGTTGTCGTGCCAGCATCATGCCGTAGACATACGCGCCCTGCGCGGCGTTCTCATCGGCGCCCTCGGCTGACTTCTTGATCAACTCGATTCCGCGCCGGAAATCTTGGGCTTGTCCTAACTGTCCTCGGAGTGTCATCATACCAAGTCGATAGCATGAGGCGGCATCTCCAGCGTCTGCGCCGCGATGGTAGTGTTTCAGCGCCTTGACCGGATCATTGTACGATTCGTAAAGCATGCCTATCCGATACTCCGCGCGTACGTAGCCTTTGTCCGCCGCCCTTGAATAACACCTGAAAGCCTCCTTCTTGTCCTCTCGTTGTCCGAAACGTCCCCATTCCAACCACATGCCGCGGAGGAACTCTGCTTTAGGATGATGTTGATCCGCTAGAAAACTGACGACGTTGACCGCATCGGTTTTGAGTTGATGCTCTATCCGTGGCGTTGAAGATCGCGTGCGATGTACGTCTGCCGCTGCCACGCGTTCGACCTCGTCGGCGCAGATGCCGCAGTATGCCAAAGCATCCTGTGCCCAGGCCAGTTGCATTTCCGGATCGTTCGAGTTCAACACAAGTGTGCGCGCATTTTCGAGCGTAGCCTCGAGATCATCGTCGGACGGCGGAACGTTCGGAGGCGGATTGACGAGCTTAGGGAAGTGAGACAGGTGAGGCAACTCGGGTAAGGCAGTTGGCACTTTGGAGTTGTTGCCATTCGAGTTGACGCTTCGTGCACTGGTGTGGCTCATGGTCGAGTCGCGCGCATGGTGGTTGTTGCTGCCGTTGAGGTCCATTTTCTGCAGACCACTGGCGATTTGCGACGACATTTCGGGATTGAATCTGTGAATTTTCCAAAACCTTCTCAGCGCAGCTCATCTCACAGCGAAAAGGACGTCCGGATGTCCCTGGTGGACTGGCCCAGTTAGGCCTCCCACCACTGATCCTGTTGCGTACCTTTGCGGCTCTGGGCTGACCACCTCGGGGGAGAGGACCGGAGCATAGTAGTCGTCCATTCCCGGGACATAGGTAGATCGCATTGGGTTGTCGTAGTTCGCCATGTTGGCAAATCTGGAGTATATGTGCGGCCGGGGCTGGCACGGAGGAATTCCCACCACACACACACTCACACACCACCAACAACCAGTAGATGTCGATTTGTTCGCCGGAACAGGCCAGTCGACGAAGGTTTTCCAATAGGTTTGGGAATGCGAAAGTTTGCGGGTCAAGCTATCCTGCAGGTGGCCTAGCGAAGAGATGTGATTTGAGAGAGGATTGCGCGGTGCCGCGTGGAGACTGGGTATCCTCGGAGATTAGTGACGTTGGGGAGGAGTCAGGGAACCAAAAGCCTTTCTCTCTGTGAGATGAAGGCTGGGCGCGTCGGCGATGGATCAGTGGGTCGATCGTCTGGGTTCGTCACCCTGGCCGCAGATTCAAGGGTTGTGCTGTGTCTTTGTTTCGAGAGGTCAGGATGCTCGCAGTAATAACAATGATGATCGCACCAGGAACGATGATGCAGCGAGTCTCACCCAGGACGTCAACCACGAGAAGCGACGATCGGCGGCGGGGAAGAGACAATTCATCAACAAAAACCACGCGAGACGATCGGCGGAAAGTTTACGTGTATATATATGTATTGATATATACACACACATATTTATTCATATACATGATCATACATGTTCGATGCAGCTGGTGACGATAAACCGACATCTGATGCCTTCACACCAAACGCCTCCTATCCTTCACCGCAGGACAGTGCCTCGGGCATGATGAATGTGTTGCGCACAGCCGAATGAAATCATGTTTTATTAGACATACAACAGTACTAGGTATACAAGAATAGCTCCGAGACAGACCAGAAGGAGGCACAGTCTGTCTGTCTGTCGGCATGTCTGTCTGTGGTGGGTGTGCCCATGTTTCGCCCTCTCCTCCCGCCCGCCCGCACCTGTCAGAAAACGAGCCGCCGACAGAAGAGTGCCCAGGTGCCTGCCTTGGGAAAGGGCGCGGGGAGGGAAACCCATGCCGCTCTTCTGGCGGTGTCTGTGCCCGAGCGAGTGAGCGGGTGAGCGAGCGAGTGAGTGAGTGGGTGAGGGATGGGTGATGGGTGATGAGTGATGAGCGTGTCTCTCTCTGGCGGGCTGGCTAGCTGAACGGCTGGCTTCCCGTGCCTTTCCTTTCCCTTCCTTTTCCCGTTTCCTCCCTTCCTTCGGGCCCGCAGGTGGGCAGTGCACACACCGCGCACACTCTCTCAGGCTACCCTCACCATCGAATCAACTCACAACGGAATGATGGTTCCAATTCCAGGAGGCGGCGTGGTGCAATTTCTTGCAGGTTATATTTATATGCATCACTATGATTCACACAACACATGCGTGGTAAATGCGTGGTTTAGCGGCAGGGACCCATGAAAGGGGGATGCCAATGACATTTCGTCTTCGATGTCCATTCATCACGCGAGAGAAACAGAGGGAGCGAGGGCGGGAAAGGAGGCATGTCCGCCCATCGTTGACCGCCGATCTGGAAGCCTTCTGGTGCTAACCCATGGATGTTACTGTAGGGACTAGAAGAAATTCCCATGCACCGCCCGCAGCACAGGCGGAGTTCAACCCGGGCTGTGTGGGTTGACGATCGCTCTTCCCCCATTGTCGTTCAGCCCTACCTCACTTTTCTGTATGTCCTTCCTCTCACCTCGGAATATAATCAATTCTACGGTATGCTGGAAGAAGTGGAACAACCATGTGAACCTCATGACGAAACAGCAATCATTGGTGAGGTTTAATCGAGGGCGCAGCATTTAGCCGAAGTAACCATTATGTCATGCGTGTTTGAGATGGAGAGGGTATGGTGACAACGGCACTGTCTCTGTTATCGAATCCGATCTGCTGCATCCCAAATAAACCCCGTCATCAATCACTCACATTCCCACCTCCACTTCTCCCATCATCATCGTCATCATCCTCATCGTCACCATCCCCAACCATCCGTCCCACCAAAAACACCCTCTCGATGGTCTCCGCGAACAGCTCCGGACTCAGCACCTCATCCTCCCTCGCCTTGCCCTTGCGGCTCACCCGTCTCCCCTTCCCTTCACTGAACGAATCGAAGAAATCCTCATAACTCGCCAGGACCTGATCGCGCACGGCCGCGACGAGCGTCTCCCTCGTCCGCGCATCGTCGACGAAAGCCGTGAGTTTCGCGCGAAGGGCGGGGACATCCTTCTCCGCGAGGCCGCGAACGGTGCGGATGGCGCGCAGCGGGTCGAAGGCTTCGGCGTCCTTGGCCGCGGTGGTTTTGGCTTTGGCGGCGGCGGATTTGGCGGCGGCGATGGCGGCCGGGTCGACGGGGGCGGTGATGTGGTCGGAGTAGCCGTGCACGAAGTCGTTGATCGCGGCGCGCAGGCGGCCGTCGAGTTCGGCTTTGGCGTCGAGCATGTTCTCGACGATTTTGGGCAGGAGCGCGCCGCCGACGAGACGCACCCAGGAGGCTGGGTTCCAGAGGGCGCCGCGGTCGCGGAGCTCGTAGAAAGGGTTGGTGAGAGAGGAAAAGTCGAAGTCGACCTCCGGAGGGACGAACTCGATGTCGAAAGCGACGATTTGAGATTTGAGGTGGAGGAGGTGAGTGATCAGGAAGAGCTGGCCGTCCTGAGGGGTATGTTTGGAGGAAATTTGTTGTGCGGCCGGGAGGAGAGATTGGATGGTGGAATGGACGATGCGGTGTGCGAGATCGTCGAAGACGCTGCTGTTCACCAGCCGGTAGATTCGGCGCAGTAACCAGATGGCTTTGCGCAGTGTGGGATACCACTGTCGTGAGGAGGAAGTTTTGTCATCGTCCTTGACGTTGAGTCGGCGGCTGAACATGCTCTCGGCATCATCGCTATCGACATCAACAAGGACCGGAGTTTTGGGAATCGGTGTCGTGGGTGCTACTGGTGTGATATCTCGTTTTCCGGACAGGACTGGCCCGGTCTTGGTTCCGTTCGCCGCTGGTGTCTCCACTCGCTGAATTTTCAAGTCCTCTGGTGTTGGTCGGTAGTTCTCGATACCGTCCCGCAGGACATTCATTGCGAGGAAAACAAGTCTAGTTTGTGCATCCTCCAAGACTGGCTGAACGAGGCTCGCATAGTCGAGTTTTCGATTTGCAGGCGCATTTGGTGGGCCTGGGCTGGCTGTAGAATTCTCAAATTCATCGTCGCCGTCCGAGTCGCCATAACGGCTCTGTATGATTGAACACAAATCGCAAAGCTTCTCCATCTTCGTCTCTCGAATCGTCCGTGGTCGGAAATAGTCGTACATGGGCTCCATCAGACTCTCCAGAAACTCGTAAAGTGCGCCGTCGGTCTCGAACCATTCGAACCAGAGCTCAAACTCATCGAGACAGATACCACGCATGAAGCTCATACTCGATTTAGCGAAGGTGAGAACATCCGCCTGAGCAGTAGAGTTGGCAATCTCGGAAATCTTCTTGGTCACGATCGGAAGTATAAGCCGTCCCCGTACTGACGAGTATGATTGGTATAGCTCCCGTAGTAAGCTAAGGTATTCAGGCTCGCGGCCAGCATCGACGTCGTCTGGAGTGGGCACAGCTCGTTTCTGGATCTCTACTCCAAGCGCCTTCAGATCTGCAGCAGGCACGCGGAACTTGGCATACAGCAGAGCAGACTGAGTGTTCTCCTTAAGCTGGCCACTCTGGATGCGCTTACTCACATCTGTGGCAATCTCATTGAGCATTTTCGTGAAATAGACACGGACAAGAGTCAATCCACGTGTAAGCAGGAGACGATATCGACTTCGATATGTGGCCGACTCCTTGTGCTTGGGATTCGATTCCATGTATGCCAGGCAATTGTCAAGGTTCGACAACAATTCTGGAAAGTCTTTGCCTCGGACCAAGTTGGCGGCACCTGGCGCATTGAGGCGCCGCGTCATCGGCTCCAAGAAGGTGTAGTATTGTGCATTCTCGTCAATGGCATCTGCGAGCGCCGTGAGCTGCCGTTGTTCCAAGACCAACGCTTCACATTGCTTGCGGAATGCTCCAGTCTGTGCCTCGACAAGTTTGAATGAGGCGGACAACCCCGAGAGCAATTCCAGCGTCGTCTTCGTCGATCCCAATAGATGATCTAGGTGGGCATCGGAAAGCTCCAGCTGTCCTTGGTATGTCTGATATTTCGCATGGCTCTCATGCAGAAGCGCACCCTCCACCTCCCCAAATTCATTCTCGAAGCTCAGCTCGGGGTTCGTTTTGGTGGGTGTACTTTGGATATTGTTCGAACTCCTCTTGCGACGAAGATATTCCCCTCTCCGACTGTAGGCGTGCACCGCATGGTAGAAGTCACTGTAACTTTGCGCCCGGCGCAAGACGGTTGCCGCAGGAGGTCCAATTTTCCACGCATCTTCGCCAAAGTCCAACGCCTCTTCTGCCGCCGTGGCCCGTGATATTAATTCGTCTTTGGCGGCTGCCACCTAGCATTGGAACATCAGAACCGCGACTCTACTCCGAGGGCACATGGTCGGCTTACTGGTGGAGCTTGCTGCTGGAGCAGTGATTCTTGTCGCTTATGTTGAGAGCTGTATTCTTGTTCGGACGGAGCCGAGGCTGTGAGAGTGTGAAGCCATGGGTCGTCCATTGCACAACGACGATGTGGTCAAAGTTCGGCCTGTCGTCAGTTTCTTGGGTCGAAACACCATGAATACGCGACAGCTTGCACATTAAATTCTGGGGCATTGAATTGACGCATGCCACCATGATCACCCTGCATGATCGGAAAGTAGTGGTGGATACTACGTAGTTAGGGTTGACATTCGCTGAAATCATAATTATCAAGTCTTCTCCTTCCGCGACAAGTTTCCATGCAGGCCAAATAATATCTGAACCGATGAACAGCTCCTTTCTTTGGTATTACTGTTGCGTGAGACTCCCGAAAGACTGATCTCCTGTTCCGTGGTGCGATCAAGACATCTTTCTACAAGCTTAGTGAAGCGGCGCAGCAGTAGATCCAATACGCCGGAGGACATTGCATGCATATTCAACCTCTAACAAGACTCATCATATGGCGAGTGACCCATGTCGGCAACTTGTCGATAGTCAAGTGCTAGGTCTATAGAATTGAAAGATATGAATTGCGAACTTGGTCCATCTTTCACATCATATTGAATCAGTGACACCATCGCCTGATGAACAGACACAAGGCACTTCGATCGAAACATCATGTCGGAGGAGAACCCTACCCTTGCTCCTCAGGAGTACACGAGGGACATGTTTCGCTTCACCGATGAGGAGAGAACCGCCCGGTGGCATAATTATCAAGGCAGCGGTCGTGTCGTCAGCATTGCAGATGACCAGGGCGTTGTGCGTGATTACCATGTTAATCCGTTAACGGAAGAACTTGCTACATTCTATGCCTTCAGCCAACAATTTGACGAGCTTGCAAAGTTTCCGCCTTATTGTCCGTACACTATCCATACTCTAGCAAGTACCCAGATCTGACGTGGATACAGTGACAGAAACCGGTCCCAACCTCGGGGACCTAGGCGTAAGAGCAGGCGTTATGGGAGCGATACGCCATCCAGGTCGGACTTGCATCGTCTATCTAGATGAGGCGGGAGTCCCTCGTTTCATCTTGGTCCCACATCAGGAAGAGATCGCTGCTTGGAATCATGTTTTGGAAATGGAATGGGCTGCACTCGAAAGATATGAGGTGCTTGACGTGACCCCTGCTGTGTCACAGTGGGCCACCAGACAGAGTGGCTGACTCTTGTCGGAGAGCAGCCATCATACACTATGGAAACTCTCGAATCAACGGCAGGTCAATGTCGGCTTCGACAAAAATAATGATATGCTCGCGCTTGTCAGGAGGAATGTGGAGTTCGAACAATTTAGTAGACGTGAAGTCAGGCAGTGTAAAGCCTTCGTCCGCGAACAACGAATAGGCTGACGTTAAATCTGGTTTCTTCATTCAATCCGTTTCGACTTCACTTCCAGCTTTCTCCAATAGAGGCGCGACTTCCCATGTCGTCTTCCAGTCGATCTTCGGGTATGCTTCGATCTCGCACTCCATATATGCCCTGGAGATATGGACCACTGCGTCCTTGGCCGTGGCGACGGTAAGTTGGTAGTCTTCCTCGGCAAGCGATTCCCAGATTATTGTCTTAATGGCGGGATCATGACCGCTAGGGTGGTCAGCAGCAACCTCTAGTATAAAATACAAGTCACCGACCCATGATCTTCGGAACTCTGCAGTGTGTTTCAAATTGTTTTTGGGTTTCGTAAATGATTCTCCGTTTGTTTTCCATCCAACCGGAATTGAAGCCCTTCACGAGCTTGTCGAAGTCCGATCGACTGAGAGGCAAGTTCCACTCTGTTACTGTGGGATTGTTCATGACTGGTTGTGATGCTCCTTCAGAACATTGGTATTTAAGTACTCTGGTACTATTGCAAGAAGGCATAATCAATATGTACCGGGGGAGGATCCGGAACCTCCGGAATCGGAAGTATCAGAAGACATGTCGTAGAGTTGCGGAATTTTGGACAAGAAGGTGCATCATTCTTTGACCGGAGGTGTGGATGTGAACGATACATATGTAGGTGCGCGATATCAATAGGACCTAAGAACCACGTTTCGTCGATTATACTCGTTTGAGAGAATGCGCAGTGATCATTGCGAGCGTGATGAAGACGCGTTCACGTACGAAGTGTCGCGGGGCGTCACATCAGCGGACGATTGTCAGAGAGCATCGCCTTCTTCCTGGTGCTACTACCGTTTGTTATCACAGCTAGAGACTAAATCCTCCTTGTCGTCAAGATCTCCCCATGATGACCCTTGAGACGAGCCTACTGCTGGGTGAGGCGTGTGAGGTTTGGAAGGTGGTGGTCTTCCGAGTGCACCGTTTGCCAGCCAGCCAGCCAGCCCTTGAGCCCTGGAGTGCATCGACTGCGCTCCTGTTCTGGCTGTGCCGCATCGCCTCGGTCATAGCCAACCTAGATACCTAGGTATATAGGTCTTGGGTATCTAGGTTGGCTATCTATTTGTAAAGTATTTCATCGCACTCCTCTCACCTCAAAATCGCGCATCTGCCCTTTGTTCCCCTGAGGCGTAGTGATTATGTCGCTGCTACAATTGCCAGCAGACGTTCGACTGGCCATTTATGCTTATGCAGGCGTACCCGGCTTAGGTACACCACATATTTGCGATGTCGAGCCTGAGGAGGATGACATTTCCATCTTCTGGGGGTTCCGCTGCCCGGCAGACGGGAAGTCATTATCGAACATCGGCAATATCGATCTCAACCACCGACCGGCAGCTTGTGATGCCTCGTCACGCCGAGGGTCTGCCACGCTTAGTCTCCTCCTCTTATGCTCGGCGACGTATACCGAGCTTGCCCGACATATCTATTCTCATAACCAAATTGTCATCCGTGCCAAAGACGACGCGAGTCTAGGAGCTCTAAGCGGGTTACGCGTTATCTCAATTCATGCGTTAAGGCGACTTACTATTGAACTAAATGCGACTTCGTGTGGTCTTGGATGGGCGTGCGATGATGAGGCAGACCCTTGCGACTCGTGGAGGGATGAACGTGATCCTCGTGACCTTGAAACGGCTCGGGACCAGGAAGCAGCTCGGCTGTTGAGGGAGTGGACGCGCGAAAATCAATCACTTATGACTTGTGAACAGAATGATGGTCATCACAGTCCTTTATCAATCTACGACTACTCTCAGTCACGGCCGCTCACTATCACGAATGAGCTCCACAAAGTGAGTGAAGATGGTTCAAACACGCAACGCTGCGAGAGGAGCACGCTTCCGCCTTTCTACACATTGGGACGAGAGATAGAGCATTCACTTGTAGTCTTCGGTCGAGTACGGTCTTCAATCACCAGTCTCAGACCTGAGATGAGCTCTGTTCTCTCATGACCACGTGTTCTGTAGGCAGTGATAAGGTCTTTGAACGCATCTTCGCATGCCTCGATGTGATTCCAATGCTGACCCTTCTCCAAGGCTGTACTCCAAAACTGGTCTCGAGTTTGGACAGCCATCCGGCAACATCTCATGCCTGCAACGCTCGAGCTAGACTTCACGTGTGACGTTGTTGACGTCGAGACCGGAAAGCTCGCATTAAGACCTTTTCTGACAGAAGAATCGCCTTATATGGCCAAATGTAATATCAGGCTCGCTCGTAGCAAGAACGAAGCGCTTAGACAGCTAGCTCAAGTAGCAGTACAGCGCATCGTATGCCCGAAAATGCTTCGTAACACTTTCCGACACGGCAGATCAAAACACGGCGCACCAAACAACAATTCGATCACCTTCGTAGATCTTCCGGCCGAAATCCGTCTCCTTATTCTCGGCTATACGGATCTCGTAGCGCCTGAGAATGAAATAGAGTGGAGCTCGTATCGGGGCTGGTATATTCGACGTGGTAGTGGAGGGAATAACGAGGCTTTTTGTTGTCTTGTACATCTCCATCCAATCGCCGAGGACAAGAGTGATACATCAGACGATGCTCATCTACCTGCATATAAAAAAGACAACTATACGCGACAGTATTGTCGAGAGAAGCTTGGCGGACGAGGCTGTTTCTGTAAGAGCCGGCACACAGTCTATTCAAGCTACAGCGAGTCTAGTTGCTGGGCGCCACCAACGCCATTATTCCTAGTGAACTCGATTGTACGGAGAGATGCACTGAAGGTCTTCTTCAGTCGGAATCGAATCGTGGTCTGGCCTAGTGAATCACTGGACCACGCATGGGAACGGCGTCATTCTCGATCACACATCTCGAGCTTCCTCAGCGAAGTGGTCCCAAAAGACGCACTTCGTCATTTACGCTATCTCGAAGTCGTCTTCTCTGAACATCTGAAAGGCGATGAACTAGTCGAATGGAAGCGCACGATTGAGGGGATCAAACCACATCTTGTATCATCGAGTCTCGCCCTGAAGATCTTTTTTGCCGCTGGCCCGCCCGATCCCTTGCATAATTATTACGAATTGTCAAGGGATGAAGAAGAAGAAGAAGGAAAAGAAGAAGGTGAAGAAGAAAAAGAAGAAGAAGGGGGAGCTTCGCAAGAAGAATTCCTAGAATCAAGGAGACACTATGTCAACACAGTCCTTCCTTTACAGCATTTGCGCAATCATTTGAAACACTTGTGGATTTCTGTCTTCGAACTTCCAGAGGAACGGAGCGAGGAATCGGTCTGGGCCGATTGCTCTCGCGAGCTCGAACACACAATCATGGGACCTTCATATAAACCTCCGACTAGCGATGACTACAAACTGAATGGCCTGCCCAAGCCATTGTTCCTACGGACTGGGCGTTGGTACTCAGACCATGACTGCACCTGTTTCTATTGAAGCAGAGGTTGAACAGCCCCGAGTCATCCAAACTCAGCCAGCAGCGCATGTGTTTCGACGCATAAATTAGTTGTGAGGATGTTGCCATTTCAAAAAGCCCGCGCGGCAAACAGGCTTAACAAGCCTCAACGCGGCCTGATTCCATAAGGTAATCTCACGTGTTGTCTTAAAAGACTGTGAATAGGATATTTCATTCAAGTTTCGTGCGCTGGGATGCTGCAACTCTCTGTAAGAAATGCAGATAGTCCAGGTTTCGACCATCGCTAGCTCGCTCTCGGACTGGCAAGAACAAGCGACGTTACCATGAAGTGAAAGCAGAGATTCTACATAACAAGACGAGCCTCGAGGTTCGATTTCTCCACTCGCACAGCGTACAATTTCCTTGAGAGATGGCAATCCATCGAGGATGACGCGTGTTACGGCTCTATTTCTATGCCGCCTACGATGTTCTATTCGCGCACCATCCTGATCGATGACCTGCTGATGGAAGCTGGTCTTTCATCAGACATCCCAAAATCATGATCGTGGGTGACAGAAATGTCTCAACAGAACTTCGCAACCCTCAATTCGCCCATGCCCATCGTGTGACATCTCAAAGGCTCATCAGAGACCCTATCGCCTGTCATTCAGTACGACCCTCGAACAGTCGAGTCCACCAGACTACCTCCCCTTTATGAGCATGCCCGGCATATCAAAATCATGACTCTGTTGACCCTCATCGCTGTGGCAGCGTTGGTCACCGGATCAAAGATTGGAGATCTTATTGCTCAAAATTCTCTTACCAGCCGAGCGCCCGAGATGTACCCACAAATCACGACCAACTTCCCTGATCCTTCGATATTGTATGCGGACGGCGTCTGGTATGCCTATGGGACCAACATCGGAGCTGGCGTGATCAACGAGGGACCATCGGGAACGCCTTCCAAGGACCACGTACGGCCAGCCGTCGCGAATATCCAAGGGGCTACATCTGTCGACTTTCATACGTGGACTCTCGTCCCCGTCTCTGAGCAACCTCTGGCGCATAACGGCAGGTGGGCAGCACGGCCTAGCTTCGAGTTCAAGACCTGGGCCCCGAGCGTCATGCGCCGGGACGATGACAGGTATGTCATGTACTATTCCTCGACCGTGAACTCCTCGACACCCGACCCTCACCCCGGCCACCCGATTCCACACTGCATCGGCGCCGCGCTCTCCCACATGTCTCGACCGATGGGGAACTATATCCCGGCAGACGAGGTACTCGTGTGTCCGATGTCCGAAGGCGGTGCCATCGATGCGCAGCCCTTCCGTGATCACGACGGCACGTTTTACCTGCTTTACAAAATCGACGGGAACAACATCGGATCAGGAGGCGAATGCGGGAACAGCGTCCCGGCGTTGCAAAACACGCCTATAATGCTTCAGAGATTGAAATCCGATGCAATGACGCTCGACGGACCTCCTGTTCAGGTCCTGGATCGCGAGGCAGAAGACGGCCCTCTTGTCGAAGCGCCGATGTTGGTGCAACCCTTCGCCACCGGGTCTCCCGCATCAACCACCTCCCATCCGACACCTACAACGCCCAGCGCAAGAAACCCCATATCCAAAACCGACCTCGCGCCCGAGCCCGGGCAAACCGACAGCGCAGGACCCTACATCCTCTTCTACTCCTCCGGCTGCACCCAGACGTCGAGCTACACGATCCGCTACGCCGTCGCCCCGAACCTCACCGGGCCCTACATCCGAGCGCCGCAACCTCTCCTGCAGACCGGCATCTCGCAAGGCCACCATTTCGAATCTCCCGGCTCCGTCGGCGTCGCCCGCGACGAGCGTACCGGGCAGTGGAGGATGGCCTTCCACGCGCGATCGCAGCCGCGGAATCGCGAATGGGGCCGCGTGCGGGCGATGTACACTGCGGAGGTCGAGTTCGTGCGCAGGGGAGATGCGGCCGGTGGGGTCGAGGTGAAGATCTTGGAGATTGGAGGACGAGGAGGGAATTATTAGGAATCCGACGTCGAAGCGGGGAGGTCATGGTGGAGTTGGGGAGGGAGAGGGGGGTCTTGGGTTCCGTTGTGGACGAGGTGGAGCTGGGATTGGTATGGATGCAATGCATTCGACGTGGGAGCATGGCTGTTTCGAACCGGGAGTTTTGCTGGAAGCGGCCCGATGTGGTCATATCCTGAGTGGCTGGCGAAGTCGAATTCACACGTGCATTCCTAGAAGGCCGAATGACTTCGATTGCTAGGGAGCGGGCATCATGCTTTCATCGCACTGGCGATGGTCGTGGAATCACGAGGATATCCCGCGCAGGTCGAGCCTGCCGCTGCGGAGCACCCATCGTGGAAAGACACAAGCCCGCCGTGGTGCTTTCTGGTTTTTTTTTTCTTAAAAAAAACCATCGAACATTTCAGAAGCCTGGAAAGATGCACCATCATCGTCATCGTCATCACCCAAACACGTGCATTCTTCGCGGACAAAGCTGCGGCATATGCCACACGACGGGGGCCACAAGATGCACCCACGATGCGACTAAACAGACTTGTTAAGCGAGAGAACAGCAGCCACGGAAGATTTCCCATATCTTGCGATCGTGGGCCTGACTGGCGGCGCGTGTCATTGTTTTAGTGGTGACGGTGGATGTCGCGCTTGCAAGAGGAGGCGTGTCCCGCTCGCTCGTGCGCTGGGAACTGGTGGTGGTGGTGGTGGTGGTGGTGAGGCGACGATTCATCTGAACACGTGCTTGATTGTTCCTGAAACAAACCTTGGGATGCTTGGTCATCGTGGAGATCCCGTGACGGAGGATGTATGGTCATTGTTATCATCATTATTACCAGGCGGAAGGGGGATCAGATCAGGTGCGAATTATTACCGTCTCCTTTCACGTTATGATGATTCATTGGATACGGCGCTGATATTTGGTGTTTGTGATGGAAGTGCCGATCTCACGGCTGTCTCACCCATGTGTGGTCACTGTCGTGATAAAGATGATGACCCACCACACCCAGTAACCATCATAACGACGCGCAGTTCCATTCAGGGCCAGGAGACTCTCTCTCTCTCTCTCTCTCTCTCTCTCTCTCCCCGGGATGTACTGCGGTGGTACTGTACTGCAGTCTTCAAAAACACGTGCAAAGTCTATGCACGTTGGAGGCGGAAATGGTTCTAGAAGGAGGGAAAACATCGCTTGCTAATAAACATGGTGGGGAAAGCATTGCATTGCATCGTTGGTCTGGTCCTGCATGTAATCAACTAACCCAGTGCCTTTGCATAATTGTTGTTTCTATTCCAATATCACCCGTAGGCTCTCCTCATTACTCTGCAGTACTCCGCCAGCTGAGGACAAGACTGAAACGATGATACAGTACCCGTGTACTGACTGTAATGATACTGTAATACAGTAAATGCCCAGGTGAATGTTGGAGAGCGCCCCCGATAACCAAAAGAAGGCTGCGGGCCGGGTGATCAGCCTTAATCACGCGCCAATGAAACGTCCCTCTTTCGACACACGCAACAACCGTTCCCCCCAATTTGGCCTGTCCGGGCGGTCTTTGGGAGGGGCAATCTGGCTCAATCGCCCAAGGTCACTCGCCCTCCACGGCCTTGACCGCCGGGCGCCCTATCTGCACCGCCTCGTCCGCGCGCGAGGCGTTCACTACCAGGTGGCCATCAGCTCGTTTGAGGTATAAGCGAACGAGCCCCCTCGACGACGATCCGTCTCTTATCCTGGAGAGGCAAGCAGGGAAAGCTTCCAACAAGAAAGCCGTCTTTTCGCCCACGCCGACGCGACACTGGCTGCAGCTTTAACATCATAACCTGCATACCACCGCCGGAGTCCATCCCATTTAGGCAACTCGACGGACATCCTCGACGACTAGCCCATCGCCTACCGGACCACTCAACGAGCATCCTCCGCCGACGCTCTGCTAGGGATCGCCGGGGCAGTCTGATACGCTACGACACATTATCATACACGGGATAGGTTCGCGGAAAATGTCCTGGCATGCTCAGATACAAAAGGACGCTGTGCTCCAAGCCCAAAATGTTTTGAATCAAGCCAGTAGTACTATCGTCGAAAACATGCCTTCCATGCGAACCCTCTCCGCTGCGGCGTTGGCTGCCTTTGGCTCCGCGCAGACCGTGTTGGGACTGCAATATCACAGCCCTCTCGCTCGTCAGGCCCAACAGGGTGATTCCGCCATCTGTGGCTCCACCGGCCCATACAGTTGCCAGAACACCACTGCCCAGGCCAACTTGTGCTGCTTCAACGCCCCCGGCGGTGCCCTTCTCCAGACTCAATTCTGGGATACCGGCTACTCGCTCAACAGCTGGACCATCCACGGTCTCTGGGTATGCCCATGGATATCATCTTCCCGTTGGCATCGACATCAATTGACATCATCTCACAGCCTGACAACTGCGATGGCACCTACGAAGCCAACTGCGATGCCTCTCGCGCCTACACCAACATCACTCAGATCCTCCAGGCCTATGGCAAGACCGATCTCTTGAGCTACATGCAGAACTACTGGGTGTCCAACAGTGGAACCGCCGAGTCCTTCTGGGAGCACGAATGGGGCAAGCACGGTACGTGATCTTTTTCGGGAGTTCGTCGCGGAGACCGTCGTGTTGACACGCATCGCAGGTACTTGCATCAGCACCCTCGACCCCGAGTGCTACACCCAGTACGAGGCCACCGAGGAAGCCGTCGACTTCTTCGAGAGGACCGTAAGCCTCTTCAAGACGCTCCCGTCCTACGACTGGCTCGCCAACGCCGGCATCACCCCCTCCTCGACCAAGACCTACACCACCGCCCAGATCCAATCCGCGCTCGGCCAGAACCGCAACGGGAAGCAGGTCTACCTCGGCTGCCGCAACGGCGCCCTCAACGAGATCTGGTACTTCTACAACGTCCGCGGCAGCGTCCAGGACGGCACCTACCAGCCCTCGGACCCCATCGGCTCCAGCTCCACCTGCCCCAGCACGGGCATCAAGTACCTGCCCAAATCCGGCAGCACGCCCCCGCCGTCCAGCACCGCGACCACCACCGCCGCCCAGCCGACCTCCACCGGCGGCACCGGCTCCGGCAACTTCGCGGGCTCGGGCTTCCTCAACGTCGTCAGCGGCGGCGCCCAGAACGGCTGCATCATCTCCGGCGGCACCTGGTACACCTCGGGCACCTGCGCGACCTTCACCGTCACGGCCAGCGGCGGCGGCTTCACCCTGAAGTCCTCCAAGGGCAACTGTGCCGTGCAGTCCGGCGCCCTGGTCTGCGCGTCGACCGTCTCCAGCGCGACCGTGTTCAGCGGCAACGGCAACACCCTGCTGTACGCCGGCTCGTCCGCCTTCTCGACCGATTCGACCCCGTCCGGCAGCACCCAGGCGACCGTCTACTCCGGCAGTGGACGCGCGGTTGGATTGACGATCCAGTGGCAGCAGAAATAGATTTCCCTTTCCGGGGAAATCATGTATTTAGATGAGTGATGTTGTGTTGGAAAGAAACCATTCTGTTACGTCTTCGTCTGGCACTCCCTTGTAGATGTACTGCTCCAGCTACTCGCGCCGAAATCGATTCACGGATTCCCATCGTCGTCAAGTCGGGAAGCATAGCTACGGTGGCTGAATTGCCGCCTTGGCATGTTGCTTGTTGCCCGGTTCAGCCTTGGCGATGTAACAGTGGTGATGTGGTATTCAGATCCGAATAACTGTACAATTCTGATTCTATAGATCATCTTCTTCTGGAAGAGGATTTGATGTAGTATTGTGCCATTGTCGATCGAGTATATGTTCCGCTTGTTCAATCGCGTGGTGATCTGCGGATTGCGGAGGTAAGCTTCACACTGCAGGTACGTCACCGCCAACGAGACCGAAATCCACCGGGACGACACACCTGTTACCTGAGCAGTTCGACTCAATGTCCGAATTTCCATTATCAAATCCATCGCGATAACAGTTCTTCCAGCACAACCCACTACTCGACGTACGCTGTCATGCAAGCTCCACTCGCAAAGATCGCCATTCCGAAACAAGCCTAGGTTTTCCCATCCAAGCACGACCATCGTCAATTTTCGAAGAAATTAATCCCGACGCCGCCCCGAAAAGAAAATGTCGTCGTCCCATGGGGATTCCTCCAGGCACCAAGCACCCCCCGGGAGTCCTCGCGCACGCCCGCCCTTCCAACCTCCCGCCGCCAGCACCCCCACCGGCATCCTCTCCACCATCTCCTACTTCACCGAACCCGTCGCCTACACCATCTCCGGGCTGGTCCGCCGCATCTCCATCGACGAGGCCCCCACCCCTCTCGCCAAAGCGCTCAGCGCAAACTACAACAGCACCATGCCCTCCTCCTCCGGCGACGTCTACCACCCACCGCGACGACGCCTCTCGCCCTTCCAGCCGCCGCCCCTCACGCCCCTCAGCCTCCACGGCTACCGCGACACGACCTCCCCCCGCGCCCGCCTCCTCCACCGCGCCGTGGCCGAGGAGATCCGCCTCCTGACCCCTCCCCGCCTGCAGCTCACCGAGCGCTGGAACCTGATCTACTCGCTCGAACAGCACGGCTCGACGCTGTCGACGCTGTACGCGCTCTGCGACGCGCACCGGGGCAAACGCGGCGGCTTCGTGCTCGTCGTGCGCGACGGCCGCGCCGGCGTCTTCGGCGCATACCTCTCCGAGGCGCCCCGGCCGCAGCCGAGCTACTACGGCAGCGGCGAGTGTTTCCTCTGGAAGGCCTCGATCTTACCCAAGAGCTCCCTGGCCTCCTCGACCAACCTCCTGCCGGATCTGGAGGGCTTGGATTTATCGGGCCTGCCGCCGCCGCCGAGCGCGGACACGACGCACCTGGACGCGAGGATCACCACGATCGCGGCGACGAGCGCGCTGTCGCGGAGGAACTCCGGCGCCGACGCGGTCCGGAACGGATCGACCTCCTCTTCCGCCTCTGCGTCGGACCCACAACATCAACAACAACAAGATCGAAATCGAAATCAGGACCAGCACCCTCCCTCCTCCCCGACGACCTCCGACCGCATCCGCTTCAAGGCCTTCCCCTACTCCGGCGAGAACGACTTCACCATCTTCTGCCAGCCCGAGTACCTCAGCGTCGGCGGCGGCGACGGCCACTACGGGCTCTGGCTGGGCAGGAACCTGAGCGAGGGCGTGAGCGCCACCTGTCCGACCTTCGGGAACGAGCCGCTCAGCGAGGAGGACGGCGTCGGGAACGGCAAGGGCGCGGGGAAGGGGAGGTTCGAGGTGCTCGGGGTGGAGGTCTGGGGGATCGGGGTTTGAATTCCGGAGGTTGATGATGGGATGGATGGGTGGATGGATTGGCTTGGGCAGGGAGGAAGGGAGGGAATGTCTGCGAGATGGCAGCGCGGCTGTTTTCTTCCATCTTCTCAATCGAGGATCCTAGGTGTCTTTGTCACCTTTCTTTTTCTTTTCTCTTGTCTTTTTTCTGCCTTTTTTGCTTCGTTCCTCCCTTCAATTCCCTTCTTCACTTCTGCCCGCGTCACGACGATCTATCTACCATTCGAGAAAGAAAACCCAGATTCCCACGGGCACACACATCTCTCTCCTCTCATATCGGGTGATGACTCGAGATCTTGATTTGATTTGATTTTTGGATTTTATTTCACCAGGTAGGTAGGTAGGTACGAAGGTAGGCCCTGTGTCCCAGCCCCAAACCCCTTCCCCGGGAGGACAGGGCGAGGGCTATCCGACCGACGGACGGAGCGCCGAGGATTGATTGAGAGGGCGAGAGGAAAGAAACGAGGCTCCCAAATGAGAATGAAGAAGGAGAAGAAGAACACCCGGGACGCGTCCGTCTCCTCCGGTTCAGGTTCGCGCCACACCGCCGACCGACCCACTACCGTGTATTCCTCATAATCCATCCCTACCTAGGTAGCTATATACATACATCCTGTCGTTCGAGATGAGCGACGAGACGATGGTGCAAACCCCTTTTTCCCGTGGGCTTTGACCTTCCATCCATGGATCTGATCATCGCTGGGGACTGATGAACATTGTTATTGTTGCTGCTATCATCAACGTCCCGGGTCTGAGCAGCGTCAAGACCATGGCGTGTGTGCGTCCGTCAGTCGGCCAGTCCGTCAGTCTATCCACCGATGATAACGTACACGTGTGCGCCCGGGGGTTTCTCTCCCCCCATCTCGCCATGGGATGAGGCCGAGGACGGGTGTCTGTTCTTATTATTATTATTATTATTATTATTATTATTATTATTATTATTATTATTATTATTATTATTATTATTATTATTATTATTATTATTATTATTATT